AATAATGATAGGAAACAAACATCATTAAATGGTTTCTTCAATGTAAATGTTTGTTTGGTGTTGTGTTGGCTTAGTGCTTTTTTTTTTTTTTTGACTTGACTACTACTGTTGTGGATGTTTTGTCTTTTTTTCTGAATTCTGCAAGGAATTGTGTTTCCTATGTCTATTGGGGGGAGGGAAGGTTAGAAAAAAGAGGAGGGGTACCCTCTCCATTGAACATTTTGATCTTATATTTTTTTTTTTTTTTGGTTTTATATTTCAAATATTTTGTATAGCCAAAAAACCGTACAAATTTTTCATTCATTTCAGGAAAAAAAAAAATTCATATTTTACCACTAATTCATGTATACAAACATTTCATTCTTTACACATTGTTTTTGTTGCTGTAGTCGTAGTCGATTCTTTCATTGATAATTGTTTTTTGTTGTGTTTGAACTTGATGAATTTTTGTTTTTTCTGCCAAAAAAAACAAAACAAAAAAAAATTCTACAGATTGGAATTTTTGTCTTGTTCAGTGTTTTTTGGTGAACAACAAGAAAAAAAAATTCATTTTGGTTTCTTTCATTGAAATTTATTTATGAATTATGTATCATCATGCACTAATACCAAGTAGCAGTAATGATGATGAACAAAAGAAATTATCATTATCATCATTTAAAAGACAATGGGCCTAGAAAAAAATGATAATAATAATATTTTCACACCCAAAAAAAAAAAAAAAAAAAAAAAATCTTTTTCTTTCATTTTTCATATTTTTCGTGGCTACAAATTTCTGTTCCGGATTTGTTTCCTTTCTATATACAGGAAAAAAAATTTGGTATACTTTTGAGAGCTATATTAATCGAAAAAAAAGAAAGCCAGTTATTCCAAGATTCAATTATTGAATTTTTTCTTTTGGCACACACTTGTCGGTACAAAAATGTTTATGATGGAATTTTTTTTGTTGTTGTTGTTGTTGTTGTTGATATTGAAGACCTTGAAGTTGAAAATGATTATTTCCCTCTTTGTTTGGATTTGCGTTTGCGTTGTAAATAATGATAACCCATTTTCGGTATATATATATTCGGTTTATTTTTCTTGGCATTTCCAGTTTACCATGTTAAGAATCTCTGACATTTGTTCCATATTTTTCATTGATTCATGATAATATATTGGTTATTATGATTTGGATCATAATAGAAAAAAAATCTGTTAGTATATGCATGCATGGTAATGATGACCCATTTCCAAATTGGTTTTTCATTACTAAATTCTGTTATATTCGAACAATATTTTATATAGACAAGAATCGATACTGAGCACTATATTATCATTATTATTACTAGATTGATATCAAGAATTTTGTCTCTGCCTATTTTTTTTTGTTCCAGAATAAAAATTGACATATTTTATTCGATAGTATTAATTTTATTATGATGATGATGGGAATAAAATTTCATTGGAATCGAATTTGATTCTGAATTTTCTTTTCTCTTTTTACATTATATGATGATTTATATCTCTTTTTTCAAAAAAAACGATGATCAGGCCTTGAAGCTATCATTATGAAGATAACACCCACATCCATCCACCATCATCATCATCACTTCATCACTTTCCATCATATAATTATAATGAAATTTTTTCATTCTGTAAATGTGTATATATCAAGAATTGGGTATTGGTAGATTTCTTTATTCATTCTTTTTTTTGTTGTTGTTGTTGGATGTTAAATTAAATTCAGCACATCCATTTCATGGTATCATGATATAATGGTTTCTGAATAAAATGAAATGGTAATGATATTCTATTGTATCATTTTGTGTGTGTGTGTGTGTAATAAATGTAAAACAACTCGAATTTTGGCTTGGTTTTTTTTGTCGGCTTTTACATGGTGTAAAATGAAAAAAAAGTAGAAAATTATCATCAGTGATGATGATCACAATTGAATTGTATATATCATGACAATGATGATGATGATGATGATGATGAAAATGGCATTCAAATTACAAATGAAATAGATGTGTTGCGGTTTTTCATCTACTACTTACTACTACTACTGTTATTTGTTCGACAAAGATGACAAAAGAATTTTTCGATTTCCATTCACATTCATTTGTATTTTCGTTTCTTCTGTTTTGCTTGATGATTTTTCATTTTTTACCGTCACAAAAAAAAATTTTTTTTCTGATCTATTTTCGTTTCGAATCTAATATACTATGCCGCTATATGTGGGTATGACAATATATCGTTTGGTTGTTGTCACCACTTTTCTATTTTTTTTTTTTCATTAATTCACATAACTAAAACGACTTAATGGCGTGCCCGGTTTTTTTTTCTTATCCATTCATTGTGTGTGTGTGTGCTGCATTTTGTATGAACAGAATGAATGAATTCTAGCTGCATTTTTAAATTGCATAAATTTGTTGGCTAAATTCTGCTGACATTTTCATATTGTTCAAAATGAAAATGCGTGACAGAGAGAGAGAGAGAGAGAGAAACAGAGAGAGACATCAATCAAAAAAAAAAAAAAAAAAAAAAAAATTCTTCAAAACTCTATGTGAATGGAATTCAATTTTTCAATTCTTTGTATACATGTGTGTGTGTGTGTGTGTGTATGTATTATGTTCGATTTTGGCAATCGAAATCCTCCTGTTTGTGTGTGTGTGTGTGTAATGCCTTCTTTATTGGCTTTTGACATTTGAGAAAAAGCATATTCTTTTCTTACATATATTTACATGATGTTTAATCGATTGGAAGGAAAAAAATTTGTTAGAAAAAAGTATAGAAAAAATTCAAATTCAATTCCTCTGATCAATGAAATTTGGGAAATTTTTCCTTGGAATTTTTTTTTATTGAAACTTTTTTGGAACATTCGTAAAATGATGATGATGATTACTGTATGGCATTTTTTTTTTAAAACATATATTTATTTATTTTTCCATTGACTACTTTCTCTTAGATTTGTGATAATGTATATAATTAAATGTGTTTTTCTACAATTCTTTGTATACATATGTGTGCGTGTGTGTGTGTGTATGTATTATGTTCGATTTTGGCAATCGAAATCCTCCTGTTTGTGTGTGTGTGTGTGTGTGTGTAATGCCTTCTTTATTGGCTTTTGACATTTGAGAAAAAGCATATTCTTTTCTTACATATATTTACATGATGTTTAATCGATTGGAAGGAAAAAAATTTGTTAGAAAAGAGTATAGAAAAAATTCAAATTCAATTCCTCTGATCAATGAAATTTGGGAAATTTTTCCTTGGAATTTTTTTTTATTGAAACTTTTTTTGGAACATTCGTAAAATGATGATGATGATTACTGTATGGCATTTTTTTTAAACATTGTAGCATATATTTATTTATTTTTCCATTGACTACTTTCTCTTATTTCATTTTGGCATTTGTGATAATGTATATAATTAAATGTGTTTTTCTAGTTTCTTTGTTATTTCCATGAGAAAAACACCTTCAACCAAGTTTGTTTCTTGTGTGGTTTTTTTTGTGCTACCATCATCATGATTATGATTAAAATGCTGATGATAATGATAAGAAATTTCTTATGAAGAGAGAGAGAGAGAGAGAGAGAGAAAACTGATATTTTTTTCGAGAAAAAAAAACTTTTGCTTTACACTTCCTAATCATCATTTTTACACACCCATCTACTGGATGGAAACCCAGAAACCCATACAATGATGATGTTTTTATATGAAGAAGAATTGAAAAAAAAATCACAAGGCCATATTACATATAGGGGTGTGTGTTGTACATATTTGATATTATCACCATCATTATCATTATTTATCATTTTTTTATAGTTTATATTTTATGATGATGATCATGATCATCATACATGATGGCATACAATACATACACACACACACACACAGACATTTGTTTTCCTACTATACGGTAAACCTCAATGATGATGACGTTGATCAGAAGTTTTTTTAACAAAAAAAAAAAAAAAAAAATTATGAATCCAACTTCTCTATTATGGGTGTTATCTTTCTGTTGTCTGTTTTATATTTTCTGTTTCTGTTGTTGTTGTTGTTGTTATGTGACATATCTTTTTTTTTCAGAAGATATTTTGTCTCTTGTGTGTGTGTGTGTGTGTGTTTGTGATTTAAACGTGGAGAAAAAAATCATCAAAGATTAGATATGAAAATTGTAATTTTTTTGTTTTGTTTTAATGTTTTTTAATATTTATTTAATAATGATCTTGTGAACAGTGTTTTATTTTGATATTTTTTTCATTGGTAATTTTCAGGTTTTTTTTCCTAAAACGAAAATTCCATTTTTTGCTTGAAGCATTTCATTAATCATTATCATCATCATCGTCTTTATTTTTTTTTTTGTGTAATTGAAGTAAATTTCAACCACTAATAGCCGTTGACATTTAAAACAAAGTGAAATAATTCTCAAATTGACCAATTTCACCGAAATTCTAATGGAATCGTTTTTTTACGATTTTCTGTGAATCAATCTATGGTATGGGTTTTTTTTTTTCGGATATTGACGTCATCTTTTCACACGTACGATATAATAATCATTATTATATCTTCTATATAGATGATGATGAATGATGATCAAATCAAAATCACTTGATTATGATATGATTGTTGCGGTGTATCGAATTTGAATCGTTCGATTTATTTTGCTCATCATCAATTGACCATGGAAATCTATTATAAATGATGATTATCTCGACAAAATGATTGAAATAAACAGATTTAAAGCACACACACACACACTGGGTAGCAGTAGACTAAATAGAATTTTGATTTGTTTTCTCTTTTATACCTGTCTATCATTTTATTTTTTTGAAACACAACAAAAACATAATACAAACACATGTGTGTTTTATTTGTTTGTTTATCTGTGTCTGGTTTTGTTTGTCATAATAAATTTATTTGTGTTTAGTTTTCATATCATTATTTTTTTTTCTAAATTCTATGATTATTTTCCATTCTATATAATAACTTATTGTATGTGTTTATTTTTATTCTTGTTTCAGTGTTCGCAAAAGGACAGTGTGATTTTGGTAAATATAAATTTCTTGCAAAAACTGGTGGCTATCGTTGGATATCAACACAAGCAACGGTTATAAATGAACCAAATTCAACCAGACCACAAAGTATTATTTTGATACACCAGGTTATTAGGTAAGTTTTACGACTATCATATACCACATATATAAATATGGCACACACACACACACACACACACACACACAATATATCGGCGCATGATTTTTAATTACTTGAATTTGATTCCTAGAATATTTATAGATCATCATTAATCATCATCATATCAAGAATCATCAAATGATAATTTAGTTTTTAATGATTAATAAGGCAAAAAATAATTTACCATATTTCCATTTTTTTATAATAGTGGTTACAAATAGTAATTATTATTATTCTGCATGTACACACACACACACACCAGAATTTGACCTCGTTCTTTGACCATAAAATTATATCGTTTTTTTTTGTTTTTTATTCGGTTTCCAATAGTAACATTGTGAATGGTCATCTATTGACTTCGGATGTACAAAAACCACAACAACAACAACAATCGACGATTAATAGTGGAATTCGATCCGATATCGCTGCTTGTACTACTATTGTTTGCAATAATAATACAAAATTATCATCACCAATTATAAATGTTGTTGATAAAAATAATTCGTTAACAGCATCAACATTGACACCATCACTTAATCATTCGGTTGTTAGTACAACAAGTTCGATTATTGAATCGTCAATCAAACAACAACAGCAAACGATTGGTCAACAAAATTCATCATCATCTGTTTCTTCTGTATCATTGGTTTCTGTTCCAGAATTGGGCAATATTGCATGTCCATCATTGTCATCAGTTTCAGCATCTACAACAACAGAAGCATTGGTTCCGGTTTTAACAAATGATCAACATCCTCCATTGATATCGCCACCATTACCGTCATCAACAAATTCTTCGTTGCCATCGTTTATTATTAAAATTGAAGAAGAAGAAAAACAAGATCAAGAATTCGAAACACAGCAGTTGCAGCAAAAACTTTTATTTGAACAACAACAGCAGCAACAACAACAACAACAGCTTGTCGAATCGATCTGTCAGCCTCAATCAATAACTGATCAATTCATATCAAGTACAGAACAAGTGTTGGCACCTAAAACGGCCGACATGGAAAGTGGTTTTCTTGTTTTCACTGAAGATAATAATGGTCTTACCGTATTGAATGATGCTGATGATTTAACACATTTAGCACCAGATGCTGGTGATCTTTGTGTACCAATGTTTCCTGATATGGATTTTACAGACATGAATCTTTTTGATGAAATATTTTTGAATAGTTCTTCATTTAATATATCGGCTAATGGTGGTGTATTATCTGAAGATGAATTTCTTAATAATCTTGTATCATTAGATACAAATGGTAATGATAAGCTCAAATTGGATAGCCTGGATAATTTTAGTATGGAATTTGAAAATCAATTTATGATGAAAAAATTTCCATCATCAGAAACATTTGCCGATATAAATAATCATCATCATCATCATAATAATAATAATCATAATCATAATCATAATTCGATAAAAGATTCATTAAAAACTAATGGACTAGATTGTAATTCAAATGATCCATTCTTATCGTTTACAAATGATGAATTTTATTATCAAATTCATCGAATACATCATTCATTAGTTCATATGATTCATTAATGAATTGTTCATCATCATCATCATCATCATCATCGTCTTCATCATCATCGTCATCGTCTTCACAATATTCACCAAAATCAATATCTGATGATTCAATGGGAAAATTATGTGATAATAATAATAATAATAATAATAATAATAATATGAATGATGATAAAGATTTAGAGATGCGTGCACCCTTTATACCAATCGATGATGATTATTTATTGAATGATTTTCCATGTTCAAATCTGGATGATCTTTTTGATTGGATTTCAAATACAAATAATATTAATAACGATGGCAATAATAATAATTTAACAATGACAAACAACAACAATGTTAATGGTGGCAATAATAATAATAATATAAAATTTAATGGTTTCAATGATCAATTCAATCGACAACAACAACAACAACAACAATCTTCAATAACTAATAATAATAAATCAAGTCTTCCAAAATTGAATAGTGGTTGTCTGGAAGCATTATTACAAAACGATCAACTTATCTGTAATATAAAAAACAAGATTTATAGCTCATCAAATCAGTTATTGAATCAAACATCAACAATAAATAATCATAATAATAATTTAAATCGTGAACAATTTCAACAACAATTGCAGGAAAGACAACAACAAATTCTTGAATGTTCATTACAACAACAACAACAACAGCAGACAAACATTGGTACACAACAAAGTAGTAGTAGTAGTAGTAGCAATAATCTGACAACATTTTCAAATGATAATCGTTCAACAACAACAACATCAACAACAACAATACCTACAACAATGAAACGTAAAAATAGTAATATCTATGTTTATACAACAATGACACAAACAGGTGAAAAAAAGATTAAGAATCTTATATTAACACCGGATATACCGGCACAAAAAATGTTGATCAATAATAATGGTAATAATAATGGTTGTGGTAATGGTACTAGTATAAATGGATTACCAAATGCTGCTGGAAACACCACCGGTACAGCATCTATACATCATTTTGTATTGACCAAAAATAATGAACTTATACCTAAAGTTGCATTTATTAATCATCAACAACAACAACAACAATTTAAAGTTCCAAAACAACAAATGGCAACAACCAATACTACAACGGCCATTAATATTGCATCAATAACACAGCAACAACAACAACAACAACAACAACGGCAAACAAATGAAATGATAATCAAAGAAAATGTGTTCAAAAAACCACGATCTGATTCGACGATCAAAAATTTCTGTATGTATTTGAATTATAGATTTTTTTTTCTAAATTCATTTTATTAATTGTCATTATTAATTTTTTTTTTCATCTTTGAATTTTAGCATCAAATAGTGTGTTACTCAATCTATTGGTCAATGGATCTGATCTAAACAATGGTTATGAATTAACCAGTTCAGCCAATAATAATAATAGTAATGGATCATCAAATTCATCATCACCATTATCATCACCATCTTCTTCAACATCAACATTATCACCACCATCATCATCATCATCATCATCGCCATCGTTGTTCAATAGCCCAATATCGATTAAATTATCATCATTGGATTTAATATCAGCCAATACTAATAATAATTGTTTTTTGGTAAACAACACCAATAGCCATCAAAATTTACATCATCATACTGCGGGTACAATGATTGAAAATCATTTATAGTATGCTCAATATTTCAATTCAAATTCAACACAGACACACACACACACACACTAACATTTTTATAAATATTCATTTTTTTTCGTTTGAATGCATAATTCTTATTTTTTTTCTCATTTTTCCATTCAATTCATTTTATTGATTATTATCATACGAAAAAAAAAATTATTTTGTCTTTAAAAATTACACGAAAAATTCACATTTGGAACACCCAACAACAACAACAACAAGCATCAAAAGCCATCCAAATTTTTTTTTGTTGTTGTTTTCATTTTCAACACTAAATTACAATACACTAACAACACGCATAAAAAAAATTCAAGGAACCAATCGAAACATACGTTTTATTTTTTGTGTTCAACAACAACAACAACAACATCATCATCATATATAATAATTGATTGATTGATTAACCAAAAAAACTAGAAAAAAATTTGAAAAACTGGTAAAAAGAAAATACAAGAATAGAATATGATGACTGGGTTGGATGTTCATTGCGGCCTAATGTTTTTTCTTTCTCGTTCTCTTTAATTGATTAATACTGTTATAGAATTACAAAATTATTGATTGTAATTTGAAAACAAAAACTATAAATTTTTTCATATTTTTAAAACCAAACTGCCTTGAATACAACACACACACACAGACAGACACAAAGAGAGACAAAATTATTATTTTTTTCTAACAAAAAAAAAAAACAAAAAAATATTGCTAACTGTTCTGTTGTGGAAAACAATTTTAGTATATAATAATATAGATGAATAATGAAGACAATCATCGATTATCCGATATAATAATCGATTTCGTGATATGTCTTCTTTCACATATATGAGAATTTTTATTTTTTCTTGATTGAATTGTTCATCAATAACAAACAAATGTTCCTTTTTTGGGCCTAATTTTTTTTCATCATTAATTATTCTATATATATTTCAATGGCAGAATTAGAAAATTTTTAATTCTTTCATTCATGATATATTTTTCGTCCACTAACAAACACGACAAATATACAAAACAAAAAAAAAAGAAAGAAAATTTGAAGAATTTTCGATTATTAGATAAAACAATGTTTAACGCCATACATACACATGAGCAAACAATAAGAATATTCTTTTTTTTTGGGATTTGGGCTTTCTTGTTTTTTTTTTGTTTTGTTTTGTTTTGTAATTCATAACATGTGTCCATAAAATTTTTTTTTTTTCATTTTTTTTCTTGATTATCCAGGGAATTTTTCTGTTGAATTTTTTTTTCAAAAAAAAAAAAATATTGCGCACATCATCATTACAATTACTACTACTACTACTACCATCACCACATTTTGGCCATATATTCCTGGAACATTGAAATTATTATTATTATTATTATATTCATTTCATTATCATTATTATGAATAACTTTTAAATACATTTGTATACAGAATAAAAACAATAAATTCGTATTAATAAAAATGTTAAACACACACATACACAAACACAATCATATGATATATATAGAAGCCATACACATTATTATTCATCAGATGTCAATTCTCTTTTTTCAATCATTCATTCATTCATTCATTCATAATTGACATTTTTTCATATATGATCATCATCACATTTATTGACACATTCACATATAAGCATGAAATCGATTCGATTCGAGATATAATAATAATAAGAATAAAAAGATATATAATTTGTTCTGGTTCTGAAAAAAAAATTCTGGTTTGTTTTTATTTGCTAATGAAAACAATTTTTTTCCCTCTTGATGACACAATTTCATTTCCCACACATTCCCATTTTCAATAACCTGGTGTATACCGAGAGAGAGAGAGACAGAGTATCCATGATCCATGGTGACGATTTTTTTTTGTTCATCATTCACTTAGTATTGACAACAACAACAACAACAACAACAGCGACCAATATGCCAATTTACTTTGCACTCAAGTAATATTGATGGAAATTGTGGAAAAAAAACAACCTGTATTAACTGTGTTAACCTACAGGATTTGGAATGATTCATAAATTGAGGAAAAAAAATTTTTAACTTGATTTTTTTTCCAATGTTATAATCACTATCATCATCATCATCAATCAATCAATTATATAAAGTGATAAAATTTGAGTGGGCGTCATGAGGAGACCACTTATTCTTATTATCTGGTACTATGTGATGGTCGATAACGATTTATAAATAATCAACCTAAACTTAATCAACCTACGCCAGCTACATTTGGCTCTAAAAAAAATTATCGATATTTTTTTCTCTATTTTCAATTATTTTTTTTCAACCAAATTTTGTGTATTTGCCATCATCATCATCATCATTGACATTTTAATCATTTATTTTTTACAAAAATTTTTCAGTGTTTCAATGATCGTTGTGATAATTTAAAAAAAAAATCACCATGAATCATACAGCCATCATCATTGTTCTTGAATTGTTTACGATCATCATCAATACCATTACAGCTGTAATCATACATCCATTGGATGGTAATGATTGGAATGTTTTCGATGCAAATAAACGATGTAAGTAAAATTATTATTTAAATTCAAAATTCTCATTTACTACTACTGTATATTTCAAACAGCAAACAGTCTACCTGCTAAAGTACCTGGAACCATTTATTCAGATCTTGTCAATGCCGGTATTCTTGATGAATTGTACAATGATTTTAATGATGTTAAATATCGTTGGGTTTCCTATGCCAATTGGACATATGTAAAAAGTTTTGATTGTAAGTTATTATTGATTACAACATTTTCTTTTTGCAATAATCAAATGTTTTCGTTCTTTGATCATTTTTGGTAGTTCCAAAACAATTATTAACTTATGATCAAATTTATTTAACCTGCCATGGTTTGGATACAATTGCTAATGTAACATTGAATGGTTATCAATTAGGTTCGGTTGATAATCAATTTATTCGTTATCGATTTTTGGTTAAAAATTTGCTCAAAACTCAACAAAATGTCATACAAATTAGTTTTACATCTGCACCTGTTTATGCAAGAGATTATTTTCTTCGAAAAGAATATCCAATTCCACCAGGTAATTGAAACAAATTTTAATTGTTATCATTAATTTCAATTGTTCTTATTCTTCAGTTTGTCCACCTGAATCTCAACATGGTGAATGTCATCCAAATTTTATTCGAAAAATGCAAGCATCATTTTCCTGGGATTGGGTTAGATATTTCTTATATTTTTTTTGTTTTTGTTCTGATTATAATGTTTTTTTTTTGTAATTACAAAGGGACCAGCATTCCCAACGCAAGGAATATGGCAACCAATTGCAATTGAAGCTTATGATAATGTATTGATTCGTAGCATATCAGTCAATACTGTTTATGAACAACAATCAAATCAATGGCTATTGAATGCAACCGTTTGGATGGAAAGTCGACCGAAAGCTTCGATCAATGCAAATCTTACACTATCATTGGCTGATCAAGTGTTAATCGTAAAAGAATTCAAGACACAATTCAATTCAGATGGTGAAGCATTTGTAAACACTTTTGTTATGATTCCAAAAGAAATGGCAATCAAACCATGGTTTCCGAATGGTCTTGGTGATCAGATTCTATATCGATTAAGTGCAACAATTCATACTGGACATGAAATGATCAACAAACAAGTAGCCATTGGATTTCGAACCATTGAATTGGTACAGGATCGATTAAATGCATCTGTTGAAGCTTATTCTTTCTATTTTCGTGTAAATGGTGTGCCAATATTTGCTAAAGGTTCGAATTGGATTCCAGCACATGTATTGAGCGAAAATGTTAAACGGGAATATGTACAATTTTTATTATGGTCAGCTAAAGTGGCCAATATGAATATGTTACGTGTATGGGGTGGTGGTATCTATGAATCAGATTATTTCTATCAATTAGCGGATGAATATGGAATATTGATCTGGCAAGATATGATGTTTGCCTGTGCACTTTATCCAACGGATCCAAAATTTATTCAATCAGTTTCGACTGAAATCCGTCAACAAATTCGTCGATTACATCATCATCCATCGATAGCACTTTGGGCAGGTAATAATGAAAATGAAATGGCTATTGCTGGTATGTGGTGGATAGAATTGGCTCAACATTTGGCCGATTATAAACGTGATTATCTTCAGCTTTATATCGATACAATTATGCCAATCATTTTGAATGAAGATAATTCTCGGCCATTCGTTTCATCCAGTCCATCGAATGGCATTGTTAGTCCACGAGAAAATTACATATCAACCATGCCACAAAATAATCGATATGGTGATAATCATCATTACATTATGTTTGGTGATGCATGGGATTGGCGAACAGCACCTAGTGCAAAATTTGTTTCTGAATATGGTTTTCAATCATTACCATCATTAGAATTATTACATAAATACCTGAGTGTTGAATATCTAAAATATCCATTCAATGAAGGACTGACACACCGTGAACATCAAATGAATGGCCTAGCTTATCTAATTGGATTTATGGATCAACATTTACCATTGCCAAAAAATGTATCCGTACCTAGTATTGAACATTTAGATGATTTTATCTACATGTCACAAATATTTCAATCAATGGCTATCAAAATACAAACGGAATTCTATCGTCGAAATCGTCGTATCAATTATCATAATGGTAATGGATTCACAATGGGTGCACTTTATTGGCAATTGAACAATATTTGGCCCGGATTTTCATGGACATCAATTGAATATGAAGGCAAATGGAAAATGTTACATTATTATGCTAAACGTATGTTTGATGATCTATTAGTGGATGTCTATGAAGATGAAGACAATCTCTATGTAATCATTGTACGTGATGATCATTCACATGTAGCAGATTTTAATGTCGATATTGAGATTTATGAATGGTCTAAACAGGAACCAATTTCAATGCAACGTATTAATTGTCTAACTAATCCATTTGATATAACCATGGCATTCAAAGTGAATATGAATGAATTTCTTCATAAATCCAGATGTAATAATCGTGATAATTGTTTCATAAATGTTCGACTTAACGGTACTATCAATGGTCAACAATTGATGAGAGATAATTTCCTATTGTTGGGTCATTTAAAAAATGCAAAACTAATGAATGATCCGAAAATATTTCTACAAAAAATTGATGGTCCCTTTCAACGTGGCGGTTCTCATGTCTATGATATTGAATTAATTACCGATAAAATTGCACCATTCATATGGTTAGATCTGGTGAATGATTCCTCATTATTTGGCATTTTTTCTGATAACGGATTTCATCTAATTAATCGGCAAAAATTACAAATTTTCATATCGAAAGACATTCCAAAAGAAGATATTGCCTCATCGTTGCGAATCAAAACAATTAATAATCTTGTAAGAAAAAAATGAATCACATTTGTAATTTATTTATAAAATTTTATTTTCTTTGAACCAAATAAAAAAAATATTTATTTATTCAAAATTTCTCTATAATTATTTCTGATTTCATTTCGAACAACTAAATGTCAGCGGTATTTTGAAATGACTCCAAGAACGGAGTTTGTCCATATATATGTGAATTATGTTCAAATGTCGCAAGAAAGAACATTTTCATGTCCACGTACGAATAGAAACGGTGGCATATCCTTGGTTATCGTTTCAAGCCATACCATATATAATGGTGCTATTATATCACGATGTGGTAATGGTAATGTCCTATAATTTGGTTGATGTAGAAAAAAAAACAAAATCATTCCAATCAATCAATGAAACTGATAAATTCATAAATTTTCATACATAACAACCAATGCCGATGATTTCGAATGTAATGTTAATTGATCACGTATTTCGAGATATTTATTCGTCTTCATCAATGGGGGTAGGTAAAGAAAAAAAATATATTCAAATTAGTCTGCTAAATAATGCTATTTTTTTCTTGCTTTACCATTTTTTCATGTTTAGTTAGATCAGCTTTCGATACTTTAACAGTAGTTGTTGTTGTTGAATTCAAATCATTTTTAGCCATAAATTTTTCAATCATTGATCGAAATAGTGATTTACTTTGTTCGGATGGATTTAATTCCGATTCTGGTATGACGGTCAATTCTTTGAATGGTATACGTTGACGTTTTAATAGTTCCATCATACTGTGTTGGCAATATATAATAATTTTGATCAATGAAAATGGAATGATTCTTCAATTTTTTTACATACTTGTGTTTAGTCGATTCAATATTTTCAGTATTTTTCGATAGGCAGAATATACGCATACCACAATCACTCCAATTATAGCTAACATTTAAAAGATATGGTATCAATAATGTCAGTCCACCATCTTCGGTAAGCCACCATATATCAATTGGTCCTGGTTTCTGTTTATTACTGAATTGATTAATTGCTTCGATTGCATCGCGTGGTATCAAAGCTATTTATATGTGAATGTCAATATAAAAATGAAAAAAATAAAGAGAAAAATTCAACAAAATAAAAATTGTCTATACTTTTCATTTTTTCGAAATTTTTCTTTGTTATCATTCTTTGTTGTTGCTGTTGTGGTGATTGATGTTGATTCGAATTAATGATTTGCATTGCATTGGATAATCGACTTTCGAAATTTATAACATTAGAAAATTTATTATTCATACCATCCACATCTGAATGATTATCATCATTTGATTCAGGTATTTGAGATAATTTAATATTCATATTTCCATTGTTTGAATTGTCTGCAGTGATTGTAATGTCATTGAAATCGATAATGGATTGTTGTTGGCGTTGTAATGGATCAAAAAAATCAGCATAATCTAATCCTTCTTGTATTCGTAATATAATGATGCCTAATAACATTTCATGAGTGTTTCTATCATTAGAAACAAAACGAATTTGAACTTTGTCTTAATCTACTGCTAATCAAATAGACTTACACGATAACGTTATAATAATCAAGCAAATCTTCAACAACACAATCACGCCAACTTGATTTATAACCTGAAAAAAAATTTATTGAATTTTTAAAATTATTTTTAAAATTACTTTGATGCAGATTCTCAACTTGCCCATCATAACAATGTTTGGTGATAATTTCAATCCAAGACCGGCAATTTGTGACATTATTTTTGCACCATTCGCCAATGATGATGTCTCGAGCAACAGATAGAATCCTTTGATTTTTCTTTTATACATCCATTCATATTGTGATTCAATCACTTTTTTTCTTGTATGATTAGGTATATCATAATCAACAATATGACCAATCATTAATAAACTTCGATGTAATGTTATATTATTGGCAAATTCAACTAATGGTATACGAGCACTTGGATTACCAGTTAATAATAGAATGGATGGACGAAAATTTTTTACATGATATTTTGTATGCGTTAATCGTAATGATGAAAATAATGCATTATTATAGACATGACCTTTTGTCGATGTACCCCAATTGACATCTATCAAATGAATTAAATTTGAAAATGAATAAAAAGAGAAAATGATAATTATAGACCTGGAGAACAAATGATTTTATGATAATACATACCAGGTCCTTTTTTAGATATATAGATATAAATCAGACACATTACAATAACAGTAATTATTGCCGATATCCAATCCAGATAGAACATTATGGCTACACATATCAATCCGGTTATAAGGCTAATCCATTTATTATAATATTTAAATGTAGGACGAAAACTTGGTGAACCAACAAACGATGCATGAAAACAGGTTACATTAACTAGGCAAAATGATGCCATGAAAAAAATTCGATATAATCGGAGCAATGGAATTAACCTCACCTAAAAAAAAAAATTAAGTAACCAAGTTATGATCTTATGATTAATGTGGGAAAAAAATGAATCGTAAACTACTACGAATACTACTCACCAATCATGATGAATAATATTGAAATTAAAAATGTCAATACATAACCACGTCTTGGATCATTATTTTTACCATAACCTTTAGCAAAAAAATGTATGTATGGAAATAGTTTATCTTCACAAAGTGCTTGAAATATTCTCGGTGCACAAACATATGAACCAAGTGCACTGGACAATGTTGCTGCATAGATTCCGGCATATATCAATGGTCCCCATGCTGAACTCAATGTCATTGTTTGATAATCACTGATTAAACCATGTGGACAACCATTTTCCGATGTTATACAATTAAAATTCAATGGAAAAGTTACATTTTTCATTTCTTCATAATCTCCTGTTGCATATGGTAATACGGTAAAGCCTAAAAACAATACCAATATTGTATAAACCGATGATGTTGTTAAAATTGCTAAAAATGTTCCTTTCGGTATAGCGGCATTTGGATCACGAAGATCTCCACTCATACTAGCTCCGGCAAATATACCAATAACGGATGGAAAAAATACTGCAAATATTTCAGCTAAACTATTATCATATTGTCCAAAAAGATTGGTCATGAAAATTTGTGCTAATTTTGAAACAAACAACACACACAGACATCAATAAAATCAAATTGATTATGATGATTAATAATTACGTTTCCATCCAAGATTTCCCCATGCAATTTGTTCAGATGTTGGTGGTATAAATGTACCAATTATATAATTGCCAATAGCAACTAAAAGTATGATTAATAAGACAAACATTGCCTATGATGAATAGAATATTTATGATTAACTCATTTTTTGATTGATTGATTTTTTGCTTACTTTAGCTTCCCAATCCATTCCAATTAATGGTATAATGGCAACGATAATTAAGAAACCAGTTCCATATAATCTTGTATCATTTTCAATATCATTCGTTATTGTTATATTAGCCGACTAATTATAATATAAATCATATATATCATCATTCTAATTAATCATCGCGAAAATTTGTAAAAATACAAACACACACACGCTCAATCTATTTTTTCTATTATATAAACATACCGATATTAATTGAACAGTCGTTTCAGCTGCACCAACGAGATTCAACGAGACAAGCACAGCATTTGCCAATGAAAAAATTATACCGATCATTGAACCAGCTTCGGCACCAAGACTACGGCTAATCATATAATAAATACCACCGGTACCAATTTCACCATTCGTACAAATGGCCGACATTGATAATGTTGTACAAAATGTTAATAATGTCGATATGAGAACAATACCGATTGAGCCCACTAATATTTCCATACGATATGATAATAAAATATGCAAAATTTAAAAGACGAAACAAAATCAAAAATTCTACTTACAAATTCCAGCATTTCCAGTTATCCATCCCATACGAAGAAATAACATAACACCAAATATATTGAGTACGGTACGAATCTAAATTGAAATATTCACATGACACATTTGATTTCAATCAATCAAATCAATGAATGAATGAATAAAACTTACATAGACGCCATTGATCCAACCGAATTTTAATGAACTTGATTCTTGATCATTATTCGTATCACTTTGATAATCGCCGGGTCTTTTTTCATCAATCGTATATGGATAAAGAATTTTTGTCGATTCTGATTGAAATATTGAATCTTTACGTTCAGAACGACGAAGATATTGCGGAAAAATTGATGATCGTCGTCGAGTTACATTCATTTCCATATTCTTTTAACAAGTGAAAAATTACAAAATGAACCAAAATTAAGAAGAAAAAAAATTCACAAAATCAAACGATACCCACTATATATCTGTTGATAGGAATGAAGGTTTCAAGAGAAAAATCGAAGAAAAAATATTTACGACACATCAAAATTGAGATCATCGAAATTTCAATCTTTTGTTTTTGGTATGCATCCAGATCGAAATCAACGAGAACAAACAAAGATCAAAATTAAATTTTTTTCTGTTATTATCCATTTATCTTATTTCATTTTTTGTTTGATCGTTAAAATTTTTATTATATTCGATATGCAACATAAAAAATGATCATCATTTTTATGGACTTTCTTTTCACGTGTTGCTATCTAAGATAATAATGATGATGATGATGAATGATTGGTTTTTACTCATTCAAAATCTTCATCATCATTATTATGGTAACAGGTGTTTGTGTGGGTGTTTTTTTTGTTGGTAAGAGATTTGATTGTAAAAAAAATGTCAGAAAGTACAAAAAACAATGACACCAACGGTATGATGCTGATGATGATGATTGTAAGAAAAAGAAAAATTGTACAAAAATCATGGCTAGAAGAGAAACAAAAATCTAAACATTTCGAATCAGAATTTGTAGTCACAATAAATGGGTTAAATTAAATTATCCAATCCGAAAAAAATTGTGGCTAATAAATAATGATGATGATCATCATCATCATTGGCCATGATGGATCGTGGACATCAAAGTTCTCATTTCATTCGGTGATTTAGTTTTTTTTTTTATGATGATGATTATAATGTAATGATGATGGTACAATAAGATGATCTTTGTTATTACCATTAACCATAAAACGAACACCACCACTACCAACATCAATCGTACCGCCATCATTCATATTTGAACCTTTTGTCATCGTCATTGTTGCTGTTGTTGCTACTGTCATTTTATAATCCTGTGTGGTGACGTGGTAAGATAAAATGATTATAAATAATAAATTTATAAGATTTTAGGAGCTCTTTTTTTTAAAAAATACATACACGATATACGATTGCTAATGTAACGTTGAATGATTATCAATGAGATACGGTAGATAATCAATTTGTTCGTTATCTATTTTTGGTTAAAAATTTGCTCAAAACTCAACAAAATGTCATACAAATTAGTTTTACATCTGCACCTGTTTATGCAAGAGATTATTTTCTTCGAAAAGAATATCCAATTCCACCGGGTAATTGAATCAAATTCTCAATGTTATCATTAATTTCAATTGTTTTTAATCTTCACTTTATCCACCTGAATCTCATCATGGCGAATGTCATCCAAATTTTACATTTCAATCACAATTCAATTCAGATGGTGAAACATTTGTCAACACTTTTGTTATGATTTCAAAAAAATGACAATCAAACCATGGTTTCCAAATGGTCTTGATTATCAGATTCTATATCGATTAAGTACAACAATTCATACTGGAGATGAAATGAGCAACAAACAAGTAGCCATTGGATTTCGAACCATTGACTTAATGGTCAACTGTTGATAAGAGATAATTTCCTATTGTTTGGATCATTTAAAAAAAAAAAACTAATGAATGATCAGAAAATATTTCTGCAAAAAATTGATGGCCTTTTTCAACATGATGGTTCTCATTTCTATGATATCCAATTAATTACCGTTAAAATTGTGCACCATTCATATGGTTAGATCTGGTGAATGATTCTCATTATTTAGCATTTTTTGCCTCATCGTTGCGAATCAAAACAATTAATAATCTTGTACAAAAAAAATGAATCACATATGTTATTTATAAAATTTTATTTTCATTGAACCAAAAAAAAAAAAAAATATTTATTTATTCAATTCAAAATTTCCCTATGATTATTTCCGATTTCATTTCGGACAACTAGATGTCAGTATTATTTTGATTTTGTTTTCACATTATATTTTCACATTATATTCAATTGTCACAAAAAAGAACATTTTTACGTCCACGTACGAATAAAAACGGTGGCATATCCTTGGTTATCGTTTCAAGCCATGCCATATATAATGGTGCTATTATATCACCATGTGGTAATGGTAATGTCCTATAATTTGATGTAGAAAAAAATAAAAACAAAAATCATTCCAATCAATCAATCAAAGTGATAAATTCATAGATTAACATACATAACAACCAATGCCGATGATTTCGAATGTAACATTAATTGATCACGAATTTCTAGATATTTATTCGTCTTCATCAATGGGGGAGGTATGGAAAGAGAAAAAAATATATTCAAATTAGTCTGCTAAATAATGCTATTTTTTTCTTGCTTTACCAGTTTTTCATGTTTATTTAGATCAGCTTCCGATACTTTAACCGGAACCGTAGTTGTTGTTGTTGAATTCAAATCATTTTTAGCCATAAATTTTTCAATCATTGATTGAAATAGTGATTTACTTTGTTCAGATGGATTTAAATCCGATTCTGGTATGACGGTCAATTCTTTGAATGGAATACGTTGACGTTTTAATAGTCCCATCATCCTGTGTGTGCAGTATATAATAATTGTGATGAAATGATTCAATTCTTCAATTTTTTGTTTACATACTTGTGTTTAGTCGATTCAATATTTTCAGCATTTTTTGATAGACAGAATATACGCATACTACAATTACTAAAATTATAGCTAACATTTAAAAGATATGGTATCAATAATGTCAGTCCACCATCTTCGGTAAGCCACCATACATCAATTGATCCTGGTTTCTGTTTATTACTAAATAGATTAAGTGCTTCGATTTTATCACGTGGCATCAAAGCTGTTTATGTGTGAATGACAATATAGAAATGAAAAAAAATAAAAAGAAAAAATTCAACAGGATAAAAATTGTTTATACTTTTCATTTTTTCAAAATTTTTCTTTGTTGTCATTCTTTGTTGTTGCTGTTGTGGTGATTGTTGTTGATTCGAATCAATTATTTGCATTGCATTGGATAATCGACGTTCGAGATTTATAACATTAGAAAATTTATTATTCATACCATCCTCATTATCATCATTTGTTTTTGGTATTTGAGATGATTTAGTATTCATATTTCCATTGTTTGAATTATCTGCAGTGATTGTAATGTCATCGATATCGATAATTGATTGTTGTCGTTGTTGTTGATGTAATGGACCAAAAAGATCAGCATAATTTAATCCTTTTTGCATTCGTAATATAATGATGCCTAATGACATTTCATGAGTGGTTCTATCAATAGAAACAAAACGAATTTGAACTTTGTTTTAATCTCCTGCTAATCAAATAGACTTACATGATAACGTTATAATAATCAAGTAAATCTTCAACAACACAATCACGCCAACTTGATTTATATCCTGAATAAAAAAATTTATTGAATTTTTAAAAATTACTTTGATGCAGATTCCCAACTTGCCCATCATGACAATGTTTGGTGATAATTTTATTCCAAGACCGGCAATTTGTGACATTATTTTTGCACCATTCGTCAATGATGATGCTTCGAGCAACAGATAGAATCCTTTAATTTTTCTTTCATACATCCATTCATATTGTGATTCAACCACTTTTTCTCTTATTTGATTAGGTATATCATAATCAACAATATGACCAATCATTAATAAACTTCGATGTAATGTTATATTATTGGCAAATTCAACTAATGGTATACGAGCACTTGGATTACCAGTTAATAATAGGATGGATGGACGAAAATTTCTCACATGATATTTTGTATGTGTTAATCGTAATGCTGAAAATAATGCATTATTATAGACATGACCTTTTGTCGATGTACCCCAATTGACATCTATCGAAAGAATTAAATTTGAAAATGAAAAAAAAGAGAAATGATAATTATAATTAATGATTTTAAGATAATTCATACCGGGTTTTTTTTTAGATATATAGATATAAATCAGACACATTACAATAACAGTAATAATTGACGATAACCAATCCAGATAGAACATTATGGCTACACAGATCAATCCGGTTATAAGGCTAATCCATTTATTATAATATTTAAATGTAGGACGAAAACTTGGCGAACCAACAAACGATGCATGAAAACAGGTTACATTAACAAGGCAAAATGATGCCATGAAAAAATTCGATATAATCGGAGCAATGGAATTAACCTTACCTGGAAAAAAATTTTATAAAGTAACCAAGTTATGATCTTATGATTGAGGTGGAAAAGAAATGAATTGTAAACTACTACTACTCACCAATCATGATGAATAATATTGAAATTAAAAATGTCAATACATAACCACGTCTTGGATCATTATTTTTACCATAACCTTTAGCAAAAAAATGTATGTATGGAATTAGCTTATCTTCACAAAGTGCTTGAAATATTCTCGGTGCACAAACATATGAACTAAGTGCACTGGACAATGTTGTTGCATAGATTCCGGCATATATCAATGGCCCCCATGCTGAACTCAATGTCATTGTTTGATAATCACTGATTAAACCATATGGACAACCATTTTCCGTTGTTATACAAGTAAAATTCAATGGAAAAATGACATTTTGCATTTCTTCATAGTTCCCTGTTGCATATGGTAATACGGTAAAGCCTAAAAAAAATACCAGTATTATATAAACCGACGATGTTGTTAAAATTGCTAAAAATGTTCCTTTCGGTATAGCAGTATTTGGATCACGAAGATCTCCACTCATACTAGCTCCGGCAAATATACCAATAACGGATGGAAAAAATACTGCAAATAATTCAGCTAAACTAGTATCATATTGTCCAAAAAGATTGGTCATGAAAATTTGTGCTAATTTTGAAACAAACAACACGCACACATTAATAAATCAAATTAATTAGGATGAATAAGAACAGTACTAAATGATTAATAATTACGTTTCCATCCAAGATTTCCCCGTGCAATTTGTTCTGTTGTTGATGGTATAAATGTACCAATTACATAATTACAAATAGCAACTAGAAGTACCATTAAAGCGACAAACGTTGTCTATGATGAATAGATTATTGATGATTAACTCATTTTTTGATTTTCATTTTTTTTTTTACTTACTTTAGCTTCCCAATTCATTCCAATTAATGGTATAATGGCAACGATAATTAAGAAACCAGTTGCAAGTAATCTTGTATCATTATCGATATTATTCGTTATCGTTATATTAGCCGACTAATTTTAATATAAATCATACATATCATCATTCTAATTAATCATCACAAAAATTTGTAAACATGCAAACACACACACACGCCCTATCTATTTTATTATATAAACATACCGATATTAATTGAACAGTTGTTTCAGCTGCACCAACTAGATTCAACGAGACAAGTATAGCTTTTGCCAATGAAAAAGTTATACCGATCATTGAACCAGCTTCGGCGCCAAGACTACGGCTAATCATATAATAAATCCCACCAATACCAATTTCACCATTCGTACAAATGGCCGACATTGATAATGTTGTACAAAATGTTAATAATGTCGATATGAGAATAATACCGATTGAGCCCACTAATATTTCCACACGATAATTAAATATGAAATAGTTAAAAAACAAAACAAAATCAAGAATTCTACTTACAAATTCCAGCATTTCCAGTTATCCATCCCATACGGAGAAATAACATAACACCAAATATAATGAGTACAGTTCGATTCTAAAATGAAATATTCACATATGACATATTTGATTTCAAATTAAATCAATGAATGAATAAAACTTACATAGACACCATTGATCCAACCGAATTTTAATGAATTGTATTCTTGATGATTATCCATATCACTTTGATAATCACTGGGTCTTTTTTCATTATTCGTATATGGATGAAGAATTTTTGTCGATTCTGATTGAAATATTGAATCTTTACGTTCAGAACGACGAAGACATTGTGGAAAAAATGATGATCGTCGTTGAGTTGCATTCACTTCTGTCATCTTGTAACAAGTGAAAAATAACAAAATGAACTAAAAACTAAGGAAAAAAAATTTCACAAAATCAAACGATAACCACTATATATATCTGTGAAAAGGAATGAAGGTTTCAAGAGAAAAAAAATCAAAGAAAAACTATTTACTATCATCCAAATCGAAATCAACGAGAACAAACAAAAATCAAAATTAAATTCTTTTTTCTGCTGTTCTCCATTTATTTTATTTCATTTTTGTTTTCTGATGTTTATTATATTCAATTTTTAACATAAAAAAAAATTATCATCATTTTTATCAACTTTTATTTTCACTTGTAATAATAATAATAATAAATAATTTTTATTATTAAGCATATCTGTAATGATAATGAAGCGGAATTAAAAACGGAAAAAACAAATAAAACAATTATATATATCATTACAAAGTTAGGTCAATTTTTTATTCCATTATTATAAGAAAAAAAAAAATACATTAACGCTAAACGATAATAAATAGTTTTCATATCTAGCACAAACACAAACAAAATTATAAAAATTTTTTCAATAATTATTATAAAGATTAAAAATAATCAATAAAAAAAAATTAATCATTCATTTAGTGCAAATGCTCAAACGATGAATGATTTGTTTTTTTTTACTCATTTCAAAATCTTCATCATCATTATTATGGTAACAGGTGTTTGTGTGTGTGTGTTTTTGTTGGTTAGAGATTGTTGGTTACAGATTTGATTGTAAAAAAAAAATGTACAAATATCATCGCTAAACTAGACGAGAAACAAACAAACAGACAAAAAACAAAAATCTAAACATTTCGAATCAGAATTTGTAACCACAATAAATGGGTTAAATTAAATTATACAATTAAAAAAAAAAATATTTGTGGCTAATAAATAATGATAATGATGATTATCAGTGCACCGGAATGGCCATGATGGATAGTGGGCATCAAAGTTAGGTGCTCATTTCATCCGGTGATTTATTTTTTTTTAATTATGATGATGATCATTGTACCAAAATGGCCATGATGGATTGTGGGCATCATAATTCGGTGCTCATTTCATTCGATGATTTATTATTTTTTTGATTATGATGATGATTATAATGTAATGATGGTACAATAAGATGATCTTTGTTATTACCATTAACCATATAACCAACACCAACGTTACCAACATCCATTGTAATGCCACCATTCATATTTGAACCTTTTGTTATTGTTGTTGTTGTTGTTGCAGCAGCTGTCATTTTATAATCCTGAATAAAAATGATTGTAAATAATAATTAATAAGATAAGATTTGATGAGCTCGTTTAAAAAAAAAAAAAATGAACATACATACATCATTATTTGAATAATATGCCGTACTATGTGATGGTAGAAATGTAACTCGTGGTGATGATGATGAATTTGAATTTTGTTGTTGTTGTTGTTGCTGATGCTGCTGCTGCTGTTGTTGTTGTTGTGGATAATGATGACCATTGACCAGATTTCTTTGATCAAAATAATAACGTGTAGGTGGCGTTGTAACGGCCATAATATTGGATGAATGATGATGATTGTTATGCGATTCATTTACATTGGATTTATCATAATAGATTTTACTATTACTATTATCGGTGGCCATCCCAACATTCATAATCTGTGTAGGTGAGTGTTGCTGTTGATGTACATCCATTATTCGATTCAGATTCATCATTGGTTTTCTAATCAATAAAATGTTGTTTGTTGTATATAATCAATATATTTCGATTGGTTCAATCAATCAATAAGAAATTAATAATTATTACCTGTCCATAAAATTGGGATTGTTCATTTTATCATAACGATTTGTTATACGATTACCTAGATAATATTCAACATCTGATTTTGATGATTGTTGTTGTTGTTGTTGTTGCTGATATTTTGATTTTGATAATTGTGGCTCGGTACGAATTTTTGTAAATTGAATATTTTTCTTCTCCGCTTCAGTATAACCTGTTGTATCGATTGGTTCATGAAAAATATATTTCTGTATTTCAGTTGGTACAGTAGATTTTCGATTCAAACTTCGATTACTACGATGATGTAATGGTGTTGGTGATGATGGCTGCATATATCGTCGTCGATCTTCCGTTTCCGAATCACTATCATGATGATGATGATGATGATTATGATTAGATGATTGATAGATAATTTTATTTACATTTCTAACCACTGCATTTGAACATTGTTTTGCCATTGTAGACGTTGTTGGCATTGTTGAATAATTATTACGTCTATCCATTGTTTCATCCCATTCAACCATACGTGGTTCAATGTAATATTTTCTTCTTGATCGTGGCATATAGCCACTACCGTCATTTATGTCGGAAGAACAACCACCACCAATGCCTATACCATTATTATGAATCGATGATGAATGTATTGCCATTACTTTTGATGATGAATGTCTTGAATAACGACTAATTTCACTATCATTATCGGCTGATCTTGATGATCGATTACGACGTAAACTAGTTGATGATGCATTACGTTTCATTGGTGAAACATAATTCATACGGCCATAATCATAACGTGCTACAAATGCACTACGAACGGACAATGGTGATGCACTGGCCGATTTGGAAAAAAGTCCACTAAAGATTAATAATAGTAATAAATTTAAAAAAAAATAGAAATGTAGGTTGAAAACATTTTCATTTCTGATTACGAAATTCATACAAACCTTTCAGATTTATGATACGGATTTATGGCACCGTATTCAGCTTTTGGAATTGATGGTGTTGAATTAAAACGACAAATCGGTTGTAAACATTTATTATTGTTGCTGCCACTAATACCACCACCACCACCAACACCACCACCTTCATAAAATTGTCCATTTTTATTATTAAGCTTTGAATCTGAATCTAGTCATATTAAACGAATATATTTGAAAAAAAAGAAATAAGAAGAAAAACAAATAAACAAACAAACAAAAATTTAAATCCTGATTTGATCAGCTGACTCTGTTTTTGAACATACTTTCTGAACCATCCGGTACACCAGTACGTCGAAAACGTCTACTTGAAACTCTTATCAATGAAGGATTTGGCCGATTAAAATCTTGATTTATCATTCGTATGGCTCCATTAGACAATGATGATGATGACAATTTATTACCATCATTTATATGACTTAATAAATAAGATGGTTGCATTCTTATTGATTGTGATAATTTAAAAAATTCTTTATGATCTTTACAACTTTTATATATACGATTTGTTGATGGTCGATCATACATTTCAAAACCATAGGTTTTATCTACATTCTACATAAAATATTTATATATAGAAGATAGAAGATGATGATGAGAATGGAAAAGAAAAGTTCATATTAATGTCATATATGTTTTGTCATCAAATAATGATCTGAATCGATCGAATGGATCTTATTATTACATTTTTATCAATCACTTTAATCATGAAAAATTTTCCTTTACGCCATATTTTAATTATTCGTGGCCTAATTAATTAATAATGATTAGGTCAATCAATCAATGAATGGAAAAAAACATACCAATAATAATAGGCAATTTTCAGTTTATTCTTCAATACAATTATTCCATGTGGTCCAAGACCTAGATAATATTCATAACGATCTTCAGCCTAAGTGAAAGCAGTAAAAACAAAATTTTTTATCGGTAACACCATTGTTTGTTTGTTTACCATAACCGAATGTAATTCACAACCATAAAGATCAAGCCATTTAACTCGTTCAAGAAATTGCATTTCAACAGCTGTTGGAATTTGTCCACTGTATGTGTTCATCCATTTGAATAGAATTTAATATTTAAACATCAAATGTGGTCATATGAATAATAGATTCTTGAAACTTACATTAATTTTTTATGTAAATCACAAACTTTATTCTCAAAATCTAATGATTGATTTTCGATCCAACAGAATTCCGATACATAACCAAATTGATGAATTTTTGGATCATAATCGCCAAGTTCAGCTGTCGGTTTTTGTTTTGTAAACAATTGACAAACATTGAAAACAAAATCATTCAAATCAGATTGAATAAGAAAATCAAATCTCTTACATTGTATAATAAATGCTAATAACTGTGCAGCCAATTCATTGGTTACCGGTAATCGTGATTGTTGTATATCTTGTTTGATTTGAAGAAAAAATTGATATCTAGTACATTCTTCACGTAATTTACATGGATCAGATGAATAAAATTTTACACCAAAATATAACGTGATTGGTTCAATCTCTTTCACCTGTTTGATGGCATTTTTATTTGGTTCAAGCCAATTCTTAAATTATTTGAATATACACAAAATTCAATTCAATGAAAAAAAAAAAAATTTCAGACAAACAATCAATCAAAAGTTACTTACAGAAAATCCTTTTGAATCAATAAAACGTAATCCAAAATAAACGGTTTCAAGGAGATCAAGATGTTTGAATACGATATCCAATATATCTTGGCCTTTTTGAGATTCCTATTTTAATAATAATTATATTATATTATATTTTGTATATGTGAAAACAAGATGTTATCATTAAACGACCACAATGGGATTGTGATTTTTGTGTGTGTGTAGGTGGTGTTTGTGGTTTGTGCGTGTGTGTGTGTGTGTGTGTGTGTGTGTGTGTTGATTAAATTTATTTATTTTTTTTTTGTTTGGATAACAATGTTTAATTAGAATCAAATCATCAGATAAAACTATAGTTTATTATTTGTTTACCTTTATTTCTTGTATCAATTCGGTTTCATCGAGCAAAACAATTTTGCAACGATATACTTTGTTCGATGTGCCAAAACATTTCATTATGAAATCATATATGATTACGATATGATAAGATTTTAAATTTTTTTTTAATAAAAAAAACAAATAAATAAACAAACAAAAAAATGCAAAACATCTGATGATGGGGTCATTCATATAAAAATGAATGGAATCAAAAATATTTAACACTTTGATATATCACACATCAAAAAAAAAGGTCAAATACATTCTGAATTTATTCTTCTTCTTCTTCTTCTTCTTCATTCGAATGTTATCGTTGTTGTTGTTGTTGTTGTTGTCGTCGTCGTCGTTATCTATTGTTAATGGTCGTTCAAACTATATATATTGGTGATGATGATTATAATTACAAAGTTCATTACACGCTAACACAAAGGGTATATGTTGTTGTGTGAAAGAAAATGAAGAATAATAATAATAAGAAAAACAGGTTGTTGTCAAATGTTCAATGTGTTTATGTGCTTGTAGTATTGGGGGGTTGTTAGTTTTAATGTGTAATTCACAATAAACATGATACAATGGCTGTTATATAACACAGGTGAACTGTACACATTTGAAATATTTGACTTAATTTGGTCAGATACAAAAAAAAAACGAACGAACGAACGAATGAACGAACGAACGAAATAAAGAAAGAAAAAAAAATGTTCATTGAAGCGATCAATTTTATCGGAGTTATGGTGATAGAAGAAAGAAAAAAATCACATTCACATCGTAAAAAAGAGAAGTAGAAATAAAAGAGAGGAAGGAAGCTATCATCATCATCATTTGATGATGGATAGTCAAGCCACAGAGTAGTCATATGTTTAATGTTACCATTAATAATCGAATGAGAGAGAGATAGAGAGAGAGAAGTTGGAATAAGGAACGGAAATTAACGATACACAGTTGCTTTTTCTATTACTCTTTTTTTTCTCAATTCAATTCAATAAATAAACAAACAAACAAAAATGCAAAACATCTGATGATGGGGTCATTCATATAAAAATGAATGGAATCAAAAATATTTAACACTTTGATATATCACACAACAAAAAAAAAGGTCAAATACATTCTGAATTTATTCTTCTTCTTCTTCTTCTTCATTCGAATGTTATCGTTGTTGTTGTTGTTGTTGTCGTCGTCGTCGTTATCTATTGTTAATGGTCGTTCAAACTATATATATATTGGTGATGATGATTATAATTACAAAGTTCATTACACGCTAACACAAAAGGGTATATGTTGTTGTGTGAAAGAAAATGAAGAATAATAATAATAAGAAAAACAGGTTGTTGTCAAATGTTCAATGTGTTTATGTGCTTGTAGTAATGGGGGGGTTGTTAGTTTTAATGTTTAATTCACAATAAACATGATACAATGGCTGTTATATAACACAGGTGAACTGTACACATTTGAAATATTTGACTTAATTTGGTCAGATACAACAAAAAAAAACGAACGAACGAACGAATGAACGAAATAAAGAAAGAAAAAAAATGTTCATTGAAGCGATCAATTTTATCGAAGTTATGGTGATAGAAGAAAGAAAAAAATCACATTCACATCGTAAAAAAGAGAAGTAGAAATAAAAGAGAGGAAGGAAGCTATCATCATCATCATTTGATGATGGATAGTCAAGCCACAGAGTAGTACATATGTTTAATGTTACCATTAATAATCGAATGAGAGAGAGAGAGAGAGAGAAGTTGGAATAAGGAACGGAAATTAACGATACACAGTTGCTTTTTCTATTACTCTTTTTTTTCTCAATTCAATTCAATGATGATGATGATGATCATCATCATCATCATCATTACCAGATATTGTATCCTTGTAGCCGAAAAATAAAGATGGGAATGATGATGAAGGTGGTAGAAGTGGGAAAGAAAAAGAAGAGGTAGAATGGTGTTTTTACCATCATTCATTTTAGTATATTTTCATCAATATTATCGTCTGGAAACATAATATAACAAGAGACTGGTCAAACCAGTCATTCAAACTAACCAGAAAAAAAATATAGTTTCCAATGATCGAATGATTTGACCATTTTTTAGCTTTTGCTCTCTCACACACACCTCACTCACTCACTCACCCTCCATTTTCGTTGCTGTGTCCAGATATTTTAGACATCATCAGACCAATTTCTCAAAAAATGATGCTATTTTTTGATTTTCATTCATTCATTCATTTATTCATTTTTTCCATACGAACTTTGGATACATTACACAATAAAAATATAACAGGCTTTTAAAACATTCATTCATTCATCATTTTTTTTTTCTGTTTTGTGTTTGATTATTATTATGGAAAATCGGTCATGAAATTTTCTTATCGCTTCTTGGTTCACACACCGTTGTTGTTGTTGTTGTTTTTTTTTGGGATAAAAATTTCTCTTGTTATCCGCGATTTTTTTTTTTTTTTGCTCGGTAATCATCCATCGAGTTTGTGAGAACATCATCACGCGGACACAAACACACACACAGAAAGTAGCCGAAAAAAAAATTGACAGATATAGATGATAATAATGATGATGAACAACAAATCGTATTGATGGGAATCTAAAAGTAAAAAAAATTACAAATTTAGAAAAAATGTTTCGAATCCAATCGATCGATCGATTGATCGATGGATTGGTGGCGGTGGTGGTGGTGGTCGATTGGACGTTATTTTTAAACTAACTAAAAGAAAAAAAGAATGAGAAAATTTTTGATTTCTTTTTTTTTTGCTTTGGTTTTTTTTCCCGTATGGATTTTCATATAACGGATGCGAAACAAAATGACAGTAGAGAAATAGAAAAAAAAACACTAATTTCATCGGCACGATAATCTTTCTGTTTTTTCTGTTGTTTTTGTTTCCACACACACACACACACAGTGGTGGTTTCGATTATGATACATCAGACAAACTTTATCCATAAATCCATAGAAAAAAATTTTTTTTCATTGTTTCTGTTTTTTTTCGGTCGAATTTTTCTCATTTCCAATTCTAAACTCAATTTAACTTTTTTTCAAATGGATAATTTCCATTTTAACAACAACAACAACAACAACAACAACAGCAACAACAACAACAACAACAACAATAGATCGAAATTTTTTTTTTCTTCATAATAATAATAATAATGATGTTAATTCATAGAGAACAATAGATTTTGTCCGAACAGAAAAAAAAACGAAACAAATCCAATGAAATACTATTTTGAATATCTAATGAGATTTACAATACAATACAATACTACAACGAAACAAAACAAAACAAAAAAAGAATATCGTTGCGCAAGCTACCGCCCGGATATAAGTGTTAATGGATCGCCAATAATAAAATTGATCCCTGTAGACAAAATTGGAAAAAATGGATATTTGACTGGTGTGTGTGTGTGTGTGTGTGTGTAAGAAAGGGAAAAAAATGCATTTAACACTTGTGTTATTTGTTTTGTTTATTCATCAGTTAGTGTAAAATGATCAAAGTTAATTCGATGACAACCCAAACAAATGTTATTTTTTTTTTTTTTTGGTTATTGTTGTTTGGTTGAAAATCATCATTCATCATATATATGATGAAATGTGACACACACACACACATATATATACACAAAGACGGGATTCGAAACTTTTTTTCCACTCACTTTCATTTTATATGTTATGAATAAATTTATAATGAGATACGATACGATGCGGATGCGGTTTGTCATCAACAACAATGTATAAGGAAAATAGGAAGAAAAGAGAGTTAGTGTCAATTGTGTTTGATCACTTTTTGTATACATTGAACAACAAAAAAGCTACTATGCGAGTATGTCATATATATACCATTTACGGTTGACAATGTTCAAATTCAATATATAATATTGAATGAATTGATATGCGATGCAGGATTGATTCAACACGTATAAAAACGAAAAAAAAGGCCATAAAGTCATCTCTATAGTAGTAGTAGTAGTAGTGTGAAACAAGTGTAAATGCGATCATCACCCGATTCAATGATCTGAATAAAACTTTGTTTTATATTCTAATATTCTCTCTCTTTTTGGGACATTTTTGGAACGCGTATTAGTTGTCTGTGTGTGTGTGTGTGTGTGTGTATGTATACACAAATGCACCATACACATCATTCATCAATACCCAAAATCATTTAGCTTTTTTTTTCTCAGTTAGTCTAGTTTTTAAATCTAGTCAAGTCAGATCTAGTATGATAAAATCCACTGATCCTAAAATCATGTCCACACCGAACACACGAATCTTTTCTATCATTCATTCATTCGATTAACATGTATATTGAATGTGACATGATATATAAAAGTGACATGTACGCGTGTGTCTGTTTTTGTCCATAACGCCAAACTTATCGTACAAAAAATATCGACAGATGTGATAAATATCACTAACAATTATTATCCGAAACAATTTAAATATCCGATAAAATGACGACAGCAAGAGAGAGAGAGAGAGAAAAATTTCAGAATAAAAACGGAATAAGTATAGAATAAGCTATTGTTGGTATATTTGAGCCGAATAAATTGTGTGACAATCATTCGGTTCGTGTGTCGTCACCATTTTAACGGTTTATATAACATATAAGTGTGTGTGTGTGTGTGTGTGTGTGTGTGTGTGCTTATGCATCTATTATTCAACTTGATTAAGCATTTTACAGTTTGCTTAAATTATCATCATCTTCATTGATGTTTCAGTTATCGTTTTTGAAAATTTAGATATAGAAAATTTAACCATTTACACTGAATACACACAAACACACGCACACGGGTTCAGATGAATGGGCAATATTTTTTTTCAATGGTTTGTAATGGTCTTTTTTTTCTGGCCTCTTGTTCCAATTTGATCATCATCATCAATATATATGACTTATATCTACAATGAATGATTCGATTTGTTTTGTTTCTTTTCATTTGAATCATCATTATTTTTTTTTCTTTATGAATCCACATTCTGGTTTCATTTTTTTTTATTTTATTATCAAGAATCCATTTTGATTCTATATAGAACACTACAAATAAACAGTGGCTGCCTATGTGTGACGTTCAAATTTTTGTTGTTGTTGTTGTTGGTTCTATTTTGTTTTTGGTTGGCCATTTTATGTGTCCATTGAATATTTGAATTGTTTGTGAGATTGTCATCACCACCACCACCACGATGACGATGACGACGACCATCATTTCATCGTCATTTGTATCCCGTAAACCGTTTAAGCGATTAGATTCCCTTGATAATTTTTTTCCTCTTTTTTTTCTGGTTCGTCAGTCAGTCAGTCAGTCAGTCAACCGGCCAACCAGCCAGTCACATAGTGGAACAAATATAATGTGTGCAGCAAATATATTGGGATTATATTTGAGGCCATAAGATTATTCTATGCTGGATTTTCATCAATATCAATGAATTGTTTCAATTTATACATGTATAGAAGATGATTTGCACTTGAAACATCAACTAGTTTTCAACCATTATTTGATTGAATTGAATTGACTTTTCATTTTTATTTCAAACCATTGTGTTTTATTAAATTGAATGAATTTGCAAAAATTTTTCTTTTACGAATACCGAATAATTACATTTCCTAGTTTTTTCGTCTATTGTATATTCATGGAAAATGGAATTTGGTAAAAAAAATGCAAAAATTTCGTACAAAACTAACAAAATGCAAATACTATATATATGCCCGCTGTAACGAGGGTCTATGAACGTCTCTCTCTTTGGTCTCAAGTCAGGTGATTTGTTTTAGAGCTCACCAATTGTTGTATTGACAAAATTGAAAGCTATCTAAATGAATTTAGTAGAATTGCGAAGGCTAATAATTGGACTGATTGTCGAAGTGCTGATATTTTTCAAGCTATGCTTCGTGCAGATTCGGAAGCTTTACAATTATTTGAAGATTTAACCGAATCAGATCAAAAATCATTTTCCAATTAAAACGAGCTTTCGAAGAAAAATTCAAACATAATTTTTTCGAAATCATTTCATGGCTGCATTAGATTTGAAGTTACGTGAAAAAAATTGCGTTATCGGAGTCCCAAGAACAGCAAATGATGTTCTGGCTAAAGCTGAAGCTTTTGAAAATGCATCAAAATGTCATTATAATCGTAACGAAAATTCATTTCAAAAACCATCGTCATCGTCTAATAATAACAATAATAAAAATAACAACAAGAAATCAAATAAATTTTGTGAGTATTGTAAAAAAACGAATCATAATACTGATGCTTGTTATTCAAAAAAGAAGAAAGAAAAAAAAGATAAAGCTGAAAAAGAAAAAGTTTCAAGTATCGAATCAGATCGAATGGTAATGAAAATTATGATTGATTTCAAAAATAAAAAACATCTAGCTATTATTGATTCGGGCAGTAGTATTTCATTTTTTCCAAAAAATCTTATTGATTCATCTAAATTGGTTAATTCCGAGAAAAATGTATCTGCTGTATCATTCACAAATGATCCGATATCGATTATTGGTGTTTATAAAGAAACAATTAAAATTGAAAATGTGAAATGTAAATGGGATTTCTATGTCGCAAATAATAATGATTATTTTCTAATTGGTTTCGACTTTCTTAGTTCAAAAAGATTCAAGATTTCTACTGATTTTGGGTTATTTAAAATTTCGAATGGTCGAACCGAAGGTCAAACTAAAATATTGCGATCTACAGATATAAATTCACATGATTATCAACAATTTAATAATTTGATCATTTCTACTGATTCTGATAAAAAGAAGATATTGAACATTTTTATTTCAAACCATTGTGTTTTATTAAATTGAATGAATTTGCAAAAAAAATTTTTCTTTTACGAATACCGAATAATAATACGAGCGATACATTTTCCTAGTTTTTTTTTCGTCTAAATTGATTATCCACATTATGTGTTGTATAAGAGAATCGTTATAATAAATTAACATAATAACATTGTATATTCATGGAAAATGGAATTTGGGAAAAAAAAAATTTCGTACAAAACTAACAAAATGCAAATACTCTATATATATGCCCGCAAGTTATTTATATCGAATGAATGATAATTATCTTAACCATAGTCGATTGTTGTTGTAGTGGTCAAAGTTCAATGCCAATAAATTGTTTGATTTTTTCATTAACCAAAAAAAAAAACAATCTACAATTCTTTTCAGATGAATTGTTGAATCAATGAATCGAAAAATGTGCACTGCAAATAAATTCTGAAATTACAATTCAATAAAATACCCGGTGAAAATGTAAGGGAAAAAAACAAACCAATATATTATCATTGAATTTTGTATATATTCAAATGTGCAATATTAATAAGACAACAGAAGATAAAACCAGAACAAAAAAAAAGAAGAAGAAGATAAAAATCTAAATGTAAATGTTTCTTGGAACACGAAGTTAAGCAATTCTTGCAAAAAAAATTTCTTTTTTTTCTGTTTGTTGCACTCTCATTTTGTTCAAGAATTCAACAACAACAACAACGACGACGACGACGACGACGAGAATGCATTGGGAAATGAAATTATATAATCATACAGATCAAACCAGATTCCAATGTGACTTACCTATGTTTTTTTTTCATCTGCTGTTGTTGTTGTTGTTGTTGGTTGATTTTCTAGGTTTCATTTTCGTTTCCCACTTGGTTAGATTTTTCTGGATGAAAAGAGCAAAACGAAAGAAAAAAAATTACCATGAGTCGATTGCGCAATATAGATATAGTAAGAAGAGAAAAAAATTTGAACCCGATTCTTTCGAAAAAAAAAATTTTTTTTTGTTTTCTGAGGTTATTAAACACAACAACTGAATTATTATTATTATATATCTGCTGCTATGTATACAGCAAATTTTTTTTTTCGTTCTGCACCCAGAAATACATATACCAAAAGAAAAAAAAAACCAGATCCAAACGCAGAAACCAAAAGGAAAAATTTTTGTCTTTTTTTCTGAAAGATACATCCCACTAATATCAATACGAAAAGAACAAAATGATCAACTAAAAGGCGTGGTAAATGGCGCGCGCAGTTATCATCGGATGTGTTCCAATAAAATAGTGAATAATGAAAAAAAACACTATATCAGTTCCAGCAATGTCTAGGGTTCTGGAACACAGACACACACACACACACACACACGCACGAATATGTATGTAGAATACAGAATTCCCAACCCAGAAATTCTATGAGAATATGTGTGTCTAATATATATATGTGTGCGCATGAAATTCTACATATCATCAACAATTTTGGTTATATGTTTGTTGGGTGAAAAAAAAAATATTACCGTACATTTGTATATACACACACACACATTTACATGTAAAGAATATCAAACAACAACAACAACAACAACAACAACACCTTTTCTATGAAATATTGAAAGCAAAAAAACATCTAGTTCAAGTTCCTAAACATCATTTTTTTTTGTATTCTCTACATTGCGTATTACAAATCGGATCTACAAATCAAATCCATATATGATATGATAAATGAATGAATTTCCGGATCAATTTATTGTTATTGTTTGCTCGGTGTTTTTTTGTGTTTTGACACGTGTGTGTGTTCATCGATAAATGGAAAAAAAGCATAACGTATTGAGAACATAAAAAAAAACTTGATCTTGTTGTTCTGATAAATCAAACGAAATGATCAGAAAAATTCCGGTGTCAAAAAACAGAAATCATTCATTCTGAAAAATTTTCAATCAGTGCAATCAATCAATTTTTTTAATTAGAAAAAAAATTCTTCAAGTGCCTGTGATTCTTTTTGTGTGTGTACTGCGTAGTGGACATCATCATATTTGGTCCACAAGAATATCATAAATTCTAGATTATCATACTATAACAACAACAACAACGACAACAACGACAACAACGACAACAACGACAACAAAATCAATTCGAAAACAACTATTTCGACAAAATTAATTCGTTATTATGAAAATGGATGATCACGTATTTCCGGCTTCATTGGCCAATAATAAAGTAATTCAAGGTAAGCTTGTAAATAACATTATCATCATCATCATCATGGTAATACGCTGTGTTTGTAAATAAAATAAATGATGTGTGTGTGTGTTGTGTGTTTTTCGATCAATTTATTCATTCAATCGTGATAAAAGTTAAGAAAAGATTATTCGTTCCAGAATCTTGATTCATTGATCGAACAAATGTATGTAGATTTTTTTTTCCACCAACAGTTTGATGGCATGGTTACCGTTGTATAATATTTTCACATATGAAATTTATATGTCAAAATCGAATGATGATAATGATCATGATCATCATATTGTATTACAACAAAAACGACCGAGAAAAACAAATGAATGAAATGAAAAAAAAACCGTGGGATGGAACATTTTTTTTCGGGTCCCGCAATCTTAAGATCTCGATGTGTAGGCGTTAATGCGATTGTTGACAATAATGCTAATGTGATGCTAAGATTTTGTACTTAAGAATAATACACACCGTGAGAGAGAAAGAAACCAGAAAAGCACTTGAAAAATATAATTTAAATCTGTCTGATCGACAACAATGGACAAAGACAATTTTACCTGAACCAGATCAGACCAGACCAGAACAAAAACAGAACAAAACAAAAACAGACAACAGATCATTATAGATGATATGAGAAAAATAAAATGTTTGATAATGTATACATACATAGATATCGTGTATCAATCATCAATTGCAGATAAATGAAAATGGATTTGAAGGTCTGCTGCTGCTGCTGCTGCTAGACAACCACAAAATTTACCAGGGTCATAATGATGATGATGAGCAGGTGTATTCATCATCATCATCATCATGACCCTGGATATTCATTCCAATTTTTTTTAGCTTTTCAGCTTTTCACCACCCTCTATTTATTTTATTTTTTTTCTTTTTTTTTTTTGAATGAATCATAATCATCATCATTATTATCATTTTGTTTAAATGGATATTATTCTACAACATTTGGTTTGGTTGATTTTACTACACACACACACACACACACACGAATCATCTATCTATCTACCTAGTTTCTAATCATAAACAACACAATGTTATATGAGATTCGTGAATTTCTTCTTTTTTTTCATTATCATCATCATCATCATCATCATCATAAGATTCAAAAGTATATACTCCATATAAACATTGAATTGAAATGATAGTCACAAATTTTTTTTTCTCTGCTATTTTGTTGTTTGTACGGCACGCACGCAAACATTTTTTTTTTTTGTTTGTAAAGTTAGAAAGCTAGAAAGAGAGAGCGAGGGTGTTTATTCATTCATTCATTTGTTCGCGTGTGTTTGTCTGTGTGTGTGTATGCTGAAACAATTTTAGACTCGTGGAACGTTTTTTTTTTTTGTTAGAATCGAATCGAACCAAAGTCATGCCATAACAAACTTCATATAGTTGAAGGTAAATGAAAGTAAACCAAACACAAAACATAAAATCACAAGCAAACAAACACACGTTTTGTTTGCATTACCTGCTGTTGCTGCTGCTGCTGCTGTTGTTGCTTACTTGCTTGCTTAGATTGGTTTTCATATGATGGTTGCTCACTTTATCATATTTCGAATATTGGTCGGTTTTTTTTTCTCTTCACCATTCTGTATATTTTCATCTATCGTCAATTGTATGTGGCACGTGTGTCAACGAGTGGTTGCACACACACACACACGACACACGTTATTCTGGAGTTCATCATTTCAAAATGCAATCATTCGATTCCGATTGATTGAATATTGCTATAAAGAACATTCTGTACAAACGAATATATATATATTTTATTCGCATTTCAGAATGAATGTGAAAATCAAATAAAAAATAGAAAAAAAATGAAAATTTTCGATTGTCATTTGGTTTGTATTTTGTTCGTTTGATTGGCAGTGCATTTTAGGATAATCAAAATTTTTTTTTTGATTGAAAAACGAACCAAAATTCGGATCCATTAAAAGGTTTTTGTTGACTTTTATTATTGGTCATTCGAAGGTCATTGTCATGATGTTGATGATGATGAAAATCCCAAAAGAATCAAATAGATTAGGTCAGTTAGATTTATCCATTAATAGAAAAAAAGGGGTCAAACAAAAACAACATCAACTAAGGAAAATAAAAAAAGTTAATTCAATTTGTAATTCCATTAACCCGTTCTGGTATGGTTCAACCATAATCATCAACAACCATATGACGATTACGATGACAGAACAGTGAAATTCTGCATTGAATCGTCATTGATGATGATGAAAAAAAAAGTTTTTCATTGTCAAATTTTTTTTTCAATCTAATAAAAAAACTCTTACAGACATAACAGATGTTTGTTATGTAGGTGTGTTGTTTGAATTCGGGTTCAAGGTTCCAAAGATTCGAATTCTCTGTCTCTTTCTCAGACATACACACACACACAAAGCACCAACGCATGTACATCCTACAACTTTGTCATTCAAATCATAATTCTTGGAACTATGGAATGAACGTGAATCACTTTTTTTCAAAAAAAAGAATCTAGAAAAAGAATCAGATCAGAACACACATTGCAACACATTCAATTCTGTGTTTTTATCATATAATGATTTTTTTTTTGCTGCAATAAAACATTTATTTTTCATGTTCATGTCTCATTTGTTCCTGGAAAATGGAACTTTCCAACAAAAAAAAACAGAGAGAAAATTTTATTTTCTATTCGACTCTCGGGTATTATATTTGACTCTATATCTATAAAATTTAATTCATTTTTTTCCACGAAAAAAAAATTAAATTTAAAATTCAATATGAAACAATTCTGTTGTCATCGTCGTCGAATAGAGAGTTGGAATTTTGTGATTTAATTAATTTGTGAAATGTGAAATAGAAAAGAAAAACATTCCAATAATCCTTTCGGAAAAGAATCGATCGGGAATTGACTTTCAGAATAAGATTTTTTGCCGACAAACACGAACGAACGAACGAAAACAAACAAAATCATTAAAATCAACCCTTTTTATTGCATTGTGCATTTGATTTGATTGATTTTTATTTATCATCATGAATGTTATTTATTTGTGTTTAGATTTTTTTTTTGTTGTCAAACAAAATCCTCTTAACCAATGGTGATAATAATAATGGCTGATGTACATCTTAATCTCATGTGTTTTGTTGATCATTGATCGAATTCAATTCACAGCAAATAATCCTAGTGCTTAAAATCATATCATTTTTTTCCATTTGTTTTTGTTTTTCGGTAAATATTTGTTGACAATGAAGGCAAAAAAAATAAACGAAAACAAAGAAAAAACTTGATTCTTTTAACAAAAAAAAAACATAAAGGATTATAAATTCATTCTAATCACTTGTGACTGGTAAAAAAAGAAAGAAAAAAATCCCATTGCCCCAAAAACTCCAGGGAACTTGGGCCGTGTCAACACACACACACACACACACACAGACACAGACAGACAGAAAACAAAATCCACTTGAACGAACAAATAATCAGCAAACAAAATGGTTTAGAATTTATTATTTACTTCGGGAATTACTACATGTCATCATCATCATCATAATCAGACTAAATACACACACACAGACAGACATTAGATAGCCGAAAAAAACATGTGACAAATAACATTCAATTCAATTTGGACGGCAACAAGAACAAAAATGACAAAAAAAAACACTGAATCAATGATTGAATGAAGAAAAAAAAAATTTTTTTTTGTTCCTGAATAAACATCTCATTGACAACAACAACAACAACAACAACAGGAACGATTCATTTATTCTTGGATATGGATATGAAAAATCTCTTTACTCACACACACACACAAAATTTTGGCTATTTTTTTATGCATAAAATTTTCTGAATATAAATCTCCTCCCGTATAAGAAAAAGACAACAACAACAACGGAAAAAAATTGATAAATTCTAAACAAAACACATATACACATAAACCACCACTAAATCGATGGGTAACAACAAAAACAAGTATGATTTCGAATGCAAAATATAACAATAAATCGACAGCAAAAAAAAAAAAAAAACTTCAGAGAAATAGAGAGTGTGTGTGTGTGTGTGTATACAGTGTACCAGGTCCGAATTTAATCATGTTAAAATGCTTTTACTGAAATTATTTTCTGTATGTATCTCATTCTGTACAATACAATGAAAGTTTAGGTTTTCATTTCTTCTTCTTCAACATTTTTTTTTTTTTTCGCTATATATATATTAATTCTGGTATGTTGCTCATCGATTTTGATGGGATGGTTGCATGCATTTTATATATCCACATGTGATTGAATGAATGTATCGTCTGAATAGCTGGTTCTGGTTCTGGTTCTGTATATATATGTGTGTGTGTGTGTGTGTGTTTGTGTTCCATTCAATAGTCTCACACACACACACAACATTCAGCACATCAGCACAAAACAACATATCACTAGGGGTACAGAAAAAAAAATAACGAAACAAAACCCGAAAAAAAACTCAAAGCCAAAAAGTCATTCATTCACATGGAACAGATCAGACTAGACTAGACTAGACTGGAACAGAAAGTGAAACCAAAAGGAAAAAAAACAGAATGATGACAACAACAAAAAAAAAACTCCCAAATAGAATAGAAAAGACAATAACAACAGAAAGAGAACAAAGAAAAAAAACCATTGACATTCACCAAAATTTTCATTGAGAGAGGCTATACCGATTCAATTCACAATTCATTCATTTCGATTTGATCATCGATTCCATCATTCATTCTATTCTATCCCATTCAATCATATACAACGAAATAAATACAAGAACCATGAATGATGGAATGAATGAATGAATGAATGAACGAACGAACGAAGAGAAGAAAGAAAAAGTAAAACCAAAACTAGAAAAAAAGATGAATTGAATGAATGAATGATCGGTAAAAATGGTTCTTACAAATCTTCAAAACAAAAAAAAAAAAAAAAAAAAAAAAAAATTCTGGTCTTTTTTTTTGTTTCATTCATAAAGTGATTGGGCTAGTCAATTCATTCACCATGATGATGATGATGATGATGATGTTGATCAACCAACAGAATTTTCTACTCCACCCAAATTCATGGACACAAACAAAGACATCGTTAAACATCGACAACAACAACAATAACACATGGTATTATCTTCTTAGGTGCTTAGAATACTGGACATTGAAGAATCTTCTACACAAGAATAATTGCGTGTGTGTGTGTGTGTGTGACTTCTAGGTGTTGCAATGGAAAAAAATTTTTTCAAAGAATAAAAGCTTATGACGTATAAACGTGATAATACCCGTTGTTGAAATAGAATGATGATTAGGATCAAACAATGAAAAAAAAAATTCAACATCGACTACTTTGCACCATAATTCCACACAGTGAAAAAAAAAAGCGACTTTTATTCAGAATTTTTTTCTTTTATCATTTCTCGATTCAATTTAAGCCTTGACTATATACAGAAATTGTGCAAAGCAAAAAAAGAGAAGTTTTTTTCACCCAAAACATAATTCTTTGGGAGTTTTTTCTTTCTGTTGAACAACAACAACAAAAAATGCTCAAATATTATGATGATGGTACATATTGCATAAATCTTTTGCCATTTTATTTGCACTGAAAAAAAAAATCGTTTTGTTATGACTATAGAATGATGGATGAATGAATCGCAAAAGACACACACACACACGCAATACCTACAGGGACAAAAAACAAATGAACAAAAAACAGTTAAAGAGAAAAAAAAACTTAGACAAGATTATTGCTTGTTGTTGTTGTTGTTGTTGTTGTTTTCACTTTTTATATTGAAAAACCAAGTCACATCATATTCCAATGAATATTCTGTACGTTTTGTTTATTGTTATTGTTGAATGAATATTATTCCTAGTGCATCAAACACACACACACACACATGGATTAATTATTGAACTGAATGAATATGATGGGTGGACAAAACATACGCAAACAAAACAAAACAAAAACACACACACACATTAAAATAAAAAAAAATAAAAATGAACCAAAAAAGAGAAAAAAAATAATGATAATAAAAAATGAGATCTCGATAAATGGATTCTCTACATTGCTCAAATAGTGGTGGTGGTGGTGCTAGTGATGGTACTATTATCAGAATTCGTAAAACGAGGAGGTTTTTTTTTCTACCGTCGTAAATTTGTTTTTTTTGTCGAGCAGCACGTTACATACATTTTCATCGGTGTTGATGAATTATTCAATTCTCATCGCTACTAAATTCAAATAATATATATAAAAATAGCCAACCAACCAGCTGGTCGTGTGCCAGTATATACAGTATACTTTTGGCTATTTGTAACCAGAAAAAAAAATAATTTTTTTTTCTGGTACCATTTTAACCATTTATGCGTGTGTGTGTGTGTGTCTATGTAGAATAATTTTCATGATTCCAGATGATTTCCAATGGTACTAATTGTTTTCAATTCAATTCACAAACAAAACAAAACAAAAAAATTGATATTAACCACCACTTTTCATTCATGTGATTGTAATAGATTTTATCGTTCCACCATTTACTATCACCCATCATCCTTATGGTAGAAAAGATGGGCGAAAAAAAATAAAACACGTGCTTGATTGAATGTGTCTGTGTGTGTGTGTGTGTGTCGTTTCGATACAAATAAACTGAATGATTATGATGATGATGATGATGATGATCCAGATCACCAGAAACATTTATTTCTATTTCTCGATATGAGCCCTAAACGTTAACCACTTACACTATGAATAACACACACACACACACGTTCAGAAAAAAAAGTTAGTAATCGATTTTACGCATCATAGATTCATTGTGTTTTGTGTGTGTGTGTGTATCTCATCTATCGTATCTCCGACATCATCATCTCTTTTTGTTTTTGTTGTTGTTGTTGTTGTTGTTAATCTTGTTAAATTCTCTGGTGTATGTCAAGTTGTTATTATTATTTCAGAACTTTGTTTGCTAGGATACGAGGATCCAGGGTGTTGTTGGTGTAGGAATCCGGTTCATAGATTGATAATCTTTTCCTCTCTTGTGTCATAACCTTTTGACATGAATAAATTTAATGGACTTCTAATGTAGAGAATTTTACCATAGACAAATGCACCAGGTAGCCAAATATTTTATTTTTGTTTGTGTTGTGTGTGTTTCTGGGGTTTCAAAAAAAAAAAAAAAAAAGACATTTATCGTTTGATGAAATGAACCACAACCCATTTACCATTTCCATTTATTTTTTTTCCACTTGACTACAACAACAAGACATGTGGATATTCTGGAAAAAAAATGAATTGTTTGAAAACAATACACGTGTACGTGGTGTGTTTGTTTGTAGGTTGAGATAATGAATTTTGATGATGATGATGATTATCTCATCCCAAAAAAACAGCAATAAAATATGAATTCCATTTTTTTTGAAGATGGAGATTGTTCCATTTTTCGTTTTGTTTTGTTTCATGTTTGTCCATTTTACCACTCCCAATAATCATTTTCTAATACAAATATATTAATGATTTCTTTCGAAAACGATTCTATAGAATCATAACCAGGTTCATATGATGATGATGATGATGATTCTGAATTTACCAAACAAAAAAAAAAAAACAAATGTTTATTGTTGACATACATCAAATTTTATCATTAACATTTTTGATCATTATGAATTGCGAATTTTTTTTTCTCCATTCAATGAGGACATGACAATTCATGTCATCATCGTGATGATGATGATGAACGTTATGTGACGCCTATCATCATCATCATCATTTGGGTGGATAAAAAGATGTGTGTGTGTGTGTGTGACAGATAGAACCAAACGAATGAATGATCATATAAGGCGAAAAAATCATTGACAGAATGATCCATGATGATCCATGATGAAATTTGAAAAATGAAACACACACACACACACAGATATATAAATCGGATACAAATATAATTCATTTGAATTCATGATGATTAAAACTACTACTGATCCATTAGCACGAAATCCAATGTGGAAATTATTTCACTTAATGATACACAATCATCATTAAACCAGATGATGATTCATTGTTTGTCATATTTATGAAAAACAAAACAAAAAATGAAATGAAATGAAATAACCAGAGTAAATTGACCATTTGGGATCTATTATCATCATCATCATAATCATAATCATGAATAATCCAAGATACCTGATTTTTGATTTTATTTTTCTTTTCTTTTTTTCATTATCATTAGATTCATTACCAAGATGTAGTGGATGTGAAGGCATTATATTTGATCGTTTTATATTGAAACTTGGCCATGAAGAAAATGAACAACGACATACATGTTGGCATTCAGGTAAATAACGGACAATAAACGACGACAAAAATGTTTTAATTTTTTTTTTTTATCAATCAGGATGTCTAGTTTGTTCAGAATGTAATATAAATTTAGCTGTAAAATGTTATATGAAAAATGGCCAACCATATTGTAAGGATGATTTCTATAAACGTTTTGCCAAAACAAGATGCGCCAATTGTGAACTTGGTATTGCACCAACGGCCATTGTAAGACGAGCACAAGATAATGTTTATCATTTACAATGTTTCAATTGTATACTATGTAAACGTGCATTGAATACAGGTTTGTTTTGAATCATCATCATCATCATTCCAAAAAAAAAAATTTGTTGATGATAAACTTACAATTTATTATTATTATTATTTAATTTACAGGCGATGAATTCTATTTGATGGAAGATAATAAGCTTGTCTGTAAATCCGATTATGAATCAGCTAAACAAAGAGGTATTTAAAACTGTGTGTTTGAATTAAAATTTATTTATTTGTTTTCTTTCTCTCTTTATAATGATTTCGATTTTGATTGATTGATTGATTTTGAACGATTAGAATCATCATCAAAACGACCACGTACAACCATAACGGCCAAACAATTAGAAACACTTAAATTGGCATATAATAGTTCACCAAAACCGGCTAGACAGATACGTGAACAATTAAGTCACGATACTGGATTAGATATGCGTGTTGTACAGGTAAGGTTTATTATTATTATTTTTTTTATTCATTTATATGGAATTATTCAAAATTTTTTGCTTTGAGGATTATAATAACCCTTTTATGATGATTATTATTATTATGGATTCGGTTCATTGGTTAACGATGACACATTTTATCATTATAATCGATTTAAAAACTTGAATCTCATTTCATTCTTTTTTTGTTTGTTTGTTTGTTTTTTATTTTCTTGTTCCATTCAAATTTAGGTTTGGTTCCAAAATCGTCGAGCTAAAGAAAAACGATTGAAAAAAGATGCACATTCAAAATCACCAACAAATTTAATGACAAATAATGGAAATGGAAATGGTTCACATACAAGTCCACATCCATCATCACCATCAAGTTCACGTTGGTCATCCAATGGTGGTTGTAATGGTATATCATCATTGGATACAATGCCAGCAAGTAATGCATCATCCACATTATTAGCTAATGAAACATCAACATCATGTTCATCATGGTTTGATGATGCAATCATCGAAGATGATGACGATGATGATGATGATGCTATCATTCATAGCGGTATTGGTGATGATGATAGTGATTTAAATGAAGATGATGATGATGATGATGATGATGATAGAAATGTTATTGATCATCATCATCATAATCATCATCATGATGGTGGTGGCGGTGGTGGTGGTGGTGGTGGTGGTGGTCATCATAATGTTTATACACATTGAATATAATTTGTCCGTTTTGCTACACGATATATATTATCATTTAATTTGAACACAAAAATTATCACTCAATATATGACATTCAATTGATGGTTGTTCAAACTATCGGAAATTATCAATCAATGAATTTTCAATTTATTCATTTCTATTCTTATGATCATGTGTAAATATATAAATTGAAATTATTAAAATAAACAAAAAAAAATTTATAATTTTTAATTTTGATTTTCGATTCTCATATTCTATGGATTTTTGTTTTCCAATTTTACAATCTCATACAATCGGATGATCGATGACAATTTTGTTGTCCAGGTAGTTCATTATGATGATGATTTTTTTTTCTGTTCAAAATCTAAAATTCACATGAAATGTCAACAAAACAAATGATTCAAATTAGACTCGACTGATGATAATTTTTTTTTAAAAAAAGAGAAAACAAAACTTATCCACATTTATAGGCCATGGTTAAAGATGTTGTATTCGATCAATAATAATCCAGTTTTTGTTTTGCAAAGTGGAGCTCTGTCATAAGATAAAAAATTATATTACAAGCCTGTTTAGGATAATTAACAGCCATAGACTCAATGACAATGTTTTTAAACGAAACAAACAAAAAAAAATTTCAAATTATCCCGCTACATATTCCAGTTCAAGCTGGTTGAATCAATGGGTTGATGGATGGATATATATCGGGACATAGATCAACAATTGATAAAATGGATGTAGCAACTGTGTGTGTGTGTGTGTGTAGGTGTAGCAAAAAAAAACAAAACAAACTGGATCATTTGATTTGATTTCATATTTTTTTTTTCTTTTTTTTTTACTTCTTGTTTACTTCTTCTGCACTTCAATTGTTTCGCTCTATTAATTTTTTTCCCCATTTTCCAAACGGTGTTTTATCATACATCACAAAAATCGTTCATTCGTTCGTTTGTTTTGTTTTGTTTTGTTTTCCATAATTAATCACCTGTGTGTATGAGATAGAGAGAAAGAGACAAGAAAAAAAGATGAAAAAAATTGATAACCAAGACATAGAGTTACATACCGAACGACGACGACGATGATGATGATGATGATGACTGGATTTTAGCTTAAAAAAATGAGAGAGTTTGATGAATGATAATTGCATCAAATTGTTGAAAATAAGATTTTCTGTCACACACACAAAAAAAAAACTTTGCAAATGAATGAATGAATATATTTGTCACCAGTTTTGAAAGTTTGATTTTTTTTGTTCTTACCGATTTCACTGTATTTGTGTACGTGAATATTTCAATATATTGAATTCAGAATACGAATAAACAAAATTCTTCAATAAAAAAAAACAATGTCACGTTTAGAACAGATGAGAGAGAATTTTCTTAAAAAAATTCATAATGAACAATTTCAAGAATATCAACAACAACAACGACAACAATCAATGATGACAAGAACAAAATCAACGATTAATATATCATCGAATTCATCACGATCATCATCATCATCCAATACATATCAACGAATGCCAATACGTCGTGAATTATCAGCATTATCAATAAATCGATATTCATCACCATCAAATAATCATTGTATGTCCACTAATCAAAGACAAACAACAACTAATCGTGTAACAATATCGCGTGTAAAATCTCTTAATAATGTAAGCAATATGACAATGACGATGATGATGACACCAGGATATGATCAACATTATCATCCAATAAATCATACAAAATCGATATTGGGTAGACGAAATTCAAGTAATCATCAAACAACAGCAACATCGTTGATGAATGGATATTATTTGGATAATAATAATGTCAACAACAACAACAACAATACAGTAATGTCAAAACGTTCATCAAATGTGAACAATGGATCGATGCAAAGTGGCAATATAGGTGGATCTTCAAGAATCTTGAAAACGAATACAAGTGGTACTTGTGACGAAACGATACAACCACCACCATTGCCAACATCGAGACGAAATGTTACAAGCCATCATCATACATCATTGGCAAATAGAAATAATCAGCAACAACAACCACAATGTAAATATTGTCAACGAAAATTTGCGGCCAAAGATCGACTTGTTAAACATATGGAAATATGTGGTCGAATATCGAAAAAACAACGTCCAATATTTCAATCATCACGACAAAGACAATTAAAATTACAAACATTGTCATCAACCATATCTAAGGTCGATGATAAAAATTATGATGATGATGATGATAATAACAATCAAAAAAACAACAATAATAATAATGACGATGATGATCAAGATGTATCCGAGATAAAACTCGATATAATCATCAAATCGAATAATAATAAAAATAAGAAAATGGTATGTATAATGACGCGCCATCTAGTATTTATGAAATTAACTAAAATTTTGATTTTTTCAGCCGAAACTTTCTTCCAATAATCGTGATGATAATGATGATGATGATAAAATTCCTAAATGGAAATTATCAAGACAAAAATTTTTAGATAATCTTAAACAACAACGTAAGCTAATGATACAACAACAAATGGTTAAAAAAGATGATGATGATGATGATGATAATTCACCAAAAACCAAAACAAATGAGATGATGATTTTCCATGGTAACGAATCATCATTGAAAACGACAGCCAAATTCAATGGTGGTAATAACATCAACAACAACAACAACAACGATAAATCATGTAGAAAATGTGGACAAAAGTTTCCAACCGAAGTTTTAGCTCGTCATGAGATATTTTGTGAATCGAAAAATGTTCAAAATTCATAATAATAATTCATTTTAATAAAAAAAATTTGATTTAATTTTTTTTCCTTGAAAAACTTTTTTTAAATATTTTCGAAAATCCACTTAATGATGACATTGTTGTTGAAAATGCTGTTACATGACGATTTGATTTTATTTGTTGATTTTTTGGATCATTTTGTGGTCGTTTTTTTGAATTGGACAAATCCTGTTGTTGTTTATGATGTTTTTTCGATAATGTTGTATTAGTTGTGGCTGTTGTCGATGATGATGTTAATCTTGATCTTGATCTTGATAAATCATTTGATTTTATACGAAATTTATCAATTTGATTTGTAATTGCCGTTATTGGTTGTCGCCAATCAATGGCCATGAATAGACATAAAACATTTATAATGACCATTATGATGACAATGATTATTTGTACAATCATTATGGTTATTAGTTTCATATTGGTTTCATTTTTTTCACCATAACATTTGAATAATTGATCAAATTGTATTCGTTTATTGATTTTATTGGATTTAATCTGAAAACTATCATTAATCGATACGTTGTAGATATTTTCTGCGTCTAAATATACATAATAACGCATTTTATATTGAAACAGTCCATAAATCATAATTGGTGTACGTTTTTCATCAACATTCATTTTAAGTTTAGTTACTTTTTCACCAATATTTTGAAATAGAATATATTTATCATTTTCAAAAGACGTATAGATTATATTTTCAATTGTTGGTTGATAAATGTTTCCAATTTTTTTCACTTCTAAATCATAATAATGATTTAGTTTCGATCTAATAAAGAATAATATTCCTGATTCTTCATCAAAATAATATGTAGTTTCACGCACTTTTTGATTGTTATCGTTGATGTTGCTGCTGTTACGGTTACGGTTACTGTTGATGTTGCTGTTACTGTTGTTATTATCAGCCATTTGTTTCAAATCCAATGATGTGTATTCATGCATTGCAGAAATTCTCAAATATCTTGTTTCTTCCTTACCGGTGGGATCATCTTCCCATAAAAAACCGAGTAATCTTCGTTGATTTCCTGATGCTATGTTTTTGGATAATTAATTGTCAAATTAAACAATTTAAGATCATTTACACTTACAATCGGTTGAATAAAGCCAATCACATTGTATGTATAGATTACTTAATTTATCCATTGTCCAATAACTTTCAGATAATGTATTCGACGGCTGTTGTTGTTGTTGTTGTTGTTGTTGATGATGATCGAAATTTCTAACAACAAAAATTATAAATAAACCATCTTTAATACTAAAAATATGTCTCACATTCTTTAATGTTTTACATTCAAATTTGAATATATTAGAATTAGAATTATTCGTTGAATTTTTAGATGATAAACAATCTATATTGGTTATCGTTGTTGTTGTTATGAATAAATTTATAAATACAAAAAACGATGATAAAAACATTGGAAATTTGTTCAATCAACATAAAAAAAACAATGTTGTTTATTTTTTTTCAATTTTCCAGATTAATTTAAATATATCAAAAAATTAAATCAAATGATGATGAATAATGAATTTTCGAACAAACAGGAAAAAATTACAAATTATGACAACAGATGGCGATAGAATTTGTGTGTTTGTGTTTTTTGAGGGGAATTTAAATTTTAAAAAATTTTTTTTCAACCACCACCACCACCACCACCATTTTTTTACATTTTTGTATACAAATGTAATTCGATCTGTACTTGTTTGCCAATGTCAACACTGCCACATACAAACACACACACACACGACTACAATTGGGCAATGATGTCGAATTATCATAAACTTACAACGACGACAACAACAACAACGATGATAATGATGACGATTCTGGATTATTACAAACAACAACAACAACAACAACAACAATGAATGAGAAGAAAGAATAGAAACAAAGTATTTTTTCACGACAAATTAAACATTTTGAGTAAAAAAGAAAAAAAAACAGTGAAAATCAATTAATCAACCCAACAGACAACAGCAAAGCAATTAACACAATAAAACATGACATGACATGATGATGATGATGATGGTCTATAGTGGTGGTGATTCTTCATATATACACAAAAAAAATTTGTCATATGAGAAACTTTTTCATTCTCTCACTCTCTCTCTTTATGTTAATATTATATGCAAATATTATGTTGCTGCAAAAAATGGTCGAATGAAAACCGAACCAAACCAAAAAAAAAAAAAGACATTGGTAAGAAAAAAAAAGATTGAACAGATGCTTCAATGAAGATGATCTATTCGTTCATTCATTCATTCATTCATTCATTCAATTTTGTTTTTCACGCGTTAATTCCATATATATGTTTGTCTCCAACATACACGAACACAAAAACGCACACACACACCCATCTATCAACATGACATGATTTGTAGCTATTTACAAATTCATTCAACCACTTAACAACACAAACGATGACGATGGCAATGATGATGATGATGAAACAAATTAAAATTTGTCATCATTTTGTTTTTGAAAATACAAATCAAATCTATATATACCATGGATCCTTTTTGGACTAATGAACCATATAATATTGCATACGTACACACACACAGACATTTTTTTCGGATGTTTGAACAAATGAGATTATTGCACTTTATCGCTGCTGATGATGATGATGATGATGTTTAAACTAATTTTTTTTTCTAGAATTCAGATTCATTCATGTCAAGAATTTTTCCATTCAAAAAAAAAAAAAAAAAAAATTTTCGAATAATCATGACAATTATATAACGATTGATTTGATTTGATCAAGAATCAATTTGTATTTCATTTGATTTATAAATGGTCATGCACGCAATTAATCAAATTCAAATGATCACATTTCATATCATTGTTTTTTACATTACATTCATCAGATGAATGCGCACCCTAAATACCATTGGACAAATACAAATACAGCGAGAAAGAGAGAATTAAATACTTTAGGAAGGAAGGAAGATGATATCAAGGCGTGGTATGATAATTGATTTTTTTTTCTTTTTGTTTTTTTTTTTTCGATTTCGAAATTTGAATTTGATATATAAATGAAAAGAATTGAACCCTGCCCTAAATTTATTAATAAATAGATGATCAACAATGGTGATGATCAAAGTGACGACGAATTTTGATATATATTCAATTTTGATTTTTGACGATTATGGCACATTAACAATTTATTAAATTACCATCATCAGAGATCGGTAATTTTTGTTTGGCAGGTTTTTTTTTTTGTTTGTTTCACAAGAAACAAACAAAGAATTGGATAATCAAAAAAAAAAAAAAAAATTTGCGCTTCTTTAAGTTCAAGTGAATAAGAAGAAGAAGAAAAAAAAAAATGCGTTGAGTTCGTGTGTGTGTGTGTGTGTTATATGGGGTATGAATGAATAAAAAAATTGACTGACTGACTGACTTTTGGCCATTTGACATTTGACGAGAAATACGGTAGAGAGAGAGAGAAAAATTCAGTGTTTTCTGGCCCCAACTTATTTCATTCATAAATGAATTCCACCATCATTTTCATTTGATATGATCCGAAACGAAATGTTACGAATGATCTTTAAATGTTACAAATGATTTTCATTTCAATTATGTTTAAAATGGTAATTCTTAAATGAGCTGTAAATTATGGTTTGTTTTTGTTGTTGTTGTTGTTAGGCTCATACTTATTGACCTTTAATGGAAAGGAAACGAATCATTGAAATCAGTAGTGTGGTATATATGTGTGTGGAAAAATTGTGAATTTCTCAATTTGCATAAGGTCAATGTGAAAACGAAAACGAAAAACGTAAAACTTTTTTTTTTCGTTTTCTTTATGCAACAACATTTTTGTTTTCTAGGGTAACGGAAGTATATAAATTATTATTATGACATGGCCACCATCATCATTATTATTATTACCAACAACACAACAATCATCAACATTTTGATGATTGTTGATGATGGAATATATGAATTTAACTTGTCTGTTTGTTACAACATTTTTGGTTGATTTATTTATGCTCAATTTGTAGTATATTGGATTACATAATTTTTTTTGTTTTGTCTATAAAAAAAAAAATTTTTCTTGGAAAAATAACCGCGAAAATTTCTTGTAAATTCGATGAATGAAATGATAATGAAGTTTCAGATTCATTGTTTTGTTTTGTTTTGTGCCATGAAAATTTCCATTTTTGACCCATACATACACATGTATGCACACGAACAACAAGTTATCGCGTGACTTATTTTTATATATACAGTTGTGGAGAAGGCGAATAAAGAAGAAAAAAAAACAAAGAAATTCATAGCCTTGATGATTTAAAGAGAGAGAGAGAGAAAGAAAATTTTGAAATGGAAAATAAAACAGTCAATATTATCATCATTATGATGTGTGGCATTCATCCAAAAAAAAAAGTTGATGCGCGAGCGGCATTTTTACAAAAAAAAACAAAACAAAACAAAAATCCAATTTAGCCTCTGAAATGATGATGATGATGATGATGATCTGACACTTTTGTTTTTTCTACATTCACTTCTGATGAGAATTTTTATTCAAAAAATTTTTTTCTGAATTAAATTTTCAAAACAAAAAAAAAATACGAATCAAAATCAGATTGAAGAAGAAAATTTTCGGTATTGTTTCAAAGCCACACACCGATCATCATCATCATCATCATCACACGGAAAAGAAAGACGAAAATGGACACCAAATAATAATAATAATAATAAAAAAATACCGAAATATTTACTACTACCACCACCACCACCACCATCAAACAAACCAATCAACGAAGAACCACACATGAAGAATATATATGACCCGTGTGTTTGTGAATATTGTTAAAATAAACCAACAACAACAACAACAACAACAACGATATAAAGATTCGTGATTTATATTCATGAATGATGATGATGATGATCATCATCATCATCGTAGATGATGGTGTGCGATGTGGCCAAGTCATCAACAAGCAAAGCAATGGTTCGATATAACAAACGTGACTATTTCATATTGTATATACTGATATGTTGATATAGTAGAAGTTTTATTTTTATTTTTTCGTTTCAATTCGAAACATTTATTCTTTTCTTTTTTCTCTCTCTCTCATCCAAAATCATTGTTCGTGACTTCGAAGATCGTTGATTTTTTTTTCTTTTCTCCGAATATATTTCTGTTATTTTTGTGGTCAGATATACCTGTGTTGTCTGTGTGTGTGTGTTTGTTTGTAAATCATGGCTTTTTTGGATCGTGGCATTGGAGAAAGAAAGATAAAAAGCGGCAAATTTGTTTATCTAAGCTTTTCCTGTATATAAATGTGTGTACCGGCGGTACGATGTTTGTTTGAGTGTGTGTGTGTAGGGATATGATTTTGTCAAATTCAAAATAACGACAAAAATAGCAACCATAGAAAGCGAAAATGTGAAATTCAATTTAATTTTATATATCATTTTAATAGTAAATAAGAACTAGAATTACAATGATTTAGGATTTTTATGGGCGGTGGTCAGTTGTTTTGTTTGTGTGTGTGTGTATAAATTTTCAATAATTTTTTTTTTATTATTCTTTGTTTCTGGATTGATTGATTTAATTCATTTTGAAAAACTTTGGTTTCGAATCAATCTTCCTCCTCCCCAATATAGTGGGTATATAATAATTTTTTTTTTAAAGATGTGAAAATAAACATGAAATTTTATTTTTGTAAAATAAAAAATTTACAAACTAAGGCCACGTATACCACTACCAAATTGTGATGCATAATAAAATGATGATTTAGTTAAAGCATCGGCATGATTAGCAGCGGTAACAAAACCAAATGGATCGGCGGAAGCAGCAGCAGCCGCTGCGGCTGCTGCTGCAGCTGCTGCTGCAACAGTTGGTGTTGTTGTTGTTGTTGAACTTTGGTGATGTGGATGATGTGGATTATGAACAGCATGATGAATACTGGTACCTGGATGATGTGGTACATGTGGATGATGACCATGCATACCGGAAGCAATTGGATGATGATGATGATGATGATAATGAGCAAGATGATGACTTCCATTAATAGTTGCTAAATGATGACCACTATTATTAGTACCAATGATTGTTGATGATGGTGATGTTGCTACCGGTGATATTGATGATGATGATGATTCTATCGTACGATTAGTTACAATCGAATCCATCATTAACATTTGACTCATTGAACATGAATTATTTGATGTATTTGCTTGACCATTTGTATTTGTATTGGCAGACCAATGCTGTTGTTGTTGACCATTCGTTGATGTTGGTGATAATGATGATGATGATGATGAGGAAGATGAAGATGATGATGTATCATTGTTTATAATAGGCGATACAAGTTTATTATCATTATTATTGTTTGTAGCTGAAGAATTATTATTGCCATTACTACTACTACTACTAGTAGTATTACCACTACCGTTGTTTTGTAATCCATTTCCATTTCCGGTTGAATGATCCATATTATCATTATTATTGTTTGTTGATGCTGCTGTTGTTAACCATGATGATGATGATGATGATGATGTTGTTGTATTTCTATTACGGCCATTATTATTATCAATCGATGTGGATGATGATGATAAAATTGGTGAAATACAACCAATACCGCCACTACTACTACCACCACCACCACCACCAGCAGCAGCAGCAGCGGCGGCAGAAGCGGCAGCAGCAACAGCTGTACCGGATGATGATGATGATGACGATGATGATAATGGCTGTTGTTGTTGTTGTTGTTGTTGTGCCAATGAAACAGCATAATCATTGGTAATTGAATTTATATTCGTATTATTCAACATATTCAACATCTATAATAATAACAACAACAACAATAATAATAATGAGAAAATAATTGTATTAGTTTGATTGATTGAATGTTCCAATTGATTGATTGATTGATTGATTTCAATAAAAGTCAAAAAAAAAATTATTGTAAAAAAAAATTAAAAATTTCAATAGAATAATTCGAATTCTCCATTGTACAAGACGAACAAGACAAATTGTTTTCTTTTTTTTTTTTTTTTTGGTCAACATTGAACATGTTGTTATTGTTGCGAGAAAAAAAAATAAAAATGAAAACTTTTTTCTAATTGAATTTTATCAACTAACAATGTGTATGTGTGTGTGTTTGATGATTTTGAAAATTAATTTCATTTAATTTCATTTCATTTTTTCCTGTGAATTGTTATTGAGAGATACAACAACAACAACAACAACAACAAAACAACCACCAAAACATCATCAGCAGCTGAAATAACATAACATTTTTTTCCATGATGATGATGATAATGTAAACTAAAATTATCATCTGTAAAAAAAAACTGAACTAAACTAGAGAAAAAAAAATTAAGATTGATCACCAGTAAATTCAATTGAATGTGTGTGTGTGTCTCGATTATTGTTATTGTTATTGTCGCCGATGACCATTTATTATCATCACCAATGATAATAATAATGATGATGATGATAATTATAATCGGTCAATCAAACTTTACATTTGATATCTCAATCCAGCACAATATAACAAATAAACAAGTTGTCCACTTTTATATATGATGATCATCAATCGTATAATAAACAGGTTGTTTTTGTTGTTGTTGTTGTTGTTGTTGTTGTTGTTGTTGTTGTCATTTTTTGTTTCAAATCAACACAACCATAATTATCAAATAAAAATTTAATTGATTTTTTTTATAAAAAGCTTGTGTAAAGAGATTTAAAAAAAAAACGAACAAACATTTACCTGTGATTGTAATGCAGCTGGATCAGCTGATAGATAACGTTGTGTTGTTGTATTTACCGGATGTGATAACGATGATGATTGTTGTAGTTGTAGTTGTTGCTGTTGTTGTTGCTGCTGCTGTTGTTGTTGTTGTTGTTGTTGTTGCAAATGATGATGAGGATGATGATGATGTAAATTTGTATTATTTGTTGTAATATTCATTGTTGAATGTTGTTGATGAGAATGTGGATGATTGTGTGGAGAAAAATTTACATTTATATTACTACTAGTATTTATTGGATGATATTGTGTCATATGATTTGAATGATGATGGTGGATATTATGATTGGATGGATGATGATGATGAAGATGATGATGTGAAGAAGGTGTATGATGATGATGATGATGATGCATTGAATGATGTGGATGATGATGTAATGATGATGATGATGATGATGTTTGATGTATATTGCCACAATCTAGAAAAAAAACAGAAAAGAAAAAATATGATTCAATTATACAAATGAATTATGATGATGGTGATAATTTTCATTGATTAATTCCATATATTACATCGACAGAATAGTTATAGTGAAAAAAAAACATTAAGATAAAAGAATGAATGAATATATTTATTTCCGATAATAATAAAAAAATCGAAAAAAATTATATTTTGGGATTACTTTCCAATCTTGTCTGGCTATAATTTAAATTTTTTTTTAAATTTTATTTTATTTAAGGTGGTGGTGATGAATTGATATTGGTTGGCCGATCATTTTCATTGGTTTATGAAAACAAATGCGAGATGTTTTGTCACCACCCGCCGCCGCCACCACCATCCATCACCATTTATTTATGAGCAGCAATCATTATTCATTGTGTTCATTGGATGATGACCGCAAAAAAAAAAAATTTTCTTTTTTCACTCGTTTTTTTTCGTTTAGTCAACGACTATGAATATCATGAAGATGATGATAATAATAAAGATCATTTTTTTTCTAAGGGAAAAAAATAGATTATCAAAAATGATATGTTTAGATTTCCCGAAATGGCCGACCATTATTATGGGCTAAAACTTGATTTCAAAATCAAAATGAAATTTTTTTTTTATTTTTTATTTATAAAAAATAAAATATTCATGTGTTGTATGTAAGTTGACTATGTTGTATATATATATTCGAAACACTATTAATTCTGATTAACTAGCTGATAATTTGATTCATCCACCTCTCTGATGAATTAATGATCGGTAACAATCGGTACAATAACAACAACAACAACAACAAAAAAAAAAACCTGTACCTTTTGATATTGGTGACATTTTTATTGTAATTTATGGTCACCAGTAATCATCATCATCATCATCATCAACATCATAAAGATACCAGGTGAAAATTTACCATTCGAATGAATCTCTTTTTTTTGAACTTTGATAGTTTTTTTTTGGTTTTGATTCCTTCAAAAAAAAAGTTCATGTCATTTTTTTCTTTCAAGTGTTTGATGTGATTATGATTATTCGAACAATTTATCATTCGGTTTTTCATTTCATTTCAATTTATTGCTACCGTTTGATAATCTTTTTTTTTTGTCGGATTCAACTAGTAAAAAGGTAGTATTATATGCTATGGAAAATAAAAATTCATCAAGAAAACTTTTCGGACATCAATTGAGATATGATATGATGATGATGATGATGATGAAAAGTACCAATCGCCACACATTCTATGTCTTTGCAAAAGGAGCACCTAATTATGATTATGGTTAATGATTATGATTATATATGGTCAATATTATTATTAACTGCTTGAATTTTGTATGAGAGAGACAGAAAAAATGAAAAGTTTGAACATCTATGTCGAGATAAATTGAATTTTTTTTTTTTTTTGCTGGAACCTTATGAAATGTACAAAAAAAAATAAACACCAATGAACTTGTGATGATGACTATAAATCGAAACATTATCCTATTCATTAAAGGCTAAAATTCACAACATTGGGTTGACGCCCTTGTTTTAATAATAATAATATCAATTCAATGTACGCATGTGTACAAATCCATCATTCACATATATCACAAAAAAAATACTGTCGATAATATAGAAACTATAAACACAGAAAACACAGAAAAAAAATGAAATACTAATTATCAATAATAATTTACCTTGTGATGTTTGATATTGTGAATTTTGATTATTATTATTATTATTATTATTATTTGTATACAGAAGCCAATGAAGTTGATGTTGTATTGGATGCGGCTGCTTGGGCAGTTTCAGTTAATGATGCTTGCTGTTGTTGTTGTTGTTGTTGTTGATGATGATGATGTTGTGCAGCTGCTAATAAATATGAATTTGTTGCTGCTGCTGCAGCCGTTTGTGCTGTATAGGCGGCCGCTGCATGCATTGCCGGTAATGATGCTAATGCAGCCGAAAATCCATTCAATTGTTGACTGCCCATCTGTTTACGCCATCGTGCACGACGATTACTGAACCAAACCTATACACAACAGGCGATAAAAACAATATAAAAAAAATTGATTCAAATTGAATTGAAAATTTTTCTTCCTAAATCAATTAATTAATTAATCAACAAATTAATTAATTAATTAGTTTTTTTCTGTTTTAAAATACAAAAGAAGAAAAGGTGTGCACATTGCACAATTACAGTTGGAATATTCTCATTTTTTTTAACTTTTTCCAAAATTACACACACACACACACACACAATAAATAAAGAGAGAGGTAGTGCGACCCGATTTTGTGATTTGATTTGACACACACAGTATTATACTGATGTTGGTGTGAACTTGAATGATTTGTTTTTTTTTTCTCATTTGACTGACTGATGGACGGCCAGACTTTTTTTTCGAAAATATTGGATATGGCAAATTAATAAAATATAATACAACAACCACTTGTTGTTGTCCATCATCATCATCATCATCATCATCATGATCGATTTTGAAAAAAAAAATCAATGAGAATATTATGACGGTGATGATGATGATGATGATGATGATGATGGACATATTTCGGGTCGATCCTTTATTTTTATTTTTTATTTTGTCTTGTTTGCTGTTGTTGTTCTCACCTATACAATTTTTGTTGTTGTTGTTGTTGTTGTTGTAAATGTTGGCATTGGTGGTGGTCGCTAACCATTTAATTATCAGGCAATTTTTTTTCTTATTTTGTTTTTTGTTGCTGTTTGCAATTTGCTGAATAATAATCACACACACACACACACCACAGACGTCTGTTTTTTTTCTTGTGATTTGACATGACAAAAAATAAACGTAATGTTTGTGTGCGGTCCAGAAACAGCAACAGCAGCAACAACAACAACAACAACAATATCATAATGTTGAAAATGAATTTTTTTTTTGAAAAGAGAGAGAAAAAAGTCATTGTTTATTGTTCGGATGGAAAAAAAATTCATCTACGCAAGCTAATTCAGCAAGTTTTAACGTAGAATAGTTAACTACCATCATCATCATCATCATCATCATCATCATTGAAATATTCATCCCATCTACATAATTTTCATTGATACATGAGATGGTGTGAAATGTGTGTGTGTGAGTGTGTGTAAGATTTGAAAAAACAACAAGCTGACCTGTATGTCAGATAAATAGATAGATAGAAAGATGGACAAAAAAAATACAAAACTTAATTTCAACTTGTCATGAACATCAAACAAAAAAATTTTTTTTTCATTTTATGAAAAAAAATTCGGCTTTTTTTCATTCTTGATCATCATCATCATCGTTGTAGCCGATGGCAAATTGTAACATTGAAATGATCATCATTTGTATATTTGTAAAAAAAAATTCATCATCGGGAATCATTTTCTTTTGATTACCGATTTATTTATATTTTCATTTTGATTAATTAACACAAAAACATCTTGAACTTGTCGATGATAATTAACATCTTTGAATAAATAAAATTTGACAATTCTTTTTTCTTTTTTTTTTGTTCATTTTCAATTTTGATCGATTTCGATGATCAAGGATAGGCCGATTGAAATACAATTAACCATTCTTCTTCTTTTGAAAATAGACAAATCGATGAGATTTGATTTGAATTGATTTGAATTGATTATGATTATGTTTGTGAACAGATTGATAACATTTTTCTTGGGCGTTTGATTTAAATATGAATAGCCACCGATTTTTTTCCCATTGATCTTTTGACCTACACCTTTGTATCAGAGTAGTTTTTTTTCTTAACAAAAGATATTGACCGATGGTCAATAATTAAATTTTTTTTTATCCTGATTGAATTTGAAATGGATGAATGATTGTTATTATTATTATTATTATTATCAATGACTTGAGGCGCAATTGAAATTTAAATTTTTTTTCCATTCTATTCTGATTTATAATATGTTCACAAGAACAAAATTAAATGTGTTGAACATTCAAGTCGGATCGATTGATGATGATGATCGATTCTATTTTTATGTTTATGTGTGTGTTCACATAATATTATTTCGTGACCAAAACCAAAAAAAAAAAAAAAACGGCGTTTTTTTTGACGTTTTTTTTCTGAACTACTATCTGATCGACGATAATCATAATCATGTATTATGTTTGATAAATAATAACAAAAAAAAATTCTAAAATTGACCATCATCATCATCATCATAATCATCGATAGATCGATAAATATGAATTTGGTGTGTTGAACAACAAAATTGTTGAGGTGCGATTTTTTTGCAAAAAAAAAAAAAACAAAATGATCGAGCTGTCGCGCGCGCGGCAAGCAATTTTCATATTTTATTTCTTTTCTATTCACTCAATGTGTGATGGACAATGGCCACCAAATTAGTGGGTTTCGATTGGTGTTGGTGGTCTGTGTTTGTGGCTACCGTATGTTCTCGTTGTTCTCGTTGTTGTTGTCGTTAACAATTTTTTTTTCTCTTTATCACTAATTTTTCTTTTACAAGAAAATTATGACCTTTCACAATCAAAAAAAAAAAAAAATTCTGATTCAATCGACAACAACAACAACAACAAAATCATTCTCAACATGATTATCATTATTTGCAACACCTATTTTTTCAAATTGTTAGTCGCGTACAGAATTTTTTTTTTTATCAAAAAAGTTTTTCAATTAACAAATCTTCTTACCTGAACACGTGCTTCAGTCAATTTTGTACGTTGTGCCAATTCTTCACGTGTATAAATATCTGGATATTGTGTACGTTCAAATGCTTTTTCCAATTCATCCAATTGATGTGCAGTGAATGTTGTACGTGAACGACGTTGTTTACGTTTCAATGTTAATCCTGGTTCAACATCACTAGAATCACTGCCAGAATCATCTGCTAAAATATAAATATCGAGAGGAATAAAAAAAATTGAAGAATGAGAAAAAAAAAAGAAAAATCAAATCAATTTCTTTCAAACAAATAAAACAAATGACAGTGTGTGTAACAGCAATATATAAGATGCAACAACAACAACGACAACAACAACAGCGACGGCAACAACAACAACAACAAAAATCTTTTACTTTTTTTTTCTTGATTGAAATGATTAAATGTGACGATTAATTTTTTTTCCTTATAATAGACAATAAATCTCAGGTTTTTTTTCTGATTGAGAATAAGCCATTGATTTGATGAATTTTCAAAAGCAAATTCTTCACATTCATCTTCGAATAGTGTGGACAATTCTTTTGGTGTATGACAAAATAAAAATTCAGGTTTCATACTCATTGCACACACGCACACATATAAAAGGTGATTATAATAATTAGAAATAATTACCCACACACACACACACACACAGTCATTGATATCGATTTAATATATATAAAAAAAATGACACCGAATAATCGTTAATCATTGTGTTCAATTAATTTTTGCTTTTTTTGAAAATTGCCCATTTGAACCGAAGTGTTTGAAAGATTATGAGGGATTCAAGAGAGAGAGAGAGAGAAAAAAAAAACTGTCGGTTTTCATTTCAATTGATTGAAATAAAAAAAGAAGAAATTTGACAGATCAGAAAGTGTGAATAAAAATGGACAAATTCTTTTTTTATAAAAGAAAAAATCATTTTCCAAATGCTGATCAGTAGTAACGCATCATCATTTGATTTGATTTGATCAATTACATTCATTTTGCAAATGATAAAACTTGAAATTTTCAAAAAAAAATTTTTTTCGCAATTCTGTACATTTTAGATGAACATAAACCGATCAATAACTTGATCGAGGCATTTCAATTAGTACAAATTACATAATAATCAAAAAAAAAATTAGCCGACATAGATAGAATCAGAATCACGATGATGATGGCTACGGCCACCATTTTTGATCAACATATACACACACACATACACACATTTGGTCAAGTGATTAATTGCCTAATTTAATTAAGAAATGACTTTATGATCAGAAGACCTAGCTTGCGTGGCTATGGCAGAAAAAAAATATAAGAACCAAACATCATCAAGCTGTGTATTATATTGTATATTGAGCTATGTTTGAGTCTTCTTCTTTGTAGCAATATTTTGGATGCATGATTTTTTCACCATTTTCTTCATTAAAAAAACGATGTGTTTAATGTTTTCATTTTTTTTCCTTCTTGTTGTTGTTGTTGTTGTTTGGTCTTTCAATGATTATCATTTGGCTTAAATGATTTCAGCATATACACACACACACACACACTTTACCGCCACGCAGCTTGCGCGGCTGGCTGGCTTGCTTGTCTATCTATTTTTTTTCTTCTATTTGGTCTTGTTTTTTTTTTAATTAACAATTTTAGCCATGATTATTATTAACAGTGATATAAAATGAGGGAAAAAAATTATTGTCGGCAAAGGTTATTAAGATTCTCTAAAGACCATGTTCACACACACACACACAGAGAGAGAGAGAGAAACATGGTAATACATGATGATGCTTAAGCAAACAACAAGCGGCATTATAAAAATCAAAGATAAAACAAAACACCAACAAATAAAAAAAAAAAAATCAGAATCAGAACTCTTGTGCAGATAAATTACACGATTACTTTGAACTTTTCAAATGAAGCAAAAAAAAAAAAATTTCAAAAAGTTCAACGATTGATTGATATAAAAATTGAAAATTGATAATCATTTCTTGGTCATTCATTTTTCATCCATTTTTATTTATTCCTTCGAAACAAAAAACACATACACAATCACCACCACCACCACCACCACCACACCGCCGCCAATTGAGCTGAATTGTTTTTAATGACTTAATCTCAAACAAATTGAAAAAACAGAAGTCAGAAAAAATTTTTTTTTCTTGACCAAACCAAGAAAAAAAAAAATACAAAAGATAATCAAATCAACAACAACAACAACAATAATAAATGAATGAATGGAAGCTATTCTTCTTTACTTTTGTATACAACAATTCAATTTTCAATTCAATTCGGGAAAAGAAAAATTTTTAAAATTCAATTCAATGCTCATTTTGTTTCCCACAGGTACACATACACACACACACACAATGTTTCAATTTAATGTCATTGTGTATGTATATCTATTATGAAATTTAAAATTCAATTAGATCATTGTGTTGTTGAATTGATAATAGAATCTTGAATCTCAACTATAACTACAATAACAACAACAACAACAATGAACAGAAGCTAAATTAAGTAATTATCGTCTACAACAACAATAATACAAAATGAATTACAATCTAATTGGGTTATAATTGTGTCTATGTCTATTGTGGGCAAGAAAAAAAAGGTAATCAAGTAATAACAACAACAACAACAACGGAAATCAATGGATTGAAGTTAACAATCAACAATCAAACGAATCGGATAATTTTTTTTTTTTTTTCTCTCTTCTTCACAGGAATGGGGGGCGGCAACATCATCTCAATTTCAATAGACCATTTTCTATTTAAACATTCAACATTCAATTCAATTCATTCACAAGAGAATTTTTGTACAGGATTTTGGATAAGGATGATGATGATGATGATGATGATAATCATTTGAAAAAGATAAAAAGACTACAACAACAACAACAACAACAACAAATTGACCCGACACATAATACAAAATGTACAAATGGTTGTGTGTGATATACAATTAATTTCGAATTAGATTCAAGATTTTTAATGTTCGTTGTGACATATATGATGAACATATGAAACGCCCATCATTATTTTCAATGAGAGAAAAAAATAGAAAGATAACAAAATGATAATGTAATGATAGCTTGCGCAATCAGATAATCACTGATCATCATCATCATCATCCATAACAACAACAACAACAACGACGATACGTTTGTTTTCAGGTGTTAATAGCTTAAAAAAAAATTTTACAATGGTAACCAATTCATTGCTGATAATGATGATGACAATATTTTGATTGCTCAATTCATTTCAACAACAACAACACTTTTACATTGTATGTTGTGTGCTGGCCAGCAGATTGAAAATGAATTCATGGTGGACGTGTTCAAATTCTTTTCTTCTAATAATTGACGTGCACGCCAAATTGCCATTGGAATGAAATTTAAGCTATTTTCATTTCATTTCATTTTTTTCTTTGTCAATTTCCGAACATTTTTTACTACCACTAGATGATGACCGAATCATTTTTGTTTTCCGGGAATGATTTTTTATTCCATTTACAAAGATGAATCGAATCCCGATTTATCATAAACAAAGCAAAAAATGTGAATAGAATATCGATCAAAAAAAAAAAAAAAAAAAACAAAGAGAAAATCATCGACGAATACATCTATGTCACGCGATTTTGATGGCAAAAAATATCTTTTTTTTTGTTTCCATCAATCTTATCATTATTATCATCATCATCATCATCATGATTGGATGTCACACACGCACTACCAATGACCAGTAAATTGATGGGATTGATGGAAAAAATCTAAACACAAATATACACACACACATAAATCATATAATGGTGGTAATAGTGATGATAATGACGGCTTCAGATGTCCAATCCATCTATCTGCCAACTTTGCAAAACTTGACCACACACACACACACACACACATCGATCGAGAAAAAAATGCCAAAAAAAATACTTTTAGCAGCATCTTTGAAACTCAATCTACAAAGTCTCCAATAACAACAACAACAACAACAACAAAGAACTTTGAATATATCCGCCTATAATATATTCGTGTTTGTGTTTGGTTCGATGTATTCGTTCGTTCGTTCGTTCGTGTCGACAATTTGAATGGCATCAGATGAGATTTTTTTCTTCCTTTTGGATTGGTGGTGGACCACAGTATTCGAATTCTTCGAACACACAGATCATCGAAGATCGAGATCAATACATGTCGACGTACACATTAGATATAAGGATTTTTTTGCCGCCATTTTTTTTCACTGTTTGTTTGTTATTATTATTCGTGATTTAATTTCTTTCTTTTTTTCGATTAAATTGAATGCGAAACGTAGAAAAAGGAAAGAATGTCTGTGTGTGTGTGTTGCCTCTACTGGCGCTTCTTTTGGCGATCATCACCATCAACAACATCATGAAAAGATTAACAGGCCATGATGATGATAATATGAATGTTAAATACCCAATTTTTTTTTCTATCTTTCATTTATCTGCCATGATGATGTTTATTATATGATATGATATGTCTTCGTGTCGATCGATCAATTTTTCAATCCAATCGATTCAATCGATCGATCGATCGATCGATTGATCGGTATTTTTATCAAAAAGGCACACATAATATTTTAGACAAAATAGAAGCCATCATTATCATTAAATGATGATCCTGCCACACACACACAGACACAGCGGTCAAAATAGTGGTCAAAAAAAATAAGACCCAGTTATAATAGCAAAAAAAAAACAAAAAAAAAAATCCATTAAAAAAACGTAATCAAATTAAAAATTAATTTAATTTTAAAAGCCAACCTAACCAACACACGCAAACCTAAAACATCCTTAATGATCATTATCATCATCATCATCATCGTCATTTAACTCGACCTCTAAACGACAACCAAATGATACAATTAGACACAAAAAAAACGACACAATCGTTTTGTATTTCATTCGGGTAGAACATAAAAAACTTTACTCAATTGGATTAAATCGTTGGTGGTTCCTGTATTTATCAGCACACACACACACACACACACACAAAACATTTAGGGCCTTCGAGGTCAGAGTTCGCGGTCAAGGTATGTGTGTGTGTGTGTGTTCGTTTGAATTGAAAAAAAATTCTCATTGTACATGCTGTTTTTTTTTCTCATCAAAGAAAAACCTATGTTCTAGGACCAATCGATTGTATTTTTGTGGTTTTGTGTGGTGTGTGTGTGGTGTGGTGTGTCCATGCATTCAAATCGATTTGTCGCAGCTGTTACATACAAATAAAACCTCGAGTATTATGCAAGTCATTGTCAATTGGAAATTTGAAATTGAAAAAAAAAAGAAATATTTCCCTGTAAATCTTGCCAAAAATCCGATTATCATCATCATCATCAAAATCTTTTTATTTCATTCTCTTGGTTACAGTGGTGCTGGTATCTGAATGAAATAATAGAAACTGTTGTCAGTCAGGCAAGCAAATCATACAATGAATGTGACAATTTCGGATTTTGGTTTTTTTTTTTGTATAATTATCTCAAAAAAAAAAACATGACCTGTGTGTGCGTGTGTGATTACACAATATTTGTCTACTCTTCAGTTGTCAATTACTGTTGTCGTCGTTGTCATGAGAATTAAAGAGTTGACTTTTGACAATTCCACAATAATCGAATCAATCAATTGTCAATGAATGAAACCAAAAAAAAAAATTTATAATTGATTTGTTTATGTCATTCCAGAATCAAGTTGATTGGAAAATTATTCATATTCACAAACAAACGGATTATATAGATTATAATATTGTAAAACTGAAACTAAAATTCATGCAAAATTTATAATGGAAAAAAAATGTTAAAAATTATGCAAATATCAAATTGCACGTGCAACAAACAATTGGGAAAAAAATGATCAAGCAAAGAAGAATCTTGAAAATTTTGTTTTGTTTTTTTTTGCGGGGGAATGGGGATAGATGGGGGGCAGGGAAAATCCTGAATATAATTTGATTGAATTTGAATGAATTTTTCAGAATGAATGAATGAATGAAGAAATAGAAATTTTTTTTTTTGATTCAAAATTGAGAGATAAAAATTTTTGAGGTAGTGGGGAGGAGGGAAAACACACTCACATTCATTTTTAAAGCTAGAAGCACCAAGAATTCCATCAATAGAATGCTTATGTTGTTGTTGTTGTTGTTGTTGTGGTTGTTGTTGTTGTTGTTGTTGTTGTTGTTGTTGTTGTTGTTGTTGTGGTTTATTGTTGATATTCATTAATGAATGAATATTATTCTGTTCTTCATCAATATCATCATCATCATCATCATCATTATTTTGTTGTAGAATTCTATGGCTATGATTATTAGTATGTAAAGTCGATGTTGAAACTAAACCACCACCACCACTACTATTAAAATGGCTATGATTATAATGATGATGATGTGAATGTGAATGTGAATTCAGATGTGGATGATGAGCATTATATGGTCCACGTAATAGCCTACTAATTGATGATACTGATGGTGCTGTTGTACGATCACATAAACCTTCTTTTATAAGACGATCACGTATCTCCCATGAAAAGATACCTGGATTTTCTTTACGATATTCTTCGATCCTTTTCTCAATATCAGGTGTTGCAACACGTGGTTTTGAACCTCCAATTACACCGGGGCGTATTGATCCGGTTTCCTAAAAAAAAGAAATGATGAAAATAAGAAAGATGAAAAAAAATTATGACATTTCATGAAAGAATGACATTTTCATCATGAATCCTTATCATCAAACTTCATATACAAAACGAGAAAAAAAAATCTGCTTCTAATCTGATTACAGCAAATCTACTTGAGCGGATAATGTGGCCAACATATTGTTAATGGATAATAAGCGAAAATAAAATTCAAAACGTTTTTTCCCTGTTGTTGTTGTTGTTCTCACTGAAAAATCGTTACCAAATAATTCAACGACTAAGGAGCTCAAACTTAGTCTATTCATCAGTTTTATTCGGAGAAAAAAAAAGTTTCAAAGTTTCATTTTCAAATAAATATCAGTCGGTCGATTGAAATCAACCTTCAAATGAATTGTGGTGTTGGTGACCACTGAAATAATTTTTAATCATGGATCAAAAATTATAATCAGATTATCATCATCATCGTTCCAGAAAAAATTGAAATCTTTCTTTTTTTTTCTGTACCAGATATTTATTCGAATTAGAACCACAAGATTATAATAACCGAACAACAGAAAAAACGTTTGAAATAATCTCATTTCTTTCATTTCATTATATTTTGTCTAATTGTATCATTATGTATGGTTCATTCAGGTCAATATGTGTTTAGGCTTTACTAACCACTAATCATTTTCTGTTCTACACAATCTAAAAACGGAAACATTCAATAAATTCATTATTCATTGATCAATTGATTGATTGATTGATTGATCGATTGTTGGTGTCTCAATTGATAATAATTCATCTTACCTGATAACGATTCAATATTTTTGATACACAACCATGTGATACACGTAATTGTCTGGATATAACACATGGACGTACACCGGCTGCTGCTAATTCAACAATCTTTAATCGTACATGATTCGGTAATGGACGACCATTTATGAATACACCACCCAATTGATTCACTCTTCCTTGGCCTAAATAATATATAGATATAAATAAAATGAATGAAGAAAAAAAAATTAAATTTTTCAAAATTTAAAGAAAAAAAAAACCGAAAAAAATAAATGAAATTTCTCGTTCCCGAAATTGAAATCAATCCATCAAAATCAACATTTAAGCCTATCTTTCTCTCGTAAAAAAAACAAAAACAAAAACCAAACCCTAAACCTAATCTAAACAATCTGGTTAATATTTGTAATTAGTAAATATTTTTTCGTCAATTCGCACAGGCTCTGGCTGAACTTTGAAAAAAGTACCGACTTTGGATGCAATACAAAGGTAAACGTACAGTGTTTTTTTGTTTTGTTTGGTTTGTTTTTTATGTGCCTGTGTGTGTATTTGTGTGTTTATTTTTTGTTGATGGAAATGTTTTCATACATTATGATGAATATTAATAATAATAACAGGTATTCATCATCATCATCATCATCATAAATTAACCATTACCACACGATATGATGAATATTTATATGCAAAAATTGAATTCATAAATCTAAACAAAAAAAAATGAAAATGAAAATCAAAAATTCAAGCCAAGTCAGACAAATGTTGATGGATCATATATAAAATCATGATTTTGATGACGACTACAATCATGATTTCGATGACGACGATGATGATGGTGAATATATTTTGTTCGAGATGAAAAAAAAACGAAAAACGGAAGTGTATGATGGATGTTCAACAAACATCTGTTTGTTTTTGTTGTTGGTGTGTTTTGTTTTGTTTTTTTTTCATACTTGTGAAAATTAAATGACGAAACTCTTTTGGTGGCAATATATAACATACCTTGAAATGGATAGCCAAACAAAGGCCTAATATTCAATGACATTTTTTTCTGTCTGGTTGAATAATTGCAATGATGATGGATATTATTCTGAATACAGTGATGATGAAATGAGATCTTTGATTTGATTTGCACCTTTCTGAATTAAATTTTTCATTAACAATTGAAGAATTTTGTGATTGTTGTTGTTGTTGTTGTTTAATTTGGTTTCGTTTCTTTTTTTTTTTTTTTTTTTTTTGGTATCACAAATTATTTTCAATGAAAAAAATGGGTAAAAAAAATTCACATTTGGATTGCTTTAAAAAAATATCAACACATCAAACAACCACTGCAACAACAACCAATTTACCAGGGACCAGAATAGTTATTTGTAGATGGGAAAAAAAACTTTGGTCCCTGAACACACACACACCTACACTACACATACATAGTGACACGTACACACACACACACACTTGATGATCAGATTAATAAATTTTGATAAGCATAAAAAAATGCACAGACACGAATCGATTCAAATAATACAATAACAATGTATTGAGATTTGAGAATTAAACCAAAAAAAAAAAAAAAAAAAAAATTTTTTTTTTTTTTAGTTGAATGGATTTCACACATAGATATAATGAGTATAAATTGTATATGATTCTAGATGCTTCAAGTATTGCGATTACTGTGTGAATTTTGTGATTTGTTGCATATAACAAAATTTCACAGACACACACACACACACACCATATACAAATCACAGAAAAACAAGCATATGAAATTCAGGAGAAAAAAAAAACAAATAGGCGGAGCTTGAACAACAGTGAAACGAATAGAACAACAGAGACAAAAACAGACTACTACTATTCCTATTTTGTATGTTTATGTTTTTTTTCTGTGTAGTAGTAGAATGGGTGTACCACCCATTTGTTTGTCTGTTATATACATTTATTATGCATATGTATGTATGTATGTATGTATGTACCATTGTTATTTGTTGCTCCGCCCATTATTTTTCCTACAACCACAATTGTTTATAAATTCATAAGGAAAAGGCGTATTTAAAAAAAATCTAATTGGTTACGGTTGGTTATAATATGAATGTTGCCCTGAATCCACGCATACACACACACACACACAAAAAATTCATTGATGATGATGCAAAAGCAAGTTTGTGAAGATATGGTGAAATAGAAAAAAAAACAAAAGACTTAAAACTAATCTGGATTTTTGTGTGGAAAAAATTTATTTTTTTTCAATATAAATCAACCAATCAAGTAATCATCGTGATCCTCATTCTCATCATCAATTGAGAATGATTCTAGTGCATAATGTATAGGCCAAAGATTTGCAGAAAAAAATGAAAAAAATTCATCCATCCATCTAATCAAAGAAACTGCCAACGAAAACTAAAACTAAAACTAAAAAAAAAAAAAACTGATGCAGTCTGAATCAACAACAACGGAGTAATGAATAATTCTATTTTTAACCACTTATCATCATGTTCAATTCTTTGCTATTTACCACCCGACATATATATATATTTTTTTTATTGTCGTTATCATTTCTATTGAATTGATGATCGTTTTTTTTTTTTTTTTTTCATTTTATAATAATGATGATGATGATGAGCTAAAATTTCATTTCATTTCATATTTTTCTGCCACTAATCATAATCATAATGATGATGATGATGATGAAAAAAAAAATGAAATTAAACCGATTAGACAAAAAAAACAAAAACAAGAAAAGAAAAAAATTCGTTTTGTTCTGCTATATTCGCACGTTAATAACAAAAAAAAAAAAAAAATAAATAAATTGAATTCCAGTGGATTCAATGGAAGAACAAAAAAAAAAAAAATTTTTTTCTGTTTTACAAATCCTAAAATCACATTATATAATCTCTAGAAAGAAAGGAAAAGATGCTGAACATCAACTGTTGCTTTGCTTTGCTTTGCATTGGTTTTTGGTTTTTGGTTTTGTTTTGTTAAAAACATTTGCAATGAAAAAAAAGGGCGTAACTAATCTATTCGTCAAATTTTTGATTTTTTTTTCGCAGTACATAAAAGGAGGATCTCATTAAGATTTTTATTATGAAGAAAAGAAACAAAACAAAACAAAACAAAACAAAAAGAACGAAGGACGAATCTTAGATCCATTTTCATTGTTTTCGATTGGCTGGTTGGCTACAATTGTAGAAAAAAAAAACGACTAATTCCAATGTAAATATACTAGAAACATGATGGTGATGAAGAAACAGAACAAAAAAAAACAGTTACATTAGTGATTGGCAATCATCAATATATAGATATTAATCATAATCAAAAGCAGCTGCATACACAGGTATACACATGCATGTGCACGCTGGTTACATAGATAGAAATTGTGAATTTTTTTTTCATTGTTAAAAGCAAAAAAAATTATTATTTTCTACCTGTCATAATTGGAATTTGTTTTTTCTCTTGTTAATAAATCTAAATAAATGATTTTTTTTTGTTGTCGTTGTCGTTGCTGTTTGATAATTCGATTCGGTATTTTTTTTGTTCTGTTCTGTTCTGTTTTCAAAAAAAATTGCAACAAGATGGTTTGGTTGTTTTTTCTGGTTTTTTTCTTTGAAAAAAAAACGTAAAAATTAACATAACAACCAGACAACCAAAATCATCATCTAAAAATATATACAAAATTCATCCATCATCCAAAACAAAACTCGAATCATTAAGATTTTAATGTGAATTTTAATTTTTGTCTAGAAATTTTCCTTGTAAGAGAGAAAGAGAGAAGAAAAAATTCAAAATTCTTCACAGAACGAAATGAAATTTCATACAACAAGTATTGAAGTGATCTGAACATTGCAACCGAATATTGTTGTTGATAATGTCGATTAAATCGACTTGATTCATTCGACACAATTTTTTTTACACCTGATGATCTGTTGATGATGATGACGATGACGACGATCACAAGCCTTATTATAGAATAAAATTTCAATTTTCTATAGATAAATTGGTTTGTATACGGTGTATACGGTGCATGCAAACAAACAAACATGAAACGAACGCCAACATATTTTACCGTAACCAAAAAAAAAAAAAAATCATTATTCGTTTCTTGTTGTTTTTTGTTGTAAACTATGAAAATTAATTTTAGTATTTGTAAACAAAATTTAAAATCCAATCATTATCGATGAATCTCACTATTCTAATTGATTATTGAAAATGTCACCAAAAAAAAACCGGAAAATGGATTTTATTAAAACAAAAAAACACACACACACACACACACGCAAACTTTACACCTGTCACTATTTATAGTCAAAAATGTCAATTTGTGATACATTGAATTGTATTGGTTTGTCATTCTTATTCACCAATAGATCATCACATTGTTTGTTTGTCATAATTAAGCTTTGAACAAAACGATTTTTTTCTTCTTCGTTTTTTTTTCACCCGTTTTGTATATTGGTGAATGATTTTGTTGTATTTTGTTGTAGACAAAAAAAACAACAACAACAACAACAAAACAACAACAAAATTCTTCTCCATTTTTTTTTCGTTTTTGTTTTGACATGACAATGACGATCCATTCACAATTGGATTGGATTACAAAATTTTGTTTCTCTCTAGACATGTATTGATCGATCAATCAATCAAAATTTGAATCTCAATTGAATTATTCCATGTGTGTGTGTGTGTGTGTGTGTGTGTAAAAAATATCCGTTTTGTTTTGGTCATATTTACGTATACGAATCAAATTGAATTTTGTTGGTTGGCCGTCTGTGTTTTTGTTGTTGTTGTTGTTGTTGTTGCTGTTATTGATTTATTTTTTTTGGTTGTAGTGGTGATGATGATGATAGTGTTAATGAGAAATGTTTTCATCATCGTTGTCGTTTGATTGTGATTGTTTTCCCAGCAGCAGCAACAACAGTCATGGGAGAATAGGATCTTTTAGATTTCAAATTTTTTTTATTTTTAGGTTCCTGTCATCAGTACGCCAAACAATCTATTGCCATCAATCATCATCATTCTGTTGGTTTGTAACAAAAAAAAAAAAAAAAAAAAAAAATTATTGAGGGTGTAGGTGTCAATCAATCAATCAATCGAAAAAAAAATTCTCATTAAAATATATTTCAAGTTGACAATTCAATTGTCTCATCATCATCATCATCATGATGATGACATTCGATGATCAAATCAATCAATAAGAATCATTTGGACATTGTTGATTGATCTTGAATCCAAAATTTTTAATGATTAATAAACATCATTATCTGGCAATAATGGCCAACCATACAGAACAAACTTTTTTGCAATGAAAATGAATGTTCATCATTTCCACCGTCGACAACAACAACAACAACAACAAAAAAAAACAAATTGAAAAAGAAAAAAAAATCAAATTCAATTTGATTCGATTCAATTGAATTTCCATTATTTTTGTTGTTGTTGTCGTCGTCGTTGTTGTTGTTGTTTGAGCCAATTATTTTTGTTGATTATTTTATTATCATCATCGTCATCATCACAAAAAAAGGTCATTCGCGTTTGATTCATCGATGAAAAAAAAAACACAACAACAAAATTCTATTTCAAATCAAATCAATCATCATCAATGGAAGGGGGCGGGCAAGATTAGTGGTGATGATGATTGTGGTTGTCCACTTACAAATAAACAGACGAAAATTGAAAAAAATTTTTAAGAAAAAAAAAATCAAATTGAACTAAATTGAATGAATGAATGAATTCAATCCAAAAAAAATGAATCAATGAATCATTAGCTAGGTCCATAGGGACCTATGCTATTTTCTTCAAGCAAGAATGAAAAGAAAAAAAAGGTGTAAATTGAAAATGTTTAACACTCACACACACACACACACTTATGTGGAACGAGCAAAGAAAAAAAAATTCAATTACTCAACCACCACCACCACCACCATATCTCATTGATCGATCGATCAATCAATCAATATTGATCTATCAGGTTGAATTTAATGCAAAAAGAAATCAAACAAAACAAAACAAAAAAATTCATTCACAAAGAACATAATCATTTTGTTGTTTTTTTTTTTTTTGAACGACAGAATAAGAAAAAGAAAGAAACGATCGATTTTCGAACGTTTCTTTTTTGTGTGGTATCTCGAAATCTTTAAACAACAGCAAAAAAAAAAGTCAATTAAGATCTAATTATTATTTATGATGATGATTATAATCAATCTGTGTTCGTGTTGTGCGGACGATGTGAGAATTTTTTTGTTTTTCACAGGTTTTTTTTTTGTTCTGCAAAGATTATCAAGATCAAGGAAACAAAATCACCTATGGAGGTCTATTTCATTCATAATGATAATTCAAAGCTTTAAAGTCAATTAAATTAACCAAAAAGGAAAAAAAAATTTTTTTTGGTAAAAATCGTGTATTCACGAATTGAGTTGAACACTTTGCTGCGTGTTTTTTACATTGATTTAACGTGAGCCGTGTGTGAGGTCATCATCATCATCATCATCATTGACCACCACCTTTACCACAACAACACCGAAAAAGCGATCAACCAACAACAAATGTGATTGATCAGTCAATAAACGAATCATTCATGAATTTTGTCTGTGTGTGTTATAAAGATTTGTTAAAAAAAAATGAATGTAACAAATTGTATGAACAGAAGCGTAATAGATTGAATGATGATGACCACCCAGAACAGATTTGTCTTTGGGAGAAAAAAATCCCGTTGTTTGGATTGTGACAAATTTCCAAAAAAAAATCCATTTGATATTTGAAGCCGAATCAATTGTGATTTATTGTGCATAAAATTAGTCAGTGTGTGTGTGTGTTTGTGTGTATAAAAATCGTGTTTTACATTCGACATGATACATTGTTGATCAAATAAAAATCGATCCATTGGATAAATATCAAATATATTTTTTTTGGCTACCACCATTGGAGATGAACATAACGCAAATGATCATTGATCTTTGCGTTATGTCAATATTGATTTACAAAATCAAATTCGTAACTAACAACAGAAATTTTCAATCAATAGAAATGATGATGATTTGTGGAGAAAAAAAATGGACATATATACAATGGAGATTTGGCTTTTTTTTGACACCGATAAAAATTTTGTTTGTCCATTAAAAGACACGTACAGCGGCCCAAAGATCAAAAAATCATCAAAAAAAAAAAAAAAAATTACAAACAACATCATTGTGTACATTACGCCATCTATCAGTCGATGTTCAAAGTTATAATTTTTCATCATAATGTGAAAAAAAATCATTGAAACATTCAAATTGTCAAATTCAACAATTGATAATTTTCACGATGATAATGATTTCAAATTTTTATTTGATTAATTAAAAATTTAAATTAATTAATTTCATTTCATATCATATATCATATCATACATAGAATGTTAATTTATCATCATCATTTTTTTTTAATCGAAAATGAAAAATTAAAAAATAAACACTCATATACCATTGATGACTAAACCGTTATAAACGAAACAGAATGAAGAGTGTGAGATACAGAGAGAGAAAAAAAATTTCAATCAAACGGCACATTGAATTTTTGAAATTGTATTTTTTGTTTTGTGAATAACTCATAATAATAATAATAATAATAATAGAGACTAACGGAGGATTATACACGGATTAATGATGTTATTATTATTATATAGCTGGATTGATTGAAATTGAATTTTAAAATCCAGTTCATTAATAATAATAATGATAAATGTAGATTGACGTATAATGACTAATTCATATATATATATAGCCATTGTATATGATAATAAAAACAAATAAATGGGTGTGTCTGTGAAATGAGGAAGATGTATGGTTATCTGTCTGTTATATGTGTATGTAGATGGGTGTGTAGAGTTTATTCTGTTTATATTTTGTGCATTTTTTTCAATTTAATAGGATTAGTATATATCTTTTTTTTTTCTTTTTAGACGACACAATTTAGAAAAATAAAAATAAAATTTGATTTGATATCGATATATCGATGTGAATAATGAATGAATGAATGAATGATCATGCTAAACAAAAAAAAATGATGCTATGAATTATCAAATAGTCAAGAAAAAAAAATATGAAAAGAAAATTTGATAATTGATAAAATTATTGGGCATTTATATGTAAGTGTTTGATGTGTGTGTGTGTGTGTGGACATATTTATTTAATTATGTGTGTCACAAGGCCTAAGGTTGTGTTGTTGTTGTGGATGAAATGTTTATAATTGGTGATGAACGTAATTGTTGTTGTTGTTGTGTGCGCGATGTATTTATCATTTGTTGTTGTTGTTGTTGTTGTTGTTGTTGTGTAGATGAATGTGTAATTATATGATGATTATGATGATGATGTCGTCCTGGACCTATTGGTGATGAATGTTGGCTTGAATTACTATATGTACGTGGTAATGATGTTAATTCTTGTGTATTATTTGTTGTTGATAATTTTGAAAATTGTAATAATGCATCAGGAAAATTTGGTGGTGTTGCCGGTGTATTGGCTGGTGTACACATCTGAAAATTGTAAACACGAGCATGTGAAAAAGTTGAAAAAATTAATAATTAAATTAAAAAAAAAATAAATCATTTGATTGATCAATTACCTGATGAAAATGATTATTACCATGATGATGATGTACGGAAATTGGTGAATCTTGTAGAAATATACTCAATGCAGTCTATATATAGAGGTATGAAATAAAATTTACCGGAAATTAATATTATCACCATTATCACCATCACCATTAATCATAAATTACCTCAAATTGCCAATGTGCTGCTTGTAATAATTGCTTTGCTTGATCATGTGCACATCCGGCAGCAACAACAAATTGATTGATCATCACTTGTTCACGTAATGAATCCATCTGTTCATTAATCCACATCTGTTATCAGCCGAAAATTTCTACAAATTTATAATATATTATATATATGTTTCAATCAATCAATGAATCGTTGATTGGTTTGAATTTTTGATTTTGTTTTTGTTGCTATTGTTTACACTTAATAACACAACACCTATAGAAATGAAATGATAAAAAATTTGATGATATTCAATATTGAATAATTCGAACAATATTTACCGCTAAAAAAAAGTTCTATTCGATTTTTGTTGTTGTTGTTGTCATAACCAAACCAGGAAAAAAGAGAGAAAAAAAACGCGTTTGTAAGCTCGTTCACAAATGATTCGAAAATGGAATTGGCTTCGAATTGATGATTATTTAGCTCACTGATTTTTTTTTTATTCGTCAATACACACGAACGAATGAATTCAGAATTTATTTTATCGGATTTTAATTTGCAAAAATTATCGATTTGTGTTTTGGTTTGTTAAATGTTGCAATTTTTTTTTGTGTATTGTGTTTTGTATCAAATGCACATTCCTCACAAATGTAATCCATACACACACACATAGCAATGATGATGATGATGATGATACAACAAAAAAAAAAAGATACAGCAATGGTTTTATTTTTTTGCCCTTCTACAAATAATTGTGATAATGATGACGATGACGATGATGATGATGATGATGATCAGTAGGAAAACACTAAAAATCGTTGTGGTTTTTGTTTGTTTTGATTGTCGTGTATCTTGGAATTGATATTGATAAATGATTTAATCCTTTTTTTTCTTTAAAACTTAATTAATCTTTTCTTGATTGATTGAATTCAATTTTAAATCACAAATAATATGCTTTTAATCGATATATTTTGTAACAAAATTATTGTCGTTCGTAATGATGATGATGATGATGATGTGATAAGTTGTTGTCGTCGTTGTTTTTTTTTTATTGTTGTTGTTGTTGTTGTTGTTGTTGATATATAGAAACAAATATGAAAAAAAGTCAAGTTTTTGTTATTTGATTTTGTCGTCGTCGTCGTCGTTGTTATTGTTGTTGTTGATTTAAATCCGATTTATTATTTATGTTTTTGTGATTTGTGTGTGTCTATAATTCTAAATCAATCAATCAATAATAATAAAATAAGAAGAAAAAAAACGTTTCAATTCTCAAACATATTACACACACACACACACACACACACAATAATAATAACAAAAAAATGCTGTTTGTTATTATTATTGTTGTTGTTGTTGTTGTTGTTAGTGATGATGGTGTGTTTGTGTTTGTGTGTGTATGTGTGTGTGTATCCATCTATCTATTTTATTGACCACTACCTTTTTTAAGGATAATAACAAAAACAAATGTTTTTATACTTTTTTTTCAATGTATATCTGAATATATATTATTACCACTACTATTGTATATTGTGAAAACAAAATTACACAAAACACATCATTCGATTTCGATGCATTATTATTGGAATATAGTCATTATAATGATAAACAAAATATATATATAATGGTAAAGGATTGTGATTGCAAATGATTGGTTATCATCAATAGATAATAATAATAATAACGATAAATAAATTGCATCAAGGACATTCAGTCTACCGGATAGCCAATATTTTATGGATAATAATATATTTAAATATAGGTATTTGATGATTGATATTCTATATTCATCATAGACACAGATAAATAATTGTTTTAAATACATCCATTCATTCATATTAATTCCTTATCATATAATAATCATTCATGTTTGTGTATAATCAATCTATAGACACACACACACACAATACGGTAGCCGTAAATTTGATCTAAATTTTTGTCATTTGATTTCTTTTTCTTTTTTTTTTTTTTGTCGACGTGACATTTTTATTTTGCTTATCATCACGAGACATTTAGTGTTTATGAATGAATGAAAGAAATAGTGAATGATTGAATGAGAGAAAAAGTAGATTATAGGTAAATGGGAATCGCATGCGTTTTTGTTGTTGTTGTTGTTGTTTCAAGTTGCAACATCATCATCATCAATAATCATAAATTTGTCACTAGATTGATGATTTTTTTCTTGATGATGATGATAATAATGCAATCAGCCTGTCTAACGAATGGTTAAACACGCGTATTTTTTTTCTTTTTAAACGTGATTTACATTTGTGTGTAATAATTATAAAAAATTGTTGATTGATAATCTGATCAATAAATGAATCGAATATATTGAATTTCAAATTCAAAAAATTGCCACTATCACTATTAACTACTACACTGGATTCTGTATATATTAAAATATGAAAAAAAAAATTTTTGTCCACATCATATACATGGATTTATACATCAACACACAATTAATGCCACTACCAAAATTTTTTTTTTTTTTTAGCACCTCCTTTAAATTTCTATTTCGACTTTTGTCTATATTCAAATAAATAAATATGTCGATATAGTTTTACAACAACAAACAAACAAAAAAAAAAAAATTCTTTAGAAAATAAAAGGAGGAGGCTAATTTTCACTGTGGCTCCTTTGCTTTTGTTATATATTCAATGTGATTAATTAATCAATTAACACACCATACACATACACACACACTGAAACAATTTTGGCAATAACAACAAGCTTGAGTCGGTTCTTCACATTTCATGTTATTCTTTGTTTTCTTATCAATATTACCGCTTAAAAGTGCTCAGTTTGGCTTGGCTATTTTAATTCGCGCTTTTCAACCATTCTATCATTCTGTTGCTCATCTCATATTTATTCTGGATTCTTATACTGTTGTGTTTATGTCATAATTATTTTGTTCCACAGTTTTTTTTTATTTGATAATTATGTATTTGGTGATGAATGTGTCTTTTTTTCTGTTTATTTTTTCATTATCGATTTTTCCCATATATCACCATCACATTCATATCTGCATATAATCGATATTGGACATAAAAATAAGTGAATTGTTTTTTTGTTGTTGTTGTTGTTGTTGTTTCATATCCGGTATATTGGAATCGATTTTTTTTCACCATTTTCTTTTCATCCAATGACAATGTTCAAATCGGTTTTTCTTTGTTTCCGTTAACAACCATAATATTAGTAATAATAATATTCGTATATATCGATTTGAAATGAAACGAAAACGACGATAAAAATACGGAATCATTCATTGAATATTTTTGTATGTTTCACACTGTAACATTCGTCATCATCATTTGTCAATCATCAATCGGTGTTTCCATGGTTGTATTTCCACGATTTTATGACAAAAAAACATAACGGCAAATTAGAAGAAAACACAACAAATTTTTTTAAATCGATTGAATAAACTAATTTGACATCATCAACAACAGGCGTGATTCAGAATTATTTCATCATTTGCCATCACCACCACCCACCTACCTCGTTCTTGTTCATCTTCGATACGAAAACAATAGAAAAAAGTTCATTCGGGTTCGAATAATTCTCAACATCATCATTCACCAATTTTAGACGACAATCGATTGTATCGAAATTTTTTTTTTATTTCATTCTTTACGAGAAAAAAAAACTATTTTTTAACCGCCGCTCATAATAATTAAAAACTATACCACTACTACAAACAACTTACATCATCATCATCATCATCATCATTTATATCGAATCGAATTGTTTTGTCTCGTTTTTTTCTGCTAAAGATTCGTCCATCATCATTATCATCATTTAGATTTTGTTTAAATTTTTTTTTCTTTGATTTATTATTGATCAGTCATCAAACTGGTATTTTTTTTACGAGTGTAATTTTGTTTGTATATGTGATGAGCATATCATCATTCGTCATTAATAAGATAATTCATTTCTTTTCCTGATCAAATTGATTTTTTTTTCAATATATAAATTATTGAAATTGTTTTGATACACACAAAAAAATCCAAGAATTGTTTATTTCATCAACATAAAATATGTTGAACATCTCATAATCAATCAGATTTCATACGTAAAATAATAAAAGTTTCATTTATATATAAAAATGATGAACAAAAATAGATTCGAATAAAAAAGAGAAAGAAAGAAGAAAAAAAAACGAAGATAACCGGGTTTTGATTGTGGTCATTGTTATCGTTGTTGTTATTATCACACACATCTCACACATATACGAAAAGAAAGAAAATACAAAAAAAAAATAACTGAACTGGTCAGAAAAAAAATTTGTTCCACTTTTCATTCATCATCATTACTTTTGTTCTTCTGCATTACCACCATACACACCACCACTTATTGTCACACAAAATAAAATCACCTTCCACTTCTTGCCTACAACTTCAAATTCATTGAATTTTTTTTGTTCATCAGAAATTTCAAGTTTTTTTTCCATTTCTTTTCTTGTGATCAGAAATTTTTTTTTTCTGAAAAATATCCATGCCAACCAATAGATAAATGAAAAAATGAGATACAACAATTCAACAACAACAACAAGATAGCCAATTATATGAAAATAGAAAAAAAAACGATATTGTCCCATCATCTCTATGCACATCTCTTTATTTTTCTCTTCCACAATCCATTAAACAACAAAAGAGGCAATCGCATCCTAAAAAAAATCAAAATTATAATCAACAAAATCAACATATTTTTGTTGTTGTTGAGCAAACTCGAATATTTACAACAACAACAACAACAAAAATCCATCCATCTCATTATCCATCCATAGTCGTCATCATCATCATTATTATTATTATTATTAACGAATCGAATTGAACAGGACAACAAACATAGACACACAAAAAAAAACGCACCAGATCAGGCTGCTTTTTTCTCTCTCTCTCACTCTCCACATCTATCTTCCCCATTTTTTTACCCACACTTCTCATCATCCGATCGAATCGAATCTCACAAAGTAAATCCCTTGTGTGTATGGTTGACATTTTTTTTTTTGTTGTTGTTGTTGTTTTTATTTTTCAAATTGAGCAACATTGAATTTTTTTTTTTTTTGCTAATTTTCACTCTTTGTTTGCCTTTGTGTGTGTGTATGAGTGTGTTTATATGTATGTAGGAATCTGGATTTTTCTTCTAATTTGATTTGTGTTTGATTTTTTTTTTGCAACTAAATTCTTCAATTCTTTTAATGTTTTTGTTTTATTATATTACTATTTATATCTTTCATTGATTGATCCATCATAGTTTGTTTCGTTTATAATTTATGGAATGATAATAATGAGTTCAAAAGACGAAACATTAACTAATGAAACAACAGATAATGTTGTTGAAGTGATGAAATCAACAGAAACAACTTCAATTATTATAGATGATGATGATAATAAAATTAATGAAAAAGATGATGATGATGATGAAATTAATCAACAAAAAAGTGATGATGATAATGAACAACAAATGTTAATTGATGATCAATCGGATTGTTGTGATAATAATAATATTGGTGAAACATTAACAAATGATCAACCAGATGTTGATGATGATGATGATAATGTTGAACAAGAAATAATCGAAAACAATGGTGATACCATTATTGATGATCAAACCGTAGATGATGACAATGTCCAAGATGAAAAAGAAGAAGAAAAAGAGACGAAAAAATCTCCATTACAATCCGAAAATGATACCATTAACGATGATAATGATAATAATCAAGTACAAAATAAACTAAATCCTAGTAATGATGATGATGATGATAAAGCAAAAACAGTTATTGATCAGCCCAATGAATCAATCTCGATAAATGGAACGATAGATGATAATGAAACCGATGAAATACAAAATAATCGACACCAGCAACAAGATGAGAACAAAAACGACGATGAAGATGAATCCATTGATTCAAAAGGTAATTGGAATTTTTTTCTTGTAACTTTTTTCACATTTTTTTTGTTTTCTAGACAATATTGATGATGATGACAAAGTAATGGAATCTGACAAGCCAGAAATAAAAGAGGAAGAGCAGATTGAAGCTAAACAGAATCAACATGCTGATGATGATGAAGAAGAAGAAGAAGGTTCACCACAAATGTTAACAGATGTTGATAATGAAATGAAAGATTTAACAGTTCCAAAAATTGAAATCAAAGAAGATGATAAAGAAACAGAAGAAAAAGAAAAAGAATTGAATAAATCCACATCATCAAAAACGATTGACATTGGGCAAGATGAAATGGCCACATTAGATCTATCAAAATCATTACCGAATGGATCACAAACAAAAATACGAACAAAAGAACAACGACAACCATTATCAGAAAGTTATGTAAATACACCAATGACTAGAAGTCAGAAACGTGCCCGTTCAAATAATAATACTACAACGACAAATACATCGACATCAATTGTTGAAGATTTATCCATATCCGGCATGAAAAGACAAAATACAACAACGCTGCCATATTCGAATGGTGATTCAAATTCCCTTGACAATGATGAGATTGATGATAATGATGATAAATCAAATCATAATAATAATAATAATAATAATGATAATCCGATAATGTTGAAAAGAAAAAAACGAAATAGTAATGACATATATGATATGATTAATCAAAATGAACAACAACAACAATCATTGTATAATGAAAATATCGATGATGATGATGTTCGTGAAGAATCGATGGCCAAATTAAAATTGATACGTTGTTTAAAACAACGATTATTCAATGAAGAGATGAAATTATTATTTTTGAAAAAAATACGACATAGTCAATTGAAGGAAAACATATCACAACAACAAACAACAGGCAATGGATTCAACAGTGACGTTGATGAATACAAATCAACAACAACAACAACATGGCCTTGGTCATGGAAATCAACAGCAACAACAGAATCATCCTAATCGACTTCAACAACAACAACAACAACAACAATATCCCTCACATCATAATCTAACAAATTCATCAGCATCGGCTGCTGCTGTAGCTGCAGCCACATTAGCTAATAATCTTTCATCGATTGGTGGTTTGAATTTGGCCTGCTTACAACGAGAATTTGCTCAACATTTATTGGCCCAACATCAGAATCATTCATCAACAACATCATCATATTCTGCTGCTGGTTTGAATTCTGTATTAAATTTTTCAATGCCAACCAGCGGTAGTGGGAGTCATGGTCATCATAAAAATATGGCCAATTTAATCAATAATAATGTTGCACATTCAAATCATCATTTATCATCAACTAATACTGGTATACATCATACACCAGCACATGCCGGAAGTAATACAAAAAATTATCATTCGTCTAATTCGGCTGTTGCTGCAGCTGCAGCAGCTGCTGCTGCCGCTTTGAATTTCTCCACCAATCATCATCAACAAATGCAACCGATGCAAGCACATATGACGAAATCATCAAGCGGTAATTCTTCTGGTAGTAGTCATCATGGCCTGTCATCATCAGCGAAAACACCATCACCAGCACATCTAAATCATCCCACTTATCATCATGGTATAACTGCCGGACGTTCCCCATATAATTATAATCCACTTGCTGCACCACCACCTCCACCACCACCCAGTTTGACCAAACATCGTAGTAACAGCGGCAGCAGCAGCAGTGGTATTGGTCATCCGGATTCTCCACATACCAATTTAAATGCTGCTCATGCATCATCAATGAAATCAACCACTTCGTCATCATCTTCGAATAATCGTGCCATTTCATCTCCAAACATGGCCTACCCAGATTTACGACATTCATCATCGTCAAAACATAATCAGGTATTCCATTATTTTTTAATATTAATCGATGAAATAGTGATCATTTTAATATGTTTAGATTATACCGCCTAATGTACCATCTCCGGTAAGCAATCATCAAGTAGTTGATGGCAATAGTGGCAATGTTGTATTGACAAAGGAACAAATTTTATTGCAAAAACAATTGGCTACATTAAAACAAGTCATGCGTAAACATGTTGAAAAACCCCCGCAACCTAAAATGATTCCATCTGAAATGCATTTTATACCGAACCCATCGAATCCTGAATTTATCTATTATGTTGGTCTTGAAACTGTTGTCAATTATTTGACCGGTTCGAATCAAATGCCACAACCACCGGAACCATTTGAATGTGTGCAATGTGGTACAGATTTTACACCCGTTTGGAAATGGAAAGATCGTTCAAATCCAGCCAAACCATCTGTTATTTGTGAACGTTGTGTATCGAAAAATATGAAAAAAATAATTAGTGATGATTATCAGAAAGAAGTATCATCATATGCAAAAACATTTGAAGAAATTGAAAAACATTTGACCACAGCAACGGTTGCTGCTGCATCAATACCTACACCACCTCCACCTACTCTGCAACCCCAACCACCACCATCACCAGCGACTGTAACATCTCATCGAACTATGTCACCGGCATCGATTCCGGGAAATTCAAATGTACCAAATCAACCACAACAATCATCCTCTTCATCATCAAGGCAATCCTCATCGAATCATTTGGTTTCAGCGGCAAACAGTTTATTTGGTGGATCTTCTGCTGCATCGAATAATCCTGCAGTGATGGCTGCAGCAGCGGCTGCTAATTTCAATCTACAACAGGCTCATTCGCAAAATTCGCCATTATCATCATTATCACCATCACAAATGGCTGCGATGGCAGCATTATTGATGCCACAGGCAAATCCACAGCTGCCACCTCAACAACAATCAACTCCTCCAGTCGCACATAGTAGTTCGACCCGGTCATCCACAGCTTCCTCAAGCGGAAATTTTGGCCCTTCGAGTTTATTTGGTGGTGCAGCCACGAATTCAGCTGCAGCAGCTTTGACTTTGCTACAACAGCTTCAATCGTTTCCAAAGATTAATCAGGCTCAATCTTTATTGTTGGCACAGCAATTATTGGCCGCATCAACACCGCTGCCACCATCACCACAGCCACCTGCTTCATCTGCTAGCTCATCTGCCGCAGGAAATCCAAATGCATCGGCAATGGCCCAATTATTGAGTTTCCCGAATTTTCTTTATTCAAGCCTGTTGGCTGCATCTTTGACCAATAATCAACAACAACAACCGCAGCATAAATCATCATCATCATCGTCATCATCATCCGGTTCGACGGCAATGGCTTTGAATGCAGCTGCAGCTGCTGCAGCAGCAAGTATACCTCGACAATTATTAATGGAAATGCTACCTGGTGCAAGCGGTGGTAGTGGTGGACATCATTCAGGTCGAAGTTCAAGTGGTCATTCGCAGCATAATTATAAAATGTAACTAAAGGCTATCATCTATTTCTTCAATTCCTTTGTTGTTTTTTTTCATAATCATCATCAACATGAATGAATGATACATACATGAAGAACAGATAGGAAAAAAATGCCTTTCATGATATTCATCAATCTGATTTTAAATTTTTTTTTTTTTTGGAATAAAATTTTCTCCATCCCTTTCAAACAAATCATATGATTTTATCAAAAAAACACAATATATAGGTCTATATATATAAATATAAATAATAATAGGTTATCACAAATTACTCCTTCTTTCCTTGATCCTCATCATTTCTTTATTTCTTACATTTTTGTATTGAATGAATTCATCATCATCATTTATATGATTTGAAAATTGATTTTTAAAAATTCAATTCCTTTTTTTTCATTCATAATTTAAATATATTTCATCATTTTAACATGAAAACAACCACTGACACATGTTTGCAATTTGTCACTTACACAAATACCATGGTGGACTATCCAATTCTTTATCATCATTATCATCATCAACATCAACAAGTTTTTATTTGTATTTTACATTTTATTTGATAACCATCCATCCACCAACACACACCCACACACACACAAATAAATGATAAAATTTAGTGCATTTGCTTTTAAACATATCCCCACACATACGCACCACTTACAAACGCCCCCATTTCATTTATTCGCTCCTATTCACACCATTACGCCTAATTATTCTAGTTTTATAATAATGGTAACAGCAAACAAAACAAAACAAAAAATGACAAAGAATCGATTATTTCTTTATTTCAATTTTTTTTTCTTTTTTAAATTATATGATAATTATTAAAAATTTCAAATTGGAAAAAAATTCAATTCAAAATTCGTTTTTTTTGTTGTTGTTGTTTGCGAGCATGTCTATTTGATTCATGGATTTTTTTTATTTTGATCACGTGATCAAAAGTGTGTGTGCGTTTGTGGGGTGGTCAACATGCATGTTTGTTGAACGCCTTTGATAATTGATCGTATTTAGTTTTCTGGATTTGGTTTTCTTTTTTTTTTTGGTTTTTTTTGTCGTTACATTTGAAAATTTATCACAATAAAATAAACAATGGATTTTACAGCATTAGAATTAGGCCTTCGTAATCGACAGCTATTACAGGTAAAATGTTTTCTACGTATTCAGATTGAAAGTAAGTTTGAAATATTACATATATTCATTGAAAAAATGATAATTGACCAATTTTATTAGCATTTCGTTATTTTATTAAACAAGATCTATGTAATTCATCATCAAATGAACAAGCTGCTGCATTGGAAAAATTTTTTCTTCATGATTGGCAAAATGTTGTCAATAAAATTGTTTCCTTTGCAACCATACAGATGAGCGGTGATTATGCAGCCAAAATATTCTCCATTCTATTATATCGATCATTGATTTATTCATGTAATCAACTTATAATGACCGTTTCGGCTATCCAAATCGATAATGATGATGATGATGATGATAATAGTGATGATAATGTTTTCATACGTTCAACGGATACAACACAATCATTGCGATCATCACCAATATCGAATACGATGGCGTCCGATACGAATACAAATGAAAATTCATTACGATTAGTGAAACAACGGATACTTTTACATTTAATTAAACAAATAAATTCAATGCGTGATTGTCTTGATAATCGAATACGATTGAATAATTCGCTGTTACCAAATGAGCCATTAGAATCAACAAGTTTGAAAATTGTCAGACCAAAAATAAACGATGATTCAAGTGATCATGATGAATCATTATCAACAATGCTCAAAACAATCGAAGCTCTACTAAAAACATATGGAAATGCACATCGTTTTCAGGAATTATTCGAACGTTCATTACAGAATAATTCAATTCCATTGTTTGTATGGGCAGTGAAAAAATTTGCTCAACAATCCAATAGTGCCTATGGTGAACAATTGATTCATTGGGATATAATCGTCGAACGAATTGTTCAATATACAGCAATGAAAATTAGTCGTCCTGATTCAATAGTCGATGATCGATTAATTTCCGAAATCAATTCCTATCTTATACAGACTGGTCGTCCAGTATTTGATATATTATATGCACTATTCATACAAACTTCGGATGCTATTATTCGACAGAAATTATTACATATTTTTGCCATTTGTTTAGCTAGCCATCCTGAAGATGATGATCCTAATGTTCGCATAATAAATTCGAATGTCAATTTCAAACAATTTCAATGTCAATTTGGCCAATATTTTCGAATGTTATCCATAATGGATTTGTATATTTTTTGTTTTCGGCCAAAAATTTCACCAGTCAATGATGAAGAAAAATTAGAAATTGCATTCGAATGGATTAACATTAATGATGATGATGATGATGATAATGGAAATATTCGATTGGCTAAATCATTTTTATTGCCCATTTTAGGTGAATTAACACAACATTCACAAATGTTAAATAATTGGGAAGAAATGACCGCCAATAATTATAATCTAATTGTTTTCGATCCATTTCGTCAGCATATTTTTATTGAAGAAAATTTCCAATCATACATTAATGCATTATCTGTTTGGCAATATCTAATCGATAATAATGATACAAAATCATTAATCAAATGGATCGAATCAGATCAAATTATTCAACCATATTGTGATCAAATTCGTCCTATAAATCTCAAAATGTCAATTCGAATGTGTGAATATCTTCTACGACAATCACCAACAATACTTTTAGCCGATATATTCGTTGCATTAATATCGAATCCTTATTTTTTCAATCAACATGATTTCAGTGATCTAATGGCAAAAATGTTATCGTTTTCGGATTTTCTTCAAATCATTGGCCAAACAAATATTCTTTCATCTGTGAATAGCTGTTCTTCCGGTAATGGCTGCGCCATTTTGGAAAAATTATTAAACAAAGTGATAAAATTGTCTCAATTAGTGCAACATTGTATCGAATCTAGACAATATGAATTTCTATTTCTACTCTATAATCGATACAAAATTGATTTTGATGTCTTTTTCTCCAGTTCATCGAATATTGAAGAATCATCATCATCATCGAAACAAATGTTGAATGTATTGAATTTTATGCGCGATCTTTGTCGTTCGAATGGTGAAGTGTTTGAAAAATCATTATTTATCCATCAATTTTTAGTCAACGATTTTTCGAAACCTTTAAAAAGCATATTTAGCCATTCAAAATCATTCGATGAAAATGTTAGATTTTTGCTTGAAACATTTGCAGCTGGTTCAATTGATTTGGATATGATTTTAATGATTATATCATTTTCATCAAAATATGGTTTCGATGAATTTTTCGACGCTTTACAGCAACAAGAACCTGATCTGGTCAAATCATTCGTTAATAAACTTGCTACAAAATATCCACTTGTTCATCGTGCTTCCATTTCACATCAAGAATCAAATGCATCATCATCATCATCATTAAACATTTATACATTCCTTCAACAAGCCATACCTTTTGTCGATATTAATAATGTTTTCCAATGGCAAACAAATCGTTGCCTTTCGAAACCCATTACGAATGATTCAAATTCAAATCATCATAATGAAATGCCACATTTTTCACAAAAACATTTATCCGAATTATATGGTTTTAAATCCAATTTAAATGCATCATTTTATCTGAAAAATCTTCGAATAATTGAAGCATTTTTAACATTCAATAAATTCTTGTCTTCGAATGAAAAATCACGTGACCGTCATTCGATCAATGAAAAATTATCGATAAAAGCAATAAAAAAATCGACAATTATTGGTTATAATAATATTAGTGATCAATCGATAGTCACTACTTGTCTACTGTTTCAATCGTTGATCAAATCCTCTTTGATGCCCGGTAAACATAAATCATCAAGCAATCATCGTTCTTCAGTTCTACGAGAAACATTGGATAAAAATATTTTCAATGAATGTGAAAAATTTCGCTTACATCTAGCTTTGGGACGATTAATCATTGAATATGCTGGAGATTTTCTTAATCTTGAAGGTGTACAACAACAACAAAATGTTCTGGCTACACTTCTTCGACGTTCGCATTTTCATTCAGATCGAATTTGTTCACAAAAATTATTAGATTTAGCTACTGTTGCACTTGAGCGAAAATATTCATCCATACGAAAACCTTTGACCAAATTTAGACGACAACAACAACAACAACAACAACAACAACGACAACCGCCGAATCGATCGCTAAATGTGAAATTTCTCTTATTGTTTATTGAAACATCAAACAAATTTATGACCAAAAACGAAAATGATAAAGATCAAATTGAATCTTTGATACCGATGATTGAATCATCCTGTAATCTATTGATCGAATGTTTTGAATGGAAACCATTATTCATGTTTGCCGGCCATTATTCATTGAAACGTCCATTTGGACATTTTCTTAATAAATGTACCAACGAAGATAATTGGCTTGTATTTGTTATCTTTGCACAGTTATATGAAATTCCTAAAGAAGATCTACAGCAGATTTTATCACAATCCAATTTCAATAATCAATGTATTGGTGAACATTTGGCCAAAGCATTTCAAAGTTCACGACATGTAAACGTTACATCATTGAGTGAAGCTGAATCAAGAATTTTACGTTCAAAACAAACACCAGATTCGTCTCGTAATGTTTTATATTCGAAATTATTCAAAGAGAAATCCATTCCAATTGGATCACCACCACCGGGTTCATATATCTCCGCAAAGTCCACCGGATAATTCAACCACTGTAACCGAATCAGATAGTCCAGAAAATTTATCATTATTTTCATCATCAATGATTAGTGGTGATTTGAATTCACAAAAACGTTCAAATGTACAGGTTTTATTTGAATCGAAATTACAATTACAAACAGCATCGAAAGATTTTCTTCAACTTATTCTAGATATCTATCGTAATTGTGTTAGCTTTGCTCATTACCATCGTGTTGGACCATCATCATTTTCGATTGAAAAATCTTTTCAAATTACATTACTCTATACATCGGTATCATTGTCGAATCCTGTACTTGCATTGTTGGCCTGTTCCATGAACATTTGTGATCAACGAGCATTACCGGTGGATATTAAAACAACACCTTCGTCATCCACTTCACCAATTCAATCGCCTAAAAACGGTCATAATCAACAATCATCCATAAAACGTTCGATCGATTCATCATCAGCATTTGATCGTATTAAATATCCATCGTTTGCATGTTGGCTACTTGCAAGCGTATCCACTGCTTCAAAACAATCATTCATTGATTGGTATTGCCAAACGAATTCATTAAATCCAACAACAGATTCATTGATTGATTGTTTCATTCATTGGTCACCTGAACGACTATTACGTTTAATCAATATTCTTACAGCGAATGATGCACAAAATTATCAGAAAATTCTCGATGGTTTCAAAATGTTTGATATTCAAATACCGATCCTGTATACATTATTGGAATTTCTCATTGAATTTCTTGTGATGAAAGATTATTATCAAACCAGTGATTTACTACAACGTTTTCAAACATTGTTAGCTGAATATAATGAAGAAGAATTTATACAAAATGATTCAAATAAATCAATGGATGGTGATGATTCCAATGATGATAGTGATGATTATGAATGGCAATTATCCGATTTCTTTCAACGTAGCTGGATCGAAAAATGTTCATTGATAATGATAACGAATTCATTGTTGATTGCTCGACAATTTGAATTAAGCATCTTACTGAGCCATTATAATTTCGTTCGAATACAGGATTCATTTTCATCGGAAATACATCAATACGTACCGGATATTCGTCGATTCTATTTGTTTAGTCAATGTTTGAATAAAGTACCGGATTATTCGTTACCAATCGGACCATTATTATCAATCGAAGCGAATACCAATGATGAATCACGTTATGGTGAAGTATTGAAAAATCTAATTCTTCAGCTACAACAATCTGGTCATTTTGATGCCGCTAGAAATATTATCAATCTGTTGACGATTGAAAATACAAATGAATTTATCATTAATGAATGGATGTTGAAAGCCAAACAAGCGGAATTAGAATCATCGAATATTAATAATAACAATAATATTGATATATCATTCTGGGAAGATTGTTGGTCACAGGTTGTACGTATTGATCCATCAATGCATTCAGCATTCAAAGTAATGGAACGTTTTGTTCAACAATTGGAACCTGATCAATTGTTGATTAAATGTTTTGTATTATTGAAATGTTTACTTGCCATTGAAACAATATTGAATGATACTATCAATGAAATTGAATCAATTTATCCGATAATCAATCAAACTAAAGATAAGCAACAGCAGCTGCAGCAGCCACCTGATGATAATTCAACCATTAGTAGTTCGAATGCATCATCAAACAATAATGTTGAATTGATACAAGATTATTTTAATTTTGAATTGTCATTCTGGAAATCGGTTGTTGATTGTGAAATGTTTATACAAAAAATGGATACCTCAAATGATATGAAACAAATTGTCGATAAAAATATTATCACCGCTTGGCAAGATATTTGGAAAGATATTGTTCAATATTTTACAAAATCTTTACTTAGAAAATTCATTCTGCCTAAATTAACCGAACGTTATCCTCATATCGGTCAAAATGTTGAAAATCAACGTTCAAAACAACAACAAAATGTTCAAATTGATGTTAATCAATATCAATCATTAAATCGTGTAATCGGTAATCTATTGGATCATTTTTGTTATAAAAAAGCCATTGAAGTGGCTAAACTTTTTGGATATGATCATGATGATTTTGAAATTATTCGAACTTGTGATCAGATAGCTTCGGGTCAGCTAAAAGATCTATCCGATGCTTCATCAAGTGTTCAATTGAAAATAAAAAATCAAGGTGAAAATTATTCAAATGGAATTGGAAAATTTATGAAAGTTACATTGATAGCGGGCAGTAATCTGACAGATGATCAACGAAAAATCATGACAATGATTGAAACATTGGCCAGTTTTACAACGATTGGTGAGAAATTTTGTGAATACATTCTTTTACATTATAAGATTGCCTGTTTGCTACGGAAATCATATGATGAACTTAAAGATACTGATGATGAATATTCGACAACTCCATGTCAATTATTGGAAATGTTACTATTATCCAATCAAATCGATGAATCAATAACGGTTGGTCATGATGTTAGTAGCTATTCGTATCAATCATTCAATGAATTTAATGATAGTTCAATGGATCAAAATCAAATGTCATCATTGATTGATAATTATTCGGAAACGATAATGTGTGCAAAAGAATTTATTCGATTTATGGGTCGTATTGATGATCGTCTTGTAAATGAAGAAAAAATTGTTGATTTATTGGCCGAATTTGTTTATAATGATGTACAACGAATTGTTGATCGACAATTCAAAGATTGGGATGATCCATTCAATGCACAGTATACACTGTTTACCGAGATTGAATTGGATCGAATTCAACTAGAATTTAATTCGGCCAGATTTTCTGTTCTTAATCGTTTATTACGTGAACCATATCTACTTGGACATAAATTATTGGAATGGGTGAAAAAATCTAAAACAATATTTGAAAATGCATGGAATGGTTTCAATCATTCAGATCATACGATTGATGGACAACAACCGACAGTTATACATCAGAAAACGGAAAAAGAAATTCGTTTTATATTGGCAAAACGTAAATATTATGTACAAATAGTTGAACTGTACATTCGTGCACATGAATCATTCACCGCTCAATGTGATGTTGGTGGTATTGCATTGGTGTTGCGGAAAATTCGTCCATTAATTACACAGGAATTACGTCCAGCACGTTATTTTCATCTTATATTACGACTTTTGACCGGTATTGGTCGATATTCTGAAATGATCTATTGTTTTGATCTTTTCGTGAATGTGATCGTTTTGAATTGATTCTTTCGAAACGTGTACAAAGAGTAAGTGTGAAATAGATTTTTAAATGTGAAAGTTTTTTTTATCGTTTGTATTTTCTCTTTCGGAACACACCAGACACCACAATTACGGATTGCATTGTTGAATTATCTAAAAAATGCCGAACATATTGATGAATTATTACCATTGGTTGCTATACGATTTTTTCTTCATCGTGAAATGGCCGATCAACATCGTAATCGTGCAGAAAAATTGTTGATGGAAACAAATTTTAATAATTTGCATACCTCATCATCATCATCATCATCATCATTGAAAACAGCTATGCCGATACGATCATTAACAAAAAAAGTTTCTTCAACAAATTCATTATCGGAAATGATATCAACATCACCATCGTTACCAACATTCAAATTAACACCATCGTTATTAAATATGAATAATTCGAATGCATTAAAAGAACAATTAGAGGCAATAATGTTTGAATTTCAAGAAGCGGAAATTAATTATACAAAAGCATCATCATTAGCGAATGCTGATTATTGTTCATGGCGTGCACAATTGATTGCTTTACAATTATATCATTTTAATAAATCAAAATTCACGGCCTTACACACTGATATATCGACTACTGTACCGATCTTAATCAATTTAGATATGAATCGAGTTCGTGATTTCATCAATCAATGTAATCATTATTATGAGGTATATATGGAGAGATTTCAAATCAAATTCAATCAATTGATTTTCAATTTTTGTTTTCCATTTTTAGGCATTGATTGTGGCCAAATCCTATCCAGATGTAAATATTGAATGGGCTGATCCATTTTTCAATAATGCAATCGTCAATAATAATGTTCAATATGCTGCACAATTTCTTGATAATTATGAAATTTCTGTTTCATTTCTGGAAAAAGTAATCAAACGTTTTGAATTATTTTCGACATTATTTCGACAACAACAGCAGCAACATCAACAACAAACGATAATCAAATCATCATCAAATAGTCAAATAGCTGGCCAATTATTCTCTTCATCATCATCATCATCATCATCACCATTGCCAGCATCTTTTATATCATCATTATCACAGATTCGTTCAGAAATGGAATTACAGAAAATATTTCTCATATTAGAACAGATTATGGAATCTATTCTTTGTGATGGAGTAAATACAACGGCCCAAACAAATGATTCGAATGTTGAATCATCCACAATGAAATTTGCTTCGACGTCATTTCTAAAGATAAATCTACATGATCGTTATCGTCTTGCTCGGCGACTAAATTCTCGTCGAATTTTACGCCATTTGATGGCATTGAATCGTGAAAATTCAGCCTATCTTCTGGATTGGATAGCCAAATCCAACCAGAATCAATGTGTGAATAACAAAAATTGAAAAGAAAATTCTCAGATACTGTGATATAATAATTCAAATATAATTTTTTTTAATATTTCATTTTATCAGAATACAAGAAAAAATTTTTAAAAAAACCAACAACAAATGACAAAAAGCATTGTGTTTGTGCATTTTAAATTGATAATATACTCAATAGATAAACACAAACACAGAAACATTTGAGAATTGAAACACAGAAGACACTAATTTTTTCTGGAGATTGGAACAAAAAAAATGATTTTTCCGTTGTTGATGCAGTTGCTGTTGTTGTTGTTAAATTATCAACTGGTTAATATTAGTAACGGAGATAATGAAGTTCATTAATTAATTAATTAATTATTAGTTTTTGTTTGTTTGTTTGTAGTATGACTTTGTTCATTGGTGGAAGGAAGAAGTGTGTTGTGGATGAAATTAGCTAAAGAAAATCATCATATTCATCTTCATATTGATCCATTTGTTTTCCATATGAATAATCTTTTTCACGTTCCATCATGATTGTCGGTGCCTTTTTGTTCTTTTTTCCTTTATTCTGTTGCTAAATAGTTTAAAAAATTAGCTATAATCAAGTGATATTAAGAATCCACACAATATTACCTTTTGTAGTTTAATTTTTTCATTATACAATGCCGTAAGCGTTGCATTTAATTTTCTAATATCATCAATTTCCAAACTGGAAGCTAATGTACGAAATAGACCATCCAAAAATGTCATATAATGTGGTGAACGAATATATGGACTTAGTTTATCATCTAATGCTTTACGAAAATCTTCAAAATCATCTTTCGTTGCTAAACGAATATTATTCAATGCTGATGTTGAATCATTATTACCGGATATACCGAATGTTTCTTTTGCTAAGGCTAGATCACCTTCTTCGATTAATCGTTGATTTTCCAATTTTTCGGCCAATAATTCGTCGGCTGTTTTTGGCTGACTTCTTTCACTTTCTTCTTTTTGTTGAATCTTTTCCTTCAATGCTTTACTTTTCTTTTTTCCACTTGTTAATTTTTTTGTTGCTTGTGGTTGTTGTTGTTCACTGGTTTGTTGTTGATTAGATTCAGTACCCGTTGAACTTGCTTTACTTTGTTCATCATCATCACCATCTTCATCATCCCAATTTTCTTTTATATCTTCATCCTCTTCTTCTTGCCATTTATTACTGGCCACTTTTGGTACGATGGCTATAGAATTACAAAATAAAATTAGATATCAAAAAAAAATCAAATTTACATTGAAAGTATTTTCTTCTAAAGAAATTCGAATGAAAAATAATACAAAAGAAAAATACTTACTCCAATCTTCTTCGGCCATTCTATTTTTTTTCTTGGAATTTTAATCTTATTTAACAGGCCCAAAATGTATTTTGATGTTTCTAAAATAAAAATAAAAAATATCGAGAATTTAATAAAAAAAAAATACAACGCATAACAAAATGAAATGGACAAAAATCTAATTTGGATCCTTTGTTGACGTGGTATGTGTGCGTGTGTGGATCAAAAAAAAAAAAATATATTTCTCTATCATTTCATCATCATCTTGATTGATGAAGGACAAAATAAAATAAATCAATAGATTCCAGTTTCTACTATTATCTAGAAATAATTAGTCTTCTTTTTCTATTGATAGGTGTTTCCAGAACTTACCTTTGTTTGTTTTTAATAAAAACCAGGCAATTTTGGTGATTGCAGAATTTGGTTAAATGTTTCACGATGAAAATAACGTGCGTTTGTGATGATGTCGTATTTTTACTAAAAAAAATGAAAAGTTAGAAGGAAAAGAGAACTGTGAGGGTGAGTGAATAAAAAAAAAAGAGAGAGATGAGAGAAAAGCATTGACTGAGTGTGTCAATAAGTCAAAAGAAATCGACAACACTATGAATTTCGAATAAATGTATTCATACATTGTAAGTTTTTTTTCACTTTTATTTTAAATCATTTATTTAATTGATGAAAATTCATTCATTCATTAAAAATAATGGCTTCTATAAATGATAATGGAATGTACTTTTCTTGTTACAGTTGAAAAAAAATTGAAAATTGATTGATTCATGAAAAAAAATCAAAATGTTTATTCAATCATACTATTTACAACGTATAAACTGGATGAATGGATACATTGTTCATTTATGGTCCACATAAATGATCATCGGTTTTTCCATGCTTTTGTTTTGTGCGGTATTTTCTTTGGTTCGTGTTTTTGACAATTTTATTTGAATTTGATACAACGATTTTTCATACTGAAAAATGGCTCAAACATTGCCGTTAAATCCTAAACCATTCCTAAATGGTTTAACTGGTAAACCAATTATTGTCAAATTAAAATGGGGAATGGAATACAAAGGATTTCTTGTTTCGGTCGATGCTTATATGAATCTACAATTGGCCAATACTGAAGAATATATTGATGGTGCATGTACTGGAAATCTTGGTGAAGTATTAGTACGTTGTAACAATGTTCTCTATATTCGTGGATTAGAAGAAGAAGAAGAGGATGGCGAAATGAAGGATTGATCTGATACTAAACCATCTATCCATCTTTACTTGCCACAGAAAAAAAAGAATAAATTCGTATGATATATTCCTGTCATTTTTTTTTTGTTTATTATAATAATTTTTTTTTCTTTCCACACCAAATTCTTATGTAACAATTGTCATTCATTTAATGTATGAATTTATTCATCATCATCATTATCATTAAAAAAAATATTTTTCGATTTGATAAATGTTCATGTTCATGATTAATTTAATTTGGAATTGGTGTTGCTGCCATTGCTATGCTTTCGATACCGCATTCATTGGTACCACGACGAATAAGGAAATAACCTCCATCTATTCCCCATTGTTCTCCCCAGCTATTTTTAACAATCCAATAATTTTCACCAGATTTTTCATCACGTCCATAACCAACAATAAGGACGGCATGATTGGTCAACACGAATGGATTGAATTCTACACCAACTTTTTGTTCGGTTTCATAATCTGAATCATGTGAATAGATGCCTCTTCGATAAGTCATGAAATCTTTATAAACTTCGAAACCGACTGCTATTGGACCATTTTTCACTAATTCAATACGCATTGCTTCTTCATTGCAAGCACCAAAATACCCACCAAGATAATTATATTTAATTGTATATGTTCGTTGTTGACATTTAGCCGTTGTATTATAATCGAGTTTACATTTTCCAGTATAAGCTTTATATGGATAACAAGATTCTTCAACGACACCAAAATCTTGTGCATATTTTCCGGCAATCAAATATCCGAATCCACCATCACAACCTTGTGAATATTCTGAACAATCCACCACTTCTTGTGGTGAGAATACCGGTTTTGCAGTATTGTTCGTTGCGATACGAATACGAGCTTCAAGCATAGCCATCGATGCGAATGCATAGCAACTTCCACAATTGCCTTGATTACGTACTGGTGATACATAATTGATACCATCAACATTACGCCAATCGAATGATTCAGGTAAACCACGAGCTTCGTGTCGCTGTTGTTCCGTTGCACGTATTGGTTTTGGGCGGCTATCGAAATGAATAAATGAATCCATTAGTAAAATTGAATAAACTAAAAAATTAATGACCAAAGTGAATCACACATACCTCATTATTCTGGATTTTTCACCTCCAGCCATTTTAATCAAATGTTCTACTGTTTTTGATTGCATTTCTGGATATACGGTTGCTTTCCATGATTTTTGTTTAGAATTAATGTGATCAACATGTTTCTGGCTCAATGCATGACTAAGATCAATATTTTTCAAATATAATGGTTGTTCAATATGTTCTTTAATTGGAAATTGTTCCGAGCCAATTTTTTGTAATGGACTACTATTCCAATCATTTACTTTATGACCAATGTAACATGCCCAATTATTACCAAGTAAATCGTGTGACCATCCAGGTATTGTTTTATGACAATAACTAATTACTTTTGAATTCGATTTACGTTCATAGGCAGAAAAGGCAAAATATTTTCGATAATTGATAATCACTTCGAAACCTTGATTATAAATCAATGTCCAAGTGCCAACATTACCGAATTTATCGACAGCAGTGTTTGGAAAATCTAATCTTACATAGATTTTTTTCGTATATTCACGACGACCATTATCACATTTTTCTGTACGATCATTAATCGGTGTTGATTCTTCAAACAACCATAAGCCTCTAATATCTTCATAAGTACAATTGGCAGGAGTGTCGGCAATGATTTGTCGCCAGCAACAAACCATAAAAATAAATGAAATGATCAAAGATGATTTCATTGTGATTCAATAATGATGATGATAAATTGAATAAGAATTTATAAATTTAGAAAAAAAACAAAGACAAATGGTAAACAAACAAACAAACAAGCAAACTACGTCTTGGTAATGATTCGATCGTATTATATGATCTTCTTATTTATACCAAACAAATGCCAAATGATGTAAAAGTCAAATCAGCAAAATTAAACACATAAAAAACAAATAGAAAAAAAAATTTTCTGTCATATTGCATATTTCACTAATCAATCAATCAATTTTTTTTTCACTCTACGAATGACGATGATGTGATAACAAACCAAACAATCTTACATTTCCAAATCGATAATTCATATATTGTTTATCAATTAAAAATTATGATTCCACATTTAAAAAAAAACAATAATAAGCGATAGATATATTTACTGAATATAACAATTTTTCTTGCAAACAATGCATTTGTAGACAAGTGCATATATCCTGTCTATTATACCATTTAATGATTGATTGATTGATTGATAATGAATAATAAAGATTGTATATATTTTCAACAAGTAATTTTTTTCCTTCTCGTGTATTAAGGATGTTGATTTTGGATCAATATCCGTGATCGTTTTTTTTTTTTTTTTGATTATTTATTGCGTAAATCGGGCATATCAAAATCTAGCCAGGATTATCCTAGTCAAGGTTAAACACTCATATTGATTATAATCAATTTATTTTTGGTCACGAGATTTGTTCCAAACACATCATAAATCACGTCACACATACATGCATGTATGCGTCGTTCCAGATTTAATATTGATTATTATCATCATCAATAATTTTCTAATTACCAATCAATTCTAATTGTTCCATGCTTTTATATATTAATTAGCAGTGATGATTAAATAAATTAATTAATCAATCGATGACATTTGTCTTTGATTGATTAATTCCATAAATTCCAATCTAAAATAAAAGTAAATTCAATTTTTTTTTGAAAAATAGAATTATTTACAATAAGAATAAAATAAGTTTGAATTTGAATAATAATAATAAAATATCAAAATGATGAAAAATGTGTGCATGTGTGTGTGTGTGTCAGAATTGATGAATTATTGAAAAAAAAATATTGGAATTAAAATTTGCAATTGAAAAAAAAAATTCATAATCAATTCCACTCATAAAAATCATATAATAAAATTGAGATAGATAAGGTTCGTACGATTTATATTCAATGCTGATTATGAATTGGCCTTTTTAATCCTAACAATAATGCAATCGTTGATTTTGGTTGTGATTTCGGTTGCTGTTGTTGTTGTTGTTGTTTATGATCATCTAATTGTTGTTGTATGATAACTTTATCTAATTCAGCACAGCCAATTTCCGATTCACCACCATCATCTAATGGTCCTAATTGTTTACGGCCATATGGATAATCTTCAATAACAATATGGCCAGATACGGAACCTTTATTCATTGGATATGCGGTTATAATTTTCTTAATTTTTGCCATCGTCAATGATGTTGTTGGTTTATCCATTGTGATTACATTATCATCAACACCATCATCAACATTATTTGTCGATGATTCGGACGGTTTTGTTGTTGTTTGTATGGCTTTAATCATCATCATACCCGGTGCCGGTAAATATGTTGGTTTCGGCGAATCTTCCATTGTGGACATGCCATCACGATGTGATGGAAGTTTAAAATCCATACTTTTTAGATCAAAACTTTTAGTAAAATCTAATTTAGGTATTTTAAAACTTCTGAATGGGCCTAATTCTGGTAATCGCATTTTCGGTACTTTTGGTAATGGTAAATTAAGATGACGTAAAAAATGTATTGATGGTCCCATTGGTGCAATGGCCGTTATTTTTGGTGATTTACCAATACTTTGTGTATTTGGCATATCAAAATGTGGTAATGTTAAGCCACTTTCATGTTCACCGGTAAAATCAATTTTTGGCATTTGAAATCCTTGAATAAATTTTTGGCTATTTTTAAGAAAATCTGGTACACTAAAACCAACCAATTTGGTTTTTGAATCCGAATCACCATGATGCGGGCCACCATGACCATGACCAAATTCAATATTCGGTGCATTGATTGTCAATGGTTTACCTTGGTTTAATAATGGTGCAATTAGATTACCCAATGATTCTGGTGCTGCAACCGATATCTGTGGTGGACCTTTATCGCCGAATAAATTTCCAATAATTGAATTAAAATCAATACCAGGTAATGCGGGTATTTTAACCGGTGAATTTTTCATTAAATCACCACCACCGGGTATTATTTTATCTAGACCAGCTACATCGAGCGATGGTATTTCGAAATTTTTCGGTTTTTCATCATGTGGAATTGGCTGTGGTACGGTGAATATAACAGTTTTACTTGATGATGGTTTTGGTGATAAATATGCTTTTGGATAACGGGCACCTTTTTCTCGTATATAATGTCCAGTTTTATAACCAGTCGATGTAATTGCGGCACCATAATCTGAAGGACTATATGAACTATCATCACCATATCCTGATTCGATTGTTGGTCTTTGATAATAAAGATCACCAACTGTTGGTGGTTTTTTCGATTTAACTAACGTTGGTTGTTCATCATATGATCCATCATGATGTTCTTCATAATAACTATCTGATGGTTCAGAATATCCATATTGTGGTTGTTGTTGATGATGATAATGTTGTTCTTGATATTGTGAAGATTCGTCTGGTGATTGTTGATAGCCATCGCTACCATCATCAATTGGACCTTGTTCACTTTGTTCATATTGGCTTGAAGCGGTTCTGAAAAAAAATTTATAAAAAAAAAGAAATAAATTTTATTTGAATCACTAAATTATCAGAAAATTGGGTCATTCATATACCGTACCGTTGATCATATTGATCCATATATGATGATTGTGGTTGTGATGATGATACTGTCAAACTAGATTGTTGTCGTAATGGACGTTGTATTGTAGACATTGTTTTTGTTTGTTGACCATACGATGCTGATATTGGATTGTTATTATCATCTTGTTGTCCAGTGTTATAACTACCACTATCAATACCACCATCACCTGTTTCATAATCATCATTTGTTTCAGTTAATAATGAAGATGTTGGTCTACGATTACGAACAAAATGATTTTTAGATGATGAATATGATAATGATGGTGATGATGAAGATGAAGATGATGATGAGGCTTCTGTCATTGATGAATCAATTGGCTCATATTCAATATTATCATCAGGATGTGTATATGACATATATGATGTGGATGATGCAGATGTTGCTAATGGAATTGATTTCCATGGTGATGATGATGATGATGTTGAAAATAATGGTTTAAATGGTGATGACGAAGATGATGATGATGAAAATGATGATGATAACGATGATGATCGACTACGATATTGGCCATTGGATCCTCTGGATTTATCACTAGTCACCACTACCATTAGTGAACAGCTCCCAAATAGCTATATTTATTATCAAGAAACAAATGGAAATTTTCATTCCGGAAAAAAAAGAAGAAGAAGAAGAAGAAAGAATTTTAGAAAAAAAAACAAAAACAAAACAAAACAAAAATGAATAAAATTATCAACAAATCTATTTTGTGATGATATATGCTAAAACACAAACCAATATGAATATGAGGCTTTTCGTATGCATTTTTTTTCACTGATGATTATTATTTTTTGGTTGATTGTTAGTAATTAATAAAAAAAAATTTGGACACAATTTAAAACAAAACAAAAATTATTTTCAAACACAAACGGTTTTTATTTTCATTTTTTTTTTCATTGAAGATTTTTCTACACACACACACAAAACACGATACATACAAAAACATCAAATGACCATTATCGAAATCCAAAAAAAAAAAAAAAAGATTAAAATGAAAATAAATGGCATTTGCCTTTATATATTCCACTGTATTGGTTATCATGATAAATTGGACAAGATATGTACCGATAAATAGAGAGAGAGAGATAGAAAGTCAGAACGAACAAGAAATTAATAGCGACAAATATTGTATATGTGTGAGAGAGATATAATAGGATAGATACAGGTTCTAAGTGGGTGTGACGTGAATGTTATGCCCAATATATGAACTCTTATGAATTTTTACTGATTTTGATGAACTCTTACTTTTTTTTCATGATTATTATGGGCTTTCTAAAATATCATTTGTCCACTTTAGAGTTTATGTATATATTACAGGATGTTTCTATTCTCTAATAAAACGAAAAAAAAACATCTTTCAGATACTTGAAATACCTGATATATTTATATAACGGGACAGAGATGAAACAGACAAAAAAAAAGAACAACATCACTAACGATGCCAATCAGTTTGGTCTGGCTATCTATCGTCGTATTTGAATCTTGTTCGTTGAATTAGATAGTTTTTGTGACGAGATGTTTTCCATTGCTCTACTTTTTCTGGATTTTCATTTTCATGTTGTTGCTGTTGCTTGTTTTTTTTTGGCCTCAAACACTTCATTTTTTTTTCTCAGATACGAAGTTACCAAGTTCGATGGTTATGTGATATGATCAAGGCGATTCATTTCGGTTTCATTCAATCCATTTAACGTGTGTGTGTGTGTGTGTGTGTGTGTGCAGGCGAGATTGTTTTTTTTTAAGAAAAAAAAGAAAAACTTGCTTTTCAAGTCAAACGATAATCATCATTTATCTAATATTTTACTATGAAAGTAATCTAGCAGAAACAGCAAACATTAAAACGATAACGGTCGGTTAAACGGCTGATGGTTTGATTGAAATTAATGTTTTTTTTCCCTCTGTCGTCGTCGTCGTCGTCGTCGTTGTTGTCGGTTGGTTGGTTGGTTGGTTGGTTGGTTGGTTGGTTGGTTGGTTGGTTGGTGATACATGTATGAAAATTCCAGAACAAGAAAAAAAAATTGAAAAAAATTGAAGAGAAAAAAAAATACAAAAAAAACATCATTTATAAAGGTGGCTTAAAGTTGCTGGTTATTTTTTTTCCCCATTGAAATCTCTGTGTGGTTCAAGTTTTTATTTTTATCCAGCCGCAGTAAGCTTATCGAAAAAAAATGTGGCCATATGAATTTCGGCAAAAAAAATTTTTTTTTTTTTTTTGATGAATTTATGAATGGTAAACCTTTGACCTAGCGCTCCAGTCACCAATAAATATTGATAAAATTTTTTCATTTTTTTAAAAAAAACTCTAAATCTCTTGGTGATTGAAAAATTTTTCTTAATTTAGTTTGTTGTACACACACAAAAAAAATTATAATTTTCTTATTTCATCATCATCATCATCATTTTTTTTTTTTTTGGTTGAGACATCTCTTTTCTCATCATAATCATCATAATCATCATCATCTAAATCCGATCACTATTTTTTTACAAACCAAATTTAGATGATAGATGTATATCTTAACTACGGGCTACATTAATGGATTTTCGATATTTATACGTTTTTTTTTTGTTCATAAAATGAAATGAATGGCTATTAAATGAGATGCGTTATGATGATGATGATGATTATTATTATTATTATTGATTGCTACTTGATACCTGTTCGAATATTTTTGTTTTTTCATAATAGAATGAATGATTTAATCAATTTGATTTTGTTTTTTTTTTTTTTTTTTTTTTGATCGAATGCAATTTAATAATCGAATCGAATGTTGTTGTTGTTGTTGAATATTTTAGGTTGTTGATCTAGAGGTGATTTTAATCACTTATGATGATGATGATGATGATGATGATGATCTAAGACCAGAAAAAAAGACCGGGAGATTTTTTTTTTTTTTGATTAATTCGATAATTATTGATCATCTCAATCGGTGGCTGATTTTCTTTTCCATGAGTAAGTGGAAAGATCCAATTTTATAAAAAGGGTGAAAACATGCATCCATTCATTCATTTATTCATTAGAGAAAGTGGAAAACAAACGGCGTCAATCTGATCGATTATAATTGGTTGGTTGGTTGGTTGTGTTGTGTTGAATAAAATGAAATGATAGAGGCAGGTTAGTATGAAAATAAAAAAGAAAGAAAACAAAAACTACTACCTGAAAGCCTTGGGCATTTTTCGCATTTTTGTTTGTTACATTCCAATTTTTTTCCCCATGGACAAATGATGAAACAGAATGGAATTCAGTTCACCAGCAAGAAAAAAAAACCTCAAATATTCTTGAGAATTACAATCGATGATGATGATGATGAATGAATGAAAAAAATCGATTATTTTGATACAAAAATAATAAATACGAATGAATGAATGAATGGAAAAAAATAACAACAAGAAATAATTGAAAAACCAAAATAAACACAAAAAAATTATTCTTGTAAAAAAAACCATCATGATGAACAAGAAAAAATGATGAAATTTTTTGTTTATTTATTCATTTTTTTTAAACGAAACGAAAAAATCGATATTCAATCGATCTATCGATATATTATTATTATTTTTTCTTCTACTTCATCCTTTCGATACACACACACACACACACAGGATTGAACGTAAATATTTGATCGATGATCAATCATCATGATCATCATAATAGCTTCTGGATATTTTGCATTATAAAAATTCTTATTATTATTATTATTATTAACGCACATCATATAAAAAATATCTTCCACTAGTCTTTGTTTGTCTGTCTTTCTGTATTTTTTTCATCTTGATACACATTCTTGATGCATTCATTCATTCATCAGTCAGTGTTTTGTAGGTAGACATGATTACATTTATACAAAATATTATTCAACAAAACTATTTAGTGGGCGACAAAATTGAACCATGATAATCATTTTTTTTTTTGTAGAAAAAAAAAAATAATCAAAATGACCTGCTGCTACACATTTCATTGGCAGATTTTGAAAGAGAAATTTTGGTATTAATTCAACACACATATCATAAACACTAAATTTAGATTTTTTTTCTTCTTCTTCTTCTTTAACAAGTTTTGATCATTTTGATATTTTCTGGTTGTTATGTTGTTTTGATCAGCCACCATCATCCCCCATAAATGTATCGACTATCTGCCCACTTTTTTTCCATCTTTTTCTGTCTTGTTGTCTATGGTTGCTAACATCATCAATTATTATCATCATCATCATCATTATTTGGGATGAGAGTAACTTGAACATTTTTTGTTTGTTTGTTCCACTGTATGGGTTGGTTGCCTTGAAGCTTAATTTTCTTTTCTGGAATCTGGATATTATTATTATTATTGGAGAAAAACAAAATCCTTAGATAGCGGAGCAGAAAATAATAATAATAATCAAATGTGTAATCATGACCAGAAAAAGAAAAAGAAAAACAATTTAAGGATTTTACATGAAAAAAAAACAAAACAACAGTGATCGTAGAAATAAGTTACCCGATCGGTTAATGTTAAGATTTTGTTTTCGGGTTTTTTCGGTTTTTTTTTTCGCAAAACAAACAAACACACACACACACAAATGAAACATAATAAAAAGATTATGTTTGTTTCTCCAGAATCTTTGTACATTTTTCGGGCTATTTGTTTGTTTTTTTTCGTATTTATTTTTTTTTCCTGTGAACAGAAAACGCAAACAATTTGATGTTTTTTGTTTTTTTTTGTTGTTGACACCATTTCAAAAAAGTAAATTCCATGAAAATGAGCAATTTGACTCCCCATCCAGTTGATTAATTAATTATATTGGTTTGTTTTCCGTCTGGTTATTTGATATGAGTAATGAAAATTGTTGACAGATTGCAATCAAATTATTGTTGTCATTGAAAAAAATTGAATTGAGATTGGCAATTTTAGTTAAAATTGACTAGAAATTGATTTGAATTGAAAATAACGAAAGAAAAAGAGAGACCCATCATCATCATCATTCATGATCTTTGATGTCAAAAAAAAAATAACAAGTTTGTTCCACGGAAACAAACAAAAAAAAAAAAAAAAATGATAAAATAGGCTTGGTAACCGTTATATAGTGATGTTAGTGGTCTTTAATAATCAATTTTCAATGAATTATTGACAATTTGAAAGTAAAAAAAAAACATCATCCACTTATATGGATGAATTATGATGATGATGATAATGACAATGACATTTAAAATAATCAAAAAAAAAAAACTTTCATACGAGGATCTCTATCTATATTAAGATTGTGTTTGTCCTCTGTGTGTGTGTGTGTGTGTAGACATTTCATTTACTTTTATCCACATAAAGATGAAAATGTTTCAAGATAATTCACAAATTTTTTTGTTCTTCTTTTTCTATCTTCACTAATGAGCTATTTTCCTTTGTATTGTTTAATTTTTTTCCAAGTAGATTTCTTGAAAAAAAATTGAAAAAAAAAATAAATGACAGAACTAGAACTAACTAGAACAAAATCAAATTGAAAAAAATAGGATGTATTTCGGATTGTATTTTTTTCTATGTTTCATCTTCTGGTTAACCGCACCGCACCACATATATAATGATTCATTT